GTATTCACCACTAGGTTTGATGTAGGCCGCAATAGAAGAGAGCAGCAAACTGGAACAGTGAGTAATAATGTTACGAAAGAAGCTATAATCAAAGGATCCGAGTATACATGGGTATCGTCAGCAATTACTGCATCCCTATTGTGGAGAACGAGACCTGATGACCTCACTTTAATGGGGTTTTCGGGATCAGTTTTATGCCTTGGGAGACCCACGGATGAAACTATTAAAGCAGTCGTATTTCAAAATTACTGCACCCAAATCAAAGGGTGGCAGATGAGGGATGGTGAACGCGAACTACAACCACATGGTAGTGGCCATGGGTGGATGAAGGCGGGTTTTCTACTTCCACGCGAAGTAAAGGAGTGCACTATAATCTGTAAAGCTTCTACAGATTCGGGCAGAGGTTTTAACTCTCTACCGATATATGAAAAGGCCTCTACTAGTATTAGTGATAGAAGATTTTTTACAGGGCCATATTAAAATAATACTAGATTGAAGTTAGGGTGTAGCGGGTTATAGTTAATATGAGATAAAATTTTATTTTAATATACGCAGGCTATCATGTTGTGCTATGCCGCAGTGCAGCAATTTTAATCCGTGCTCCCAAACACAGTGTAATCACTGGTGAATACGACTCTTGAATCATAAGGAGATTCCTTGCGCAATGAACAGAGGGAGAATAATTTGAGTGACATTCCCGCTAGCTGTTTGTAACCTCAGATCGTAGTCTTGATTCAAGTTCCATCTCAAATCTCTCTTTGCCATACAGCTCATCGCGCATGGTTCCCATCACATCTGATCCAGGGGGGAAGTCAGACTCAAAGATAGGCTCCCCTGCACCTCGCATATTAGCAAGCACAGACTGTCGGAAGTGCCATCGGAGCAGCTCATCCGAGACATGATCTTTAGTATTTGGATCGCGGCAAATAGGGTCCAATATTCTACCATCAATCCCCCAGCTGTCAGGCCCAAACTCAACAATCTTATAACCGTCCTTTGCTGTATTAGTATAGTAAAATAAGTTTGGGTTTCAATAATACTTACATCTGGGTTTATAGAGAAAAAATACTGGTTAAAGCGTGTGTGAAGGTGTCCTGCCATAAGAAATCCATTCTGAATAGAGTTGATTCTGTGCGCTACCGTAGCGTTATCCATGTTTGTTATCCAGCGTCCATAGCCAAGTTCAACCCAGAGACTCCCCTTCTCTAGTGGGAACACATGCGCAGCCTCGAATCCGGCCCAATTATTCCACTGAGCCCCACGGTTGACCTGTCCAGATATAACACATTTCCTATCTCTGGCACGGATTCCATTCCGGAATTGATCTTCTCGACCCGAAACAGAGTGACTGGCGAGCCGAGCAAACCATGGTTCATTGGTCATCCGAATAGGTCCTATATAAATCAGCTCAGGATTTGGGGGTTTCAGAATTCAGAAACCCGCACCTGTGGAGTAGATGTCATAATCTCCAAGCATAACCGGCTTGCTTGACGGTGTAATAGTTTCACCTGAGACTCTCCGCCGAATAGTCCAAGGGTGTTCCTCTTCCATGACCAAAAGCACATTGCTCAGAATCCAGATGAGGTTTTCTTCAGTGACAGAGCCATTCTGGTAAAATCCGCCAATAGAGGCGCTCGTTGACGCGTCGTAAAAGCGGACGTTTCGGTAGGCAGCTCGATCTCGAGACATACTGCATTTGCTCTGTACGCATAGGATAGATTCAGCGACGCAGAATGTACTTTTGAAAAGAGGACTTGGGCAAAACAGGAACTCCTGGTCGCTATACGCCTCACGTGATGATGTGAAGCCTGCCTAAGCGATAGAAGTAGGTGGCGCGCGCCTATACCCGCTGGTAACTCAACGGCCAGCTTGGCGGCTCTTACTAATATCCAACTAACCATTATAGGACTAGTGTTATACTTAGGAGACTTTCTTAACCAAAGATCTGAAACCGAGTATTAATGTCGCAGAATATCATTCCTTCTTAACAGAAGCTCAGGGTACTACCATGTCAACATCAAGTGATAGGTCGCGTCCTTATCGTAAGGCGTATTACTCTTGCAACTTTTGCCGCTCGCGAAAGATCCGCTGCGACAGGCCGTTGCCCTGTACCAACTGCGCCTCTCGTGGCAGAAGATGTCTTTTCGGGGCTGAAGAAGACTTGGAACAGCACCAGCATGATCGTCTGCAGCAGCCAACAGCTTCTGCTCCCTTGATGCCGTCGCCAGCATCGCCTTCACGGCCTGAGATGGCTATTACGGGCCAAGACAGTATACTGGCTGAGATACGGAGCCTGAGACAGCTGGCAGAAGACCTAGAAAAACGAGTTACGGGCCAGGCTACCACCGTCACATCCCCTCCACAGCATAGCAATGGCACCTCTTCCTCCCTGCCAGAGACATTTCCTGCTTCGCCTGGTTTCAGCCCGGTGAGCGAGGAGTTGGTCGCCCAGCTCGAACGTGTATCTATGGGCCGGGGTTCGTATGTGTGTCTTCTCTTCATAGCCTGAGCTTTTAGTATAAATTCCTCGCTTATCCTACCGGAATAGGAATCCGTCGACGGTGACGACAGTTGGGTGTTCAGGGTTGAGCAGATCCGGGCTATCCCCCGGGTGCGAAGCTGTTTATTGCAGCCCAATCGATGTATATTGCTACCGCGGCACGATGAGGCTAGAGTGCTGCTTGACAAGTTTATAAGCCACGTGAGCTACATTCATCATGTCGTTCATCACCCTTCGCTGCCTGGCGTAATCGACGAGCTATACCGGCAGATCAGCTGTCAAGAGCCCGTCAAACTTGGCCCCGTTGTGTTACTTCTCAGCATTGTTGCCAGCACGACGTATATCTGGGGATCAAATGACCCCATGCACGGGGAGTTTCCCTTCTTGTCTTCCGCTCAGGCTAATGCGCAAACTTCCTTTTGGATTAAGGCGACGTATGATATACTCAATGGAGGGCCGAACGGCCCGCCTGTTGCGCTCGAGACGATCCAGGGGATCGTTATTCTATCTTTCCTACTTTGTAATCTCGAAGGCGTCTCACTGCGATATCGTTCCCTGATTTCTACAGGATTGTTGATAGGTCGCGAGATCGGTCTTCATCGTACCGACCACGAGTCAAATGTGACTATTCACAATACCGTATCGGTGGAGATGGGTCGGCGTGTGTGGTGGTACTTGGCTACTACGGATTGGTGTGTCATTTCTCTTTCCTTGTTGCCGGTTAATATTGACAGAGCTTTCTGACAAGAGCTACCCACAGGCTCCTAGCGGCGAGGTACAGTGGCCCAGGAGAGGGCGGATATCAAACAAATCCGCAACATATGAGGGTGAAGAAACCGCGCAACATTAGTGACGTTGACTTAGTTGATGGCGGAGTCAATCCAGACTTTCCTATCACTCAGCTGACCGACATGTCGTACTTTCTCCAGCGAATTCGCCTGGCTGAGATTTCGCGCGGTATTGTTGACCAGCACAATGATTCCCAAGCCACTAGCCTGTCGAGCTATCATACCTATGCCATAGCTATGGATACCCAGCTTGAGCAGATGATTCAGGAAACCCCCTCCTTCCTCCGCCTTGACAGTTACGAACGCAATCCCGACTCCACGTCAAGCACTACCTTCATCCAAGCCTATTTACTCAATTCTATCCTGCACACCCAGCGATGCAAACTGCACCTCGGTTACCTCTCATCCAGACTAATCAACGACCCAACCTACGCGTCGCGGCGTGAAAAATGCCTGGAATCAGCACGTCACATAATCCATGCAGAGGCTCAACTAGAAAGAACTCAACATCCCTTTGTGCTAATCCGGTTACGCTTATCTGGCATCCTCTATGGCGTCTTCATGGCGGGAATCGTGCTATTAATGGATGCTTGCGTCAATGCCGGTCTGCGTCGCGGCGAGGAAGCAGCTGAAGCGCTGCGCATAATTGATGCAGCTAAAGGTCAATCGCTCGCAGCGGCAAACTTATATAACTTGTTGATGCAAGTCCTAGCTAGACATCGTGCACAGCAGCTCCAACAAGGTCAATGGGCGCCTGGATCATTTCCACTGCAGCCAGGGTTGTCTGCTGTCACTGCCTCAGCTACTCCAGTTATGGGTTCTATCATAGCATCAACATCCGGAGGGAGCCTTGAATCGCTGGCCCCTGTATTAGACTCTTCTCAAGCCGCCAATAGAGCTTTAAACGACTGTTTAGTTAGGGAAGAGCCGTTGTCTATTCCCCCGGATCGACAGGTTGCTTCAGACGACCCATCAACGTGGCATAGTAATCAACTAACACAAAGCCTAGGTGGGCTAATGGATCTCGATGGCTTCCCATGGGATGATTTACTTTCTGGTATGGACTCCACTTCGTTTGCCTTTTGAAATTAATGTATTTCCTAAGTATAAACTATGGTACCGAGGTGGAAAAATGGGGGAAATCCAACCAGAACCGGAACGTTATGACAGATAATTGCCATGCGCTCCCGCCTACTAAAGGACTGTGCGGGTGCCCACTGGGCACTCGAAAGCTCCACCAGATTTATATTGAAATTGAAGTGCCGGTTATCCCGTTATTATGCATATTGTTTGTCCCCGAGGTACATGATAACATACTTGTCTGGTTGATCCACGTCTATATCTAACTGCTCTAGTGGTATGAATAGGCCGCGCAATGTGAGTAATGGTTTAGCATCCCGGCTTTGAAATACCCTAGACGATCTAAGTTTCAGTTTAGTATAAAGCGGCTATGTCTAACAGCCAATACACAAATAATTGCAATTATTACCGACTCGGCAGCAGTTATTTAATTGACACACTCGACTTGGTTAGATCGGTGGTCAGCTTTCAATACATACAGGTGCTAATCCATGCTCTTTGTTACATTTCATATTCTACTGAGAGTACCAAACTATGGCCTTTTTTTTCTTCTTAAGATATCCTATTTAATACCAACTATCAAGACTTACGTTGTTGACACCATCTAAGTTATTAAATTGGCCATCTTGTTAAATACGGTAGGATAGGAGGACTAATAAGTTATGTTACAGTGAGTTACATTTAACTAGGATGAGGCCGTAATGGCATTTAGGGCGTTAGCCTCGCCTGCCTTCAGATGGTGTCGACAATACTGACGTATGGTTATCGATCTGCCAGGTTTAAAGAGGTTTTGGAAGTGAACAAACACCCTCATTTATCTTGTTAACCATAGACCATAAATGAGCATACTTCACCATGGTTTATTCCTCCTGCTCGGATATTAATTAAACCATACAACCGTCCGAAGAGTGTAAAGGTTAAATACCCATTATCACATGCATATATCACATCATCACGATATCTGCATTCTCTATGCTGCAGTGACCGCAACCTTTACCCCTCTAGTGTTGACAGGGCCGGCCCGCATAACAGGAACATAGCCGCCAGGGTCACGGCTCTCAACACACTTGAAACGTATGCAAAATCGTGCAATGATATAGCTAGCCTCTGTCGTTACCAGGAGCTGAGCAGGGCAGCGCCGCGGTCCACCTCCAAATGGCACAAAATTCCAAAATGGCCGGAGGCCAAACCAACGATCAGGTCTGAACTCATCGGCGTCTTCGCCCCAGATGTCTTTGTCCCGCTGCATCACATTTTTGTTCACCTGTACGACATCACCCTTCCTCACAAGGATGGGTGATTTTCCGTCTTTGCCGCCTCCAAGTGGGAGTGTAGTGTCTTTAACACAGTACCTCACTTGCATTATACCATTGGGGTAGAGCCGATGAGCTATAGGCGGTAGTGGTGAGCTGATGAGTCAACGTGTCTACATACTTCGCGGGAGGGGAAGGGAGGGGAGGGAGCCTGAATGGATGAGCAGACTTACTCTCGTTGAGCACCGCTTGAAGATATTTCATATTTCTCAGGCACTCATATGTAAGGGCCGCATTCTCTCCGGCAGACAGTACTTCCTCCCTCACTCTTGCATAGACGTCAGGATACCGAGCAAGGTTCCAGAAGATATTGCTGATGAAGATGGAAGTTGTGTCATTGTTCGGCACAAACAAGAGCAGCATCTCTGACCGCAGCCGTGCTTTATCCTTGGGGACCTTACGGACCATAGACCAAAGCAGGTCAGTTCTCTCAGTCTTTGACTGAAACCTGAAGGTAGATTCCATGTCATTTGCGCCTCCGCTATTTTCCTCTTTAGCCCTTTCAATGTAGGCTCGGTCGACTTGGCGGTCAATAAACTCATGGACTATCTCGATCGCATTCAACCAACGTTTCCACCTAAACATCCACAGCCACTTGCTCATCTGCAGACGCAGGCGCAAGCCGCGCAGAATATCAGTCATAGCCCAAGCTATTTCTGCTCTTTCTGGATAAAGGAGGCAGCTAATGGACTCTCCAAACAGGAAATGGGTAGAAGTGTCCAGAAACTAGATATTTTCTAAGGGTTAGCGTCATCCTATGTAGTCCTCTACCTAGATAACCTTTGGTTTAGTGAGAGGAACTTCATACCCAGCGCTGCATCAAAATCTGCATGTCAAATGTGGATCCATCAAGGGGAATCAGACTCAGAAGGTTATCTGTGTGCTCCTTTAGCCTATCTGTGTTCGAAAAGGCCTCCCGCAAGAAGTACGGCTTGATCAGGAGCCTGCTGAAAGCCCAGTCGTGACCGTCGGTGGTGTTAACACCCTTGTCAGCGAAAGGCATGCTGGCTCCTGTCCTGCGACGCAATGGCTCGACCCCAAAGTCGTTCCAGACCGTCGCTGATATGGCTTTCATATTCTCTGGCTCAATGGTGTGGATGACATGTCGGCCAAGGAAGTCTATAGTGAATGTCTTTGACTTACCTGGCCCTGTCTCGTGCAATTTTCGAAGCCAGAGAAGAAACGTATGATCCCGTAGTGCCTTCGCCATTGATAAAGCGATGTCAAACCCCATAATAGGAATCCATTGCGGGTAGCGGGGAACTGCCTTACACCCCTTTCGCCATTCATTCCATGACCTTGAGAATCTGGATATTGCTAAATTCGCAGTAAAGAAGAAAGCGATGACATACAATAAATAAACCAGCTTAGGCGCTGCCTCAATTGTCATATGTGGGATTTCAAAGCCCCATTTCGCCAGAACCATTGTGGAAATGTGGAAACGGGTGATAACCCATCAAATTAACTTAGGCTCCAAATTGGTACGTTTTACCACAAAGGAGTTCTACCTACTATCGAATTTATGAGCTTCCCGTTAGAAGTAGAAGGTATCAGCCAAGGAATATTACACCAATTGACAGATGAAAAAATGATATCAGGATTTGTCCGTAATCTGTTGTCGGCCGGGGAGTTAATGCAGAGATTCGGGGAGATAACCACCGCACCATATTTCCGACTACCCATGGGAGAACCTCACCTTACTAAGCTTGTATAGAGAGCCTTCCCGGTTACCGTTTATGAATAATTGCATGTTTTGGTGTCCGGATATCTTCTGTCAGTATCAGCTGCATTATGATTGAAATACCATGCTGAACCTGGGCTCCCAATGTCGGAAGCATAGGTAGTTAATCGATAACAAAACCAGAGTTATCTTAAGTTGTTAATCATGAACTTCACGCGACAGAGCTTCATCAGCTTGGTGTATCCTGGCCCTGGAGATATGGAGGGGCTAGATAATGCCCTACGCTCGTTCATCCAGTTTCTCGGTGTCGGCCTTTTCACCCTTGCCTTTTTCCTTTGGCGTAATGGGAATGTGAGTAGATTTCACCCTAGATAGTCGGCGAAATAAGACCGGAGGGAAGAAGTAGAAAAGGAAAAGATAAACCTATATTTGAGCCCTTGGAACTGCTAACAATGTTCAATAGCAAATTAAATGCATCGATATAGACGGGGTGCAGATGAAGGAGATGAGTGTTAGCCCAAAAGCAGCCGCCCTATTTACGTACAATTGGAACCCTGAAAAACCCCTCTGGATTCGCTCTATCTTTCGCTAATAACAGGTATGGGCAGGCCACAGGTATCTAGGCAGGGAGAAGAGCTAGCACACGACGAGCCATATCTTATCCGTGATGGCAATTATCAAGAAGTTGTTCTGCACACGGCAGAGCATGTACGGGAGTTCTTGCGCAACGACGCCAAAGGCATAGACAGCGCTTGTCCTGAACAATTCCATGGAGGCACAGGTTTCGCTAATGCTGTATAGATCATTTTCGGCCAGAGAACTTGGGCTTTGGTGATTACTTCTACCGGTTTGTAGACACTGTGTTCCCTAGATCTGCTGAAGGTATAGAAACTGATAATAGATAACTTGGGGGAAAGCGTACTTGGACAATGTGTGGGAGCCGTTAGCGGAGAACAGTGGCGAGTTATCCGAAGCTATTTCGATACAGCATACACAAACAGCGCCAGCTTAGCCATGCTCCCATCTTTTCAATGTGAGGTTTCTAAGTGGTTGTCTGCGCTTAAAAATGATTCTCTCCGTTCCGGAGTGGGTAGGTTAGTTGTGCATGCGCCCACATCTTGCAAATCCTTGACATTGCGGGTTATACCCCGGAGCTTCTATGGCGAAGCATACAATGAAGCTGTAAGTATTTTTCTTCTTCCTCTTCGTGAAATCACCAGAGCTGATACCTGATTCATTTCATCTTCATCTTTCAAGGCACATGGAAAGTTGAACCATATCAGCAAGCTTCAGGCGCAGGTTCTCCGGTACGCTATAACGGGTAGATGGCAGAAGCATAAGTGGTTCAACTTGCTTCCGACGTACTCGAGGCGGTTGTTAGATACCTACAACCGGGACTGGCGTGTCTTTAATCTTGAAATGCTAGAAAATGCACGAAAGGTACATACGGAGTATATCCCGGCCATAGGCTTCGTTGGGTCTGACATGAGAGGCAGATGGAATTAATAATTCCGGCAGAGCATGCATTCAAAGGCGTGCAGCCAAACAATGCAATGTCTATGGAGCAGGTATAGACATATTGGACCTAGTAACCATGAGAAATATATAGCTGATCTCTCTCTTGTCCAGTATCTCCAAACCATTGACGAGATGCTCTTCACCAATATTGAGGTCACCGGCAGTATCTTGGCTTATATATTCAGCCAGCTAGCCAAGCATCAAGATTTCCAACAGCGGCTTTACGATGAGGTTTTGGCCTCTAAGTCCGCAGGAGAACTGTATCTGCGTGGCTACTTGGGCCAACAAAACACCCTTTTGCACTACCTGACCTTGGAAAGCGTACGGCTGCGGCCTGCTACTTGTAAGGGCTTTTCAGCTTCCTTCCATCATCGCTCAGATATGATCGCTGACCAGGACGCTCCGCAGGGTTCTCAGCGCCAGAATGTATCGCAACTGACAAAGTAATCGGGCGTTACAAGATTCCGGCCAAGACACCAATTGTAATTGACGTCCGTCGCCTCAACACTAGCGCCATGACCTGGGGTCCTGATGGCACCAAGTTTCGCCCAGAGCGCTTTGCTGCCCTCTCACCAAATCAATATCGTTACGGATTCATGCGGTTCGGCGTCGTGTCCGGTAAATGTTTAGGCAAGCACATGGCGGAACTGTTAATGAAGGTGGCCATAGTCACCGTCCTAGAACAGTACAAAATAGGGGAGATGGAAGTTTGCATCGGCGTCAAACAGGGGGACTTAGCCTTTATCAGGCGCTAACAGCTGTGAGGGTAGGTATGAGAATGGATCTAAAGGTGACGAGGTAACTAGTTATTGCACACAAAATCACCTTCTATTTGCCGACACATTTATATAGCATCCATTATATCATATCAACTATTAATTTGACTTTTATACTGTTAAACAGTCTGAGTCTGCTGTAAAGGGTAAAAAAGTTGTAGTGTATACCTAACTAACAGAATTTCTAGTACGGGAGTACTTTGTAGATAGGCGAGGAGAACTCGATCTCAGGCTGACGAGAAAAATGCTGTAGAGGAAGAAATAACGCCTCCCCCTAACCGGCCATCCCTTTGACATGGGATAACTAATATATAACCATATGGCGGTGGGCTTCGGACTCCAACGCCAAAAAAAAAAAGAAAAAGAAAAAGAAAGAGAAAGAAAAGAAACGTTATCAGATTGAGATATTGTACACTAACTTTACTCCGCTCATATCGCCTTTCCGCACTCTGTCGAGGCCATTAATCACACCATATAGATTATGCATGCCTTCCTCTACCGGGTGTGGATATATCTGTCCGGGTGAGTCAAGGATAGCCTGTACACTGTGGCACCAGTCCTCGGCAAAAGATAGATCCCTGGGGCGTGCTGGTCTTCCAAACGGCCTGGGTAAGTTTATGGCCTTTCCAAACATGGTATATACCAGGATGTAGTCGGGTTGTATGTCACGGCGTGTGTGGGCACGCACAGGGAATGGGTTCAGCCCCATGTATCTACCACCGAGGTGCCCCATAGCTGCATAACAGATTCTCATGGAACCAACATCAGCAATACAGTCGAGTGCATAGGCGAGAGAGTCAGCGGTGTACCGTTTTATATCATCAGCACAGCTGGGAGACTGGTAATCGAAGACCGCCTGCGCTCCGCGTGCCTTGACCATGTCGAAGTTGCGTGGAGAACAAGTGCAAACTGGCACAAAGCCCGATTTGCGGATCATCTGCAAGGCTATAGCACCACAGACCGTGCTTCCGCCGTAAACAAGCACGTATTTCGGAGCAACTTTGGATTTTTCCGGTGATGGTCTCCCCCCTTGCATAGGCTTCGGGGACATGATAACGGGTGTCACGGCAGCGGCTTCCCTCGTTTCACAGGCTCCCCCAGCCTTGTTGAAATATGGTGGTGGGAGGCGCAATGCATGGTAAAGTGCCATGCCCACTGTAGGAAGTGCAGCACCAAGCGTAGCACCTTGTTGGTACGACAAATGACTGGGGAGCACAAAGACTAGATCCCCTGTCGCGGCCACATACTCGGCAAACGCCCCATTGCTCGGACGATCCACATTGTTCCCCAAGACACAGCCAAACACTGGGGTACCGACTTTGAGCCGATTATTCTTGACCAAGGGGCCAATCTTAGCCACATCGCCTGCAAACTCGCAACCGGCAGTCGCCCCAACAACTGGTGACATATCGAGAATCTTGACGTCAACAGGATTGATCCCCACACATCTCACACGAACGAGGATTTCGTCCTCTTCCATCGCTGGCAGAGGACATGTCTCATGCGCTTCAATTTCGTTCAAGCCTTTCACCCTTAGAACTCGCTGGGATATTGGCAACGGATCCATTTAATATGAAGAACAATCAAATACTATGATGTAAACTAAAGATGCGGAGTGAGAGGGTGCAATCAGGTGGACATATCTCTTCGTCTTTATCAGTCCCATCTGCCTCCTGGCAAAACAGATCTCCTCTTGTGGGTGTAGCGAATATCTTGAAGAGAGACCTAGCCGTGTCCTCCAACGCATGTGTTTCTAAGTATGTATATCATCTTGCTGACGGCGTTTAAGGGTGCCACGTAAGCACGGGGAGACAATATGGAGGAAACCACTCCGCCCCCTATTGTGAGGCTCGGGGAGATGTCGGAAGTAAATATTTGTCCCCCTGGACCACAACGGACAAAAGGCCTGATGTCGTGTGCGCGAGTACATTACATAAGCCGCTAGTGAATTCATGTGACTGAAAAAGAGTTTGTGCTTAGTCAGTAAGTATGCCTTAGCTTTCAAGACTTTCAGCGGTTACTTCAACGACATCCGTTCCATGACTTGACAACTCCATCTAGAGCCCTGTTTCCTACCTTTTACATTGGCGTTTATTTTTGATTGTGATGTTATAGACCCCTTCATAAAGAGCGGAGAGGCGATATGGAGTTTGAATCCCATGGAAGCCCCTATTCCTTTCCTGGCGTGGGTTAACTATGCTTGCCGGGGAGATAAAAATGCAGGTGTCTTTTCGCAAGGAAGCACCGCAACAAACGTATCTACATTGATATCGAGCTCCCGAGGTTAGGTATCGTCCGTCCGGAAGCATAGACCTCAAAAATATGGTTTCGGGTGAATCTTTAGCCTTGAGTAAACTCCGTTGTAAACCTCCGTGCTTTCAACGGCCACACAGGAAACTTGGGACAGCCGACATAGGAACATATCAAGAGGATGGATAGGAGTATCAATGAATTTCTGAAATACAATTTACTTGTTTACTGTCAATTTCACTTAATCAAGACGCTGTGTGTATCAGGGCAACTTGAGCTTGTATACCCTTACCTGCATACACTATCTAAACATAATATTGGAGCCGTATGTCGGAGCCAGTGGGCATCATCGGCTCAGCTTGCCGCTTCCCAGGCGGAGCAGATTCACCATCTAAGCTGTGGGAGCTGCTAAAGGATCCAAAAGATGTTCTACGCGAGTTCCCCCTAGACAGGCTGAATCTATGGAGCTTTTACCATCGCAACGGCGAGTATCATGGCAGCACTGACGTACAAAACAAGAGTTACCTTCTATCACAAGATATCCGCCTGTTCGATGCCCCGTTTTTTCGCATAAGTCCCTCGGAAGCGGACTGTATGGATCCTCAGCAGCGCATGCTTCTCGAAACGGTGTATGAGGCGCTGGAATCAGCCGGCTGCACCCTTGATCAAATACAAGGCTCCCTAACATCAGTTTACGTTGGCCTCATGAACGGTGATTACGCTGATATCCAGACGCGTGACATTGAGACCATAGCGACTCATCATGGCACCGGTACACGTAAGCGAACCTCCTCTACACTAATCAGAGTGTATTATTTTATTCACGCAAAATTGGACATTAGTAAGCTAACATAACGTGTAGACCGCAGCATCATATCGAATCGTATATCCTACTTCCTGGATCTCAAGGGCGCATCTATGACCATAGATACTGCCTGTTCTAGCTCCTTAGTTGCTCTTCATCAGGCAGTACAGAGCTTACGACTCGGTGAGAGCGATATAGCTATTGTGGCAGGCGCTAATCTTATACTCGATCCAACCATGTACGTGGCCGAGTCGAAGCTACACATGCTCTCTCCAGACTCCCGTTCCCGCATGTGGGATTCGGCAGCCAACGGGTATGCCCGCGGGGAAGGATTCGCTGCCGTTGTTCTGAAACTACTAGACAAAGCCATTGACGATGGAGATCATGTAGAGTGCGTCGTTCGCGGCAGTGCTGTCAACTCAGACGGCCGGACCGCAGGGATCACGGTCCCTAGTGCTACAGCCCAAACCATACTGATCAGGCAAGCGTATAGAGACGCCGGTTTGGACCCCTTGATTGATCGCTGCCAGTATTTTGAAGCTCATGGGACTGGAACCCCAGCAGGGGATCCGGTTGAAGCAAGGGCCATCCGGGATGCCTTCTTCCCCGAGGGGAGTGAAGATTCAGTCCTCCCGGGGAATCTGCTGGTGGGTTCTATAAAAACAATCGTTGGACATCTTGAAGGCTGTGCTGGACTTGCCGGAGTGTTGAAGGCGTCTCTTGCTATGCAAAACAGAACTATCCTGCCCAACATGCTCTTTTCCGAGCTGAACCCGGCCATTACCCCCTTTTATGACCGTCTCGAGGTTCCGACAAAGATATCTGAGTGGCCCGAAGTCCCCGTTGGCTCGCCCTTGCGCGTCAGCGTCAACTCCTTTGGCTTTGGAGGCACCAATGCTCACGTCATTCTTGAAAGCTTCGATTGTGGGGAAGTAGCACAGACACGGCAGGATGATGATAAAGACGCAACAACCGAGCGCTTCGTAGGGCCGCTGATCATATCTGCAAATTCACGTGACTCGCTCTTGCGATCTGTCAAAGAATATGCTGATTATATCCGCAATAACGTGCAGCTTGATCTTGCTGACATTGCTTGGACGCTGCAGTTTCGACGGACACAGTTTAGCAACAAACGTGCTTCCTTCTCAGGCGCCACACGCCAGAAACTGCTGTCATATATGGACGTCTTTGTTGCCGACAATATGGTGTCAACTAGTTCGGGGACGGGGGCTATTACTAGTGAAAATCCCTTGTCACTACTTGGTAATGATACCCCTGGGATCCTTGGCATTTTCACCGGTCAAGGTGCACAGTGGCCTTCTATGGGCCGCAATTTAATTCTGCACTGCCCGCTCTTCCGTGAGTCCATCACCAGGTGCGAAGCGTCGCTGGCCTCGCTAAAAGTTGACCAGCCCATGTGGTCTCTAATGCAGGAGCTTCTCGCAGAAGGGGAACGGTCTAGGGTCCACGAGTCCGCTATTTCGCAGCCTCTTTGCACGGCTGTCCAGATCGGACTTGTTGACCTCTTACACGCTAGCGGTATCTCCCTGCGTGGCGTAGTCGGCCATTCTTCGGGTGAGATTGCCGCTGTGTATGCGGCAGGCATAATATCAGCCAAAGATGCTATCCGAATCGCATATTATCGTGGTTTCCACGCCAAACTGGCCAAAGGTCCTAAGTGCGAGCGTGGCGCTATGCTCGCTGCTGGGCTATCGTTTGAGAGCGCAACGGACTTTTGTGCAATACCAAAGTATAATGGACGTGTTACTGTTGCAGCCTTGAATTCCCCGTCCAGCATCACCTTTTCGGGTGACGCAGATGCTATCGGCGAGCTTAAGAATGAGCTGGATTCCCAAAAGACGTTCGCCAGGAAATTGAATGTTGCTACGGCTTACCACTCGCATCATATGGCGCCCTGTGCGGAGGCCTATCTCAACTCCTTGAGGGGATGCAATATCCAGGTCCATCGGCCAAGTGAGGCCTGCATCTGGGTCTCTAGCGTGTACGGAAATACACATCCCCTCCTAGATGACCAGACTGATGACTGTCTTGCTGTTCTGAAGGATCAATACTGGGTAGACAACCTCCTTAGCCCCGTTTTGTTTGCCCCAGCTTTAGAATGCTCCCTCTACAGAGCCGGACCCTTCGATATTGTGACTGAGGTTGGGCCACACCCCGCACTTAAGGGTCCAAGCACGCAGACTCTCAAGGCTTCATTGGGCTCTTCGCTGCCATATTTTAGTATTATGCGACGCGGAGATGATGAAGTCGAGGCTTTCTCAGGAGGCCTGGGCCATCTATGGGAACATTTCGGTGCGGCGGCGTTGATTGACTTTGATGGACATCGTCAAGCTTTTACACGCATTGACCAACTGAAAAGCACCAAGGCTACTACCACCACACGACTTATCAAGGGGTTGCCCTCCTATTGCTGGGATCATAACAGAAAGTATTGGAAAGAGTCTCGCATTTCACGCAACTTTAGACTCGATGACCGAAAAATCCATGAAATACTTGGTCGTAGAGCAACTGATGATACAGCTGAGCTACTACGATGGCGCAACATCCTTCGCCTGACTGAGCTGCCTTGGGTAAGAGACCATGCCTTCCAGGGTCAGGCTATTCTTCCAGGTGCGGCATATATCTCAGCCATTATTGAGGCGGTCAAGGCTTTTGTTAGCGACAAAAACATCAAGCTCGTTGATATCTTTGATTTCAAGATCCCCAAGGCTGTTGTCTTGCAAGAAAATAAGTCAACCGAACTCACAACTACCCTCGGACCCGTTGTTCGCAAGGCTGACAGCGTGTGGTCAGCCGAATTTTCATTCTCCGCAACCGTAGCGGATGGCCTGGTGGCTATACCTGAGAGAACATGCTACGGCCGAGTTGAAATCCATGTTGGAGAGGCTGACTTCCATTTGCCGTCTCCCGAGAGACCACCGCCTAACCTAAACGCTCTGAATATTGACGTATTCTACAAGGCTCTTAAGGAGCTAGGCATCGACTACAGGAGCTCGTTCCGTGCAATCAAGTCGGCCCAACGAACTGTAGGCTATTCCTCGACTCTGGCGGCTTGGGATATTGCGGATCTCGGCAGTTCATATTCACTGCATCCTGCGATACTAGATGTCGGCTTCCAATCGGTGCTGGCGGCACTTGCGTCACCGCAGACCGGCCAGATGTGGACCATGTATCTCCCCGTGGGAATTCGAAGGGCAACCATTCGTCTGGGGCCCCTCTCTCACGCTGGAGCATCTACAAAGGATACTGAAATTAAGTCTCGCAGCTCAGCCCAAATAACCTCTTTATCGAGCAATGGTGTCGAAGGTAATTTGCAGATCGTGTTTGGCTCATTTGTGGGTGTGCAGGCCGAAGGCATTGAACTACAAGCGACGGGAGACCCTCTAGCTGGCGCAGACCGGGTGCTTTTTTCCAACACCATTTGGGACAGTGACATCTCAGCGGGTATGGATAAGGTTGTGCTGGAGTCGCCAACAGATCCAGCGACTGATGATGAACTACTCGAAGCGCTAGGCCGCACCTCTCTCTACTACTACCGAGTCCTACTGGACGAAATCTCTCCACGCGAGATGAAGAGCTTGGCGTGGCATCACCAGATGTTCTGGCAATCGGCAAAGCACTGGGTTGAAGAGGTGAGAGCTGGACGTCACCCAAGCGCTAAGCGCGAATGGCTAGACGACACTCGTGATGCCGTGTGGAAGCAAGCCGAAAGGTATGAGCACACCGTCGACATTCAAATTACCCGCAGCTTGGGCGAGAGGCTGTTGTCCATCGCGCGTGGTGAGACCCAGCCACTGGAAGTCATGATGGAAGGTGATATGTTGAGCAGGTTTTATGTTGAGTCCTACGGGCTCGATAGCATGAACGACCACATTGCACGCGCCGTTGCGCAGATAACCCATCGATTCCCGCAAGCAAACATCCTTGAGATCGGTGCCGGCTCTGGAGGGACTACCAGAAAAATACTGCGTGCGGTAGGCAATACGTTCAGGCACTATACCTTCACTGATATATCGTCTGGGTTTTTTGAAAAGGGGGCCGCTAAGTTCGCCCCATGGCAACGGAAGATGACTTTTAAAGTCTGTGACATCGAGAAGAACCCAATTGATCAAGGATTCGATGAGGAGGCGTACGACATTATCGTGGCGGCTAATGTTCTCCACGCCACCCGCTGCCTCTCTGACACGATGCGCCACGTTCGGCAGCTATTGAAGCCAGGCGGTTATCTGGTAATGATGGAGATCACGGGTGACCTCCTCCGCTTGGGTTTTATCATGGGCTCGCTACCGGGCTGGTGGCTCGGGCCTCAACTACGTGATGAGGGTCGCCAGTGGGGCCCTGGAATCTCCTGCGTGCAGTGGGATGACCTCCTGCAACGCACTGGCTTTTCTGGTGTCAACCATATGGCGACAGATAATCCCGATCCCCATAAACAATATGTATCCACGCTGATAAGCCAGGCTGTCGATGACGAGTTTGCGCTGCTGCTCAATCCGCTAGCCGGTTTTAGTCCGATCCCAGCATTACCCCATAAGTTGCTGATACTAGGTGGCGAGACGCTTCACATTGCAAAAGTAACCCAAGAGCTGAAGCGAACACTCAACCCTTTAGTAGCTACCATCGAGACCATCTCACGCCTTGAATATATCAACATTGGCCCTGAAGAAGAATTGTCTATCATCAGCTTGACAGAGCTTGATTATCCGCTCTTTGCCAGTCTGATGACGGCCACAAGGCTGAAAAATCTGCAGACCCTTTTAAAGGCCTCGTCATCCGCCCTCTGGGTGACAGCTGGATGTAGAAATTCTAGCCCAACGTCCAATATGTTTGTTGGCATCGCTCGGGCCCTGCGCGCTGAACGAAGCGATATCAACTTACAGCTCCTAGATGTCGGAAATCCGACAGACACGAGCGCCAAAGTACTAGCAGAGCATTTCTTGCGGCTAGTTCTGGTGAAGAAGCAAGAGTACGCTGATAAACGAATGCTGTGGACAACCGAATCTGAAATTGCACAAGAAGGGCAGACTCTGCTAATCCCACGCCTTGTTCCCGATAAACTACGGAATGAGAGGTATAATGCCTTGCGCCGTGTTATCATCAAGGAAGTTACCTCGGCAGACACTGAAGTTGAGGTCGAGGCCAGCGGGAGCATGGTTTCGCTACTAGGAGTAGACTCAAGGCTCTTCCGTCGGTTAATGACACCTTCAACTTTAGAACAATTCAGCCTCCACGTCCATCTGTCCATGGCTCTTCCTCACCCAGGCCAGCACTACTTCTTATGCTATGGCACAGTCGGATCCATAGTTGGACAGGAGGCCTTTGTTCTCTCTCGGGTAAATCGGTCTGTCATTCTCTGCAATTCCCAAGATGCTCTTTTGCTCGATTCGGCATCATCAGGTGAAAAAGGAGATAAACAATCAATTCTCGAAGCCCTTGCTGCACAACTTATAGCCCGCAATTTGGCATCTATTCTTCCTCGAACAGGAGCCGTCTTAGTGTATGAGCCACCATCTGAGGCCCTTGCTATAGCCATCGAGTCAAGCAGTCTGTGGAAAGGACGTCAGGTATACTATGCCACATCACGAACGGATAGATCTATGCCTTCCAGTTGGATCTCCGTTGATCCTTATATTTTTGGCCGTTTCATCAGACAGAAGTTTCCAGATGACATTACCGCCGTGGTTGACTTTTCTTTGTCAGATTCTTCTAGTATTTTAGCCGTTGATGCCACCAAATCTGTCATCAGGCGCTTCGAGCCATCTCTCCTCAAGGTCAACAGCCAAGAACTCACTAGTGCGTATTGCGATGCTCTGCCAACCATCAGCCATGGCAAGTCGGTAATAGAAACTAAAGCTATTCCGCTTAATGCGCTTTCCGGAAATTCTTCGTCCATCCTGGCGTACCCAGCCGTTATTGACTGGCGCAGGTGGCAAGATAAGGAACCAACCATAGTCCAGGTCAAACCACTTATAGCAACCGGAATCTTTACATCGTCCAAAACTCATCTCATGGTGGGTCTCAATGGCGACCTCGGCCAGTCTATCTGCGGCTATATGGTCAGAAACGGAGCTCGCCATATAGCCATTGCAAGCCGACGCGGTGAGGTAAACCCAGACTGGCTGGAGAGCATGCGAAAAGACTACCGGGCAAATGTCCGCGTTTATAAGATGGATGTAACAAACCAACAATCTATCCGTTTGGCGCTAGGCTTGATCAACACCGAGATGCCCCCGATTGGAGGAGTAGCCAATGGCGCCCTAATACTTCATGACAAAATGTTCATGAACATGGATGCGGAATCCTTGAATAAGACGCTGATGCCGAAGGTAGACGGCTCCATATACCTAGATGAGGTCTTCTCGAACCTAGACCTCGATTATTTCGTGCTCTTTTCATCTGTAGGCACTGTTGGTGGTAATCGTGGCCAGGGCAACTACCATGCAGCAAATATGTTCATGACAAGCCTCGTTGCAAACCGTAGACTTAGGGGCCTGGCTGCTTCAGTGATCCACGTTGGTATGATACTTGACGTTGGCTACGTCGCAAGGCAAGACCGCAAGTTGTTTGAACACATGCGGAAACAAGGCTTTATGCCAACATCTGAGACCGACGCTCACTTCCTCTGGGTTGAGGGTGTGCTAGCAAGCCCGGCTGACTCGCATCTTGACGCCGATATTTGCATGGGCTTCGAATTTTTCGAGGATAGAGGGGACGATTCGGCAAGACCGCCTTGGTACCATGATTCACGGCTCTCGCACTTTATCACGCAGCCTGAAGAAGAGACGAGTGATGCAAGGCGAGCCATTGGTCATTCACTACACATCAGACAGAGACTAGATGGTGCCAGGTCTGTAAAGGAGGCGCATCTTTTGTTGCAAGAGGCATTCTCCTCTAAACTCGAGGCGATGATGCAACTTGATGCCGGCACCGTCAACATTGATGTTCCTCTTCTGGACTTAGGCTTTGACTCACTCCTCGCTGTGGAGACACGCACTTGGTTCTTGAAAGAGGTGCATGTCGACGTACCGGTCCTTCGTTTTCTCGGTGGAGACACCGTCAGAGAAATCTGCCTCGACGCATCCACCGATTATCTCACTTCACGAGCATCGAAAAATGCAGAAAATAATAAGAATAAAACAGCCACTGACACATGTGGGATAATAGCCTCGGAAGCGGGCGAGCGACCCCAGTTGAAATTTGCAATATCTTTAAGCGATAGCGACCAATCGCTCCAGAACCCGTCCCCAAGCTCAATCTCTAACCAAGCTATAATAATGTCGACTATTACCGATGAAACTGAGGCATCTGACACGTATGTTACTATCCTCACAGACAGACATGGGGAGATTAGCGAAAAAGCACTGGAAAATTCAGGTATTCAAACTTGCGCTCATGTTCAGGTTCAAGACCCAGTCAGGGTCGAAACAATGTCTTACGCTCAAACTAGGCTCTGGTTTCTTGGACAATATTTAGACGACCCAACGACGTGCAACATCACCGTCCAATACGTGATCAAAGGTGAGCTGGACATTGATCAGCTTTGCAAAGCATTGGAGAAAGTCGTTAGCCACCATGCCAGTCTGCGAACGTGTTTCTACACTGACGCTGAGACAGGGAGGCCTACCCAGGGGCTCCTGCGCGCTCCACACCCATCTTCCACTCTCAAGTATCTCCAGGCATCAAGTCGCAAGGATATCCAACTCGAGTTTGACAAGCTAGCAAATTACCGGTGGGATCTCCATAATGGAGAGACGTTTGCTGCAACCCTGTTCCCAAGTAGCAAAGACGAACACATCCTCATTTTTGGTTACCACCACATCGTCATGGATGGTGTGAGCTGGTATACTGTCCTTCATGACCTAGACAAGGCCTATACCTCAAAACCACTAAGCCAGCAAAGCAAGTCATATATGGATGCCTCGATAGAGCAGAGATGTGCTGTTGAATCCGGTGCCTACGACAGGGAGATTCGCTTCTGGGAAGATATGCATGCAAAACTCCCTGATGTTATACCCCTTCTCCCTCTGTCCTGTGCTCGACGGCGGCAGCCACTACAACGCTACCAGAGCTACACATTCACGCGGGATATTGGCAGCGACCTGGTCGCCAAGATCAAGGACGCCTGCAAGACTCTAGGAGTGACACCTTTTAACTTATATCTTTCAGCTCTGCAGGTGCTCCTCCATAAGCTTCTTGATATTGATGACCTGTGTATTGGCGTCACAGATGCCAGTCGCAATGATCATGAGCTGGCCAAAACGGTCGGCTTCTTTTTGAATATACTCCCGCTACGTTTCAAGGTTCATCGGCAGGCTTCGTTTGCTGACCTAGTCCGGCAAACATCTCAGAATATATTAACAGCCCGTAGCAACGGCCACGTTCCGGTTGACGTGATCTTGGAGCGGCTCAGCGTCCCGCGGGACCCTTCCTTTAGCCCGCTCTTCCAGGTCGTATTCAACTATCGCATAGGTGCCATGGCTGAGGCCACCATAGGGAAATGCCAAATGTCAGTTGAGTCCATTCGCGATGCCGAAAGCCCCTTCGATCTCGGTTTTGGCATCTATGAATCTGCAGGAGGTTCATGTGGCTTGCAGATCATCACTCAAAGCTACCTTTATGACCCAGATGCTGCTGCGTGTCTGGCCCACTTGTACATAAGTATTCTTGACATAATTTGCTTAGACACATCTCAGATGCTTGGGCAATATGATCCATTTGATATGGGTGCTAGGAAAGGGGAGGCCTCTGTTAGAAAGGGACCACGCAAGGCTTGGGAGTGGCCTCCATCTCTCTCTGAGCGAGTGAATGATATGATCAGAATTCACAGGGACAGCGTTGCTATTGTCAACGCTGAGTGTCCCCAGTCTCTAACCTATGGTCAACTCGGGAGCCAAATACGCTCGGTAGCCTCTGCCATTCAGAAAGAGGACCCTACCCTTCACTCACGCATCGCCGTGTTGTGCCAACCGTCGATGGAACTAATCATCTCAATGTTGGCTATCCAGCAGATGGGTCATGTATATGTGTCATTAGATACAAATCTCCCAAACGAACGCCACGTCGCAATCCTGACTGATTGTAAACCTACCGTTCTCCTCTGCCATGATAAAACTTTGGCATCAATCCCATTACTTAATAACAAAGGTTTCTCTATTATCAATCTGTCTGCTCTATCTACTAATTATAGACTCCCATTATCCTTCCAAGCCGATCTGTACGATCCAACTCTCTCTGCCTTCCTTTTCTACACCAGTGGCTCAACTGGTCAACCAAAGGGAATCTATATCCCCCAATCTGGGATTTTGAATCATATTGCGCATAAAACCGACTATCTATCTCTTCAAAGAGAAACTGTCCTTCAGCAAAGCTCTTTCGGTTTCGACATGTCCCTCACCCAGATATTTGTTGCTCTTGCTAATGGGGGAACCGTTGTCATCGCCCCCAAGGCTTCTCGTGGTGACCCCATCGCTTTGTCCCAGCTCATGCTTGTTCACGGTGTGACAATTACGATTGCCACACCATCTGAGTATGCCATGCTGCTCCGCTACGGCCAGGCACAGGTACAACAGTGTAGTAGTTGGAAGCATGCTTGCATGGGAGGCGAAACTGTGACGAAACAGCTTGTGCAAGCATTTGCTGAGCTTGGAAACATGAAGTTACGACTGACGAATTGCTACGGACCTACTGAGGCATCACTTGCTGTAACGTTTGACAACCTCTCCCTAACTCTCGCAAGTGAAATGTCAGAATATGCCTCAGTTGGCACTGTTATTCCCAACAACTCGGTATACATTGTCGATGAGTTTTCTTCACAGGCCGTACCGATTGGGTTCCCAGGTGAAATCTGTATTGGCGGTGCAGGTGTGGCAATGGGGTATTTAAACCTTCCTCATCTCTCTGCGTCAAAGTTCGTGGAGGATCCATTCACTGATACGGCCGACATACAGAGGGGTTGGTCACGTATGTTTCGGACAGGTGACCGTGGAAGGCTTCGTACGGACGGGAGTCTTGTTTTCATGGGGAGGCTGGGAAGTGATAGAATGGTTAAGCTACGGGGTCTGAGGATTGATTTGGACGATGTAGCAAACACCATGGTACGGGCGGCGGGTGATGTGATAGCGGAGGCTGTCATTACGATTTATGGGGAATATGAGGAGAAGATCCTAATTGCGCACGTAGTGCCATGTCCGGGGAGAAAAGGAATGGAGCTAGCGAAGGGAGGATGGAGAGAGATAGTAAGGCGACTGCCTCTTCCAGCTTATATGCGACCATCACTCGTCATTACGGTGAATCATCTGCCGCAAACACCGAATGGGAAGGTTGATCGAGGAAGCCTTGAGGCGCCAGACTTTCAAACGCTAAAGCAAGTGTGTGTGGAGAATGAGGAGACGAAAAAGTTATCACTAGAGGAAGGGGAGCTTCGTTTTATATGGGAAGAGGTGCTTGGAGAGTCCTTGACGTCGCACAGAGCTGAGCTGACATCAGAGACCGATTTCTTCATGGTAGGCGGGAGTTCTCTCTTGTTAATGCGGCTTCAAGGAGCCATCAAGGAGACGTTAGGGTTGGTGGTGCCTGTTATTGAACTATATCAAGCAAGCACATTGGGTCGCATGGCAGCACGTATTCGAGTTGGGAAACAGCATCAGGAGCCTACAGAAGAGATTGATTGGGAAACAGAGACAGAGTACGATATTCCGTCATCATATATTCCCACCATGCCAGACAGGCATACAATGCAAGAATCCAACCGCGAGATCCTGATAACAGGGGCTCACACATTTCTCGGCTCTGAGATCCTCCAAGCGCTCATTAACGATAACAGTGTCAGACGGGTCCATTGCATAGCACTTCCCAGGGCAGCTGGCAAGAGAATAGTTCGATCAAGTAAGGTATCACCATACCTAGGCAGCCTTCAGGCCAAGTCACTAGGGTTATCCCCAGACGAGATCTCGTACCTGCAACCCCGTATCGACCTGATTATTCACGCCGGTAGCGTTGGGCATTGTCTAAACAACTACTCCTCACTCCGCCTGCCTAATGTTGGATCCGTCCGCTGTCTCGTGGAACTGGCCCTCCCCCGCCGTATACCCATACACTTCATCTCCTCTAATCGGGTGATTCTCCTCTCTGGCCATCAAAAACTTCCGCCCATTTCAGTTGGCCAACATCAGCCCCCTACTGACGGATCAGAAGGCTTCACGGCGTCAAAATGGGCGGGCGAGCGCCTGCTCGAGAGAGTCTCCCAAGCAACAGGCCTCGACGTGACAGTCCACCGGCCTTGCGCCGTCGTGGGGCCTAACGCCCCTAGTGAAGACGCACTTAACGCATTATTACACTTTGCGGAGGCACAAAACTCAGTTCCCCGCTTTCATAACCTTGCCGGCTACCTTGATTTTGCACCAGTCACAGATGTGGCAAGGAATATTTCCAATTTTGTGCTCAAGTGCCAGTACCTCGACAACGGCTCTTTCCATTCTGGAATTTGCGCTATGAATATTGCTCCACCGACCGGGGACTCTTCCATGACAATCGTGCACTACTCAAGCGGAATTGAAACGCCTGTATTAGACTTCCGCGGCCGCATGGAGACATTACACGGCCGCGAGTTTGATGAACTGGATTTCGCAGAATGGATGCATGAAGCTATCAAGAGAGGCATGGACTCTCTGATAAGTACATACTTAGAGAGCCTTATCGAACAGGATCGCATCATTAGTTTCCCCTATCTTGGTGAGGCGCTGGGAGAAGGACTGTGACTTTCCTTTCCAGGTACCTTTTTTTCATTTAAATCTAAGGAGGTTATGTTAGGTACACATAGATTCTCATGTACGGCCTAGCAATGAAGCTAAATTTATATACCGTATCTACTGATGATGGATATTTACAACTTGGAGTTACAAGGTAGATTGGGGTAAGACTTCTCCCATATGTGATAGGTTGCAGGCTACGCTTTTATATATATTATATATATACCCCTCAGAACTTAATCCCAAAGCGCTTTGACTCGCGCAGTCGCTGTCCATATATGTAAAAGATGAAAGGAAGTGGAATGAATGCGACAGCAATAAACCCAAGCAACGAAGTCCCCCAACCAACCCCCAGCTTGCCATACATGGCAGGTCCCGCGAGGGGCAGAAATGTTGCACAGAGGCAGCGGAAAATAGTGCTCGAAGCAGTCACCGAGGCAGCATAGACGGTGTATGCGTCGACAAGGTACAAAGTGCTGGCCATCTGAATGGAAGTTAGAGGCGAGGATAATATTTTATAATGGAAGGGGTAGACTAACATATGTGATAACCATGCCGCCCCCGAGAAAACCAGTTCCAATAATGGGTACGATCCAGTGCAATTTGTTCTCGGACGTCCAGGCATACCAGAATAACCCTGTGGGTACGAAAATACCTCCAATAACTATGGTAGGGAGGCGGTACTCTGGCTTGGTCTTCCCGCCATGTTTCTTAGTCAAGTAGGCAGAGAGTTTATCCGATACGGCACCGCAGAAGAAAACGCCAAAGATGGAACCAATACCTATCCCTAACGTTGCCAGGCCGGACGGGCCACTACCAAAGCCGTATTGCTCACCAAAGACTTGTGGAAAGGTGGTGAAACACAGGTACAGGTAGCTGTAAACAATGGCGGCGTATAGTGATAAGGAGAAGACGATAGGCAATAAAAGCATCTTCAACGGACGCAAAATAGAGAAGGCGAAGAGCTGAGATGGTGTTTTGCCGGTATCGAGGGCAGAGCGAAGTTTCATGTTACCCGTTTCTTTGCGCAAGCGCTCCGTCTTATGTTTGACCAATACGAAAGGATATGACTCCTGCATGAAGAGCACAACCATTATAGCGATTGGCGCGGTGGCAATGGCCATTAGCCAGAAGGCCCAACGCCACCCTGCGGTGGGTGTCAGGTAGCCGCCAACGATGGGCCCGATAGATGGTCCAAGCACGGCACCGATAATATAGGCAGCCATGGCTCCCGCGCGCTTCTCCTGTGCCACCATATCGGCAATAGAGCCCGTTCCCAGTGTAACGGGGCATGAGCCCGCGATGCCGGCAAGGAGTCGGAACACAATCAGGGCTGAGAGGTTATTGGCCACGGCGCATGTCACACTGAAGATGAGGAACAGGACGATGCAAACCTTATACAGAATCGCGCGTCCGTACATTTCAGACAAAGGGGCGATCATGACAGGGCCGAAAGCATAACCTAGCAGATAGATCGTGGTGGCAAATGTCAGGAGTGTCTCACTGCCGGCGTTAAAATACATCTTGATATCGGCTGCAGCAGCGGAGCTAATAGTCGAACCAATAGGTCTGCATAGAGGAAAAGAAAAAGAAAATCAGCAATTAGGATAGAAGATTGGCTGGAGGTAAGAAAAGGTGGAATATACGAGAGCAATGTCATTGTCGTCACCATGGCGATGGTAGCTGTCTTCTTGCCTAAAGACCAGTTCATGGGATTATCTGGGTCGTTTGGTCCATCAAAGTCGACCACTTCAGGGTCTAGGACCGCATTGTCCGATCTTTTCTCCGCTGATGAACGCTCGACATCGGTGGTTGTTTCAGGGTTGCCATGAGCAAGGGTTTTTTTGGAAGACATTACCGTGTCAGTCATGCTGGTAGAGACTAGAGTTGAAAAAGAAGACTAGGAGCGGCCGGTGTCGAACTTCCTTTACTAGAGAGCGACTGGTATCATCCTTTTTATTATCTCTGATGTCAGATGAACGTCGACAGACCACAGCAGCAAAGGCTGATTTTGATCCGTGTAAATAGAGGTATTCTTGTCTTTAAATAATCACTGAGTCAGTCAGGGCCAAAACGGAAGAATCAAGCCTTTTAGCGGTTTTGCGGAACAGCCGTGACCCTCTAAATGAGCAGCCGGAGCTAGTTAACCAAAAGAGGGAACAGCAATTGGAAGAGTGGAAAAGTCCTTGCATTTCGTACAACCAAACACTTACCTAAGTAGCTATCAGTTTAGTTATATAACTAGCGATTGTTGTGTTTATTAATATAAAAACGCCCTTGATTCCTTCATTCAAATCATTTCTGTGCTCATATAATTTTAAATATAGTGTCGCAATAGAGTTATCAGATCGAGACAGGTACCCACTTTATGGGGACTATCAAAGCTTTCCGCTGTGGGTCACCATAACCCTAACTTAAAACTCCGCGGAAATCCCGCGGCGCCAGTTCCAGCCGGGGAGATAAGTGGAGCCTCCTTCTCTAAAGTCCGCGCCCTTCGACCCTCTTCGCCATCGCTAAACTATCAAACGTCTGTTTCTCAAAGAGAGGCTCTCCGGCCTCTTCACACAGTGAGACGGCTGTTTAGCCATGTAACAATCACCAACTTTTATCGAAATGAGTACAATAGTTCTTGTCACTGGAGCCACGAAAGGTCAGCAAATGTTTTGAATGTTAGGATTGGTGTAATAGTCCAACTGATCGCATCTCATCACACAGGTATCGGAAGGGGCTTCGTGGAGCAATATTTGAAACGTGAGAATACGATTGTTGTTGCAGGAGTGAGATCACCGTCCTCTGCCGAGGCGACTAGTTTGTGTCAGTTTGATGTCGCACCAGGTAGCAGGGCGATATTGGTTAAGATCGATGCAAGGTCAGAAACGGATGCGTTGGAAGCTATTCAGGTACTGCAGAAGCAACATGGTATTGGGCGACTCGATATCATTATTGCCAATGCTGGCATCTTTTATCCAGCCGCCAACCAGAAGGTCCTTGATATGAAGCTTACCGATCTCCAAGAACACATCAACGTCAATGCCTATGGAGTTATCCGGCTGTTTCAGGCTACATGGCCGCTACTCGAACAATCCGAGAAGCCAATATTTCTTCTCAACTCAGCTGCTGCTGGAAGTATTGTTGGCATGAAGGCGTTCGCCCAAGTACCGCTCAATTCCTATGCTGCTTCTAAGATGCTGGCCAATTTCTTTATCACCAAGGTTCACTTTGAGCATCCCAGCCTCATTTCCTTTGCCGTCCACCCTGGATCCGTTGTCACTGAGAACAGGACGGCTGCTGCTGAACGTCTGGGTGTATCAGTCGAGGGCATCTCGGTCGACCAATCCGTGTTGAGTTTGCTGTCTGTAGTATGTATAGATATCAAGGCTGATATTCGATCCAGTTTAACTAACAACTTATAAGCTTGACAATGCCACTGTTGCGACTACTTCCGGCACCTTTCTCAATGTTGATGGGGTACCAATTCCTTGGTGATTTTTTTTTTGCTCGGTGTGGTATTAGTCATGGTACCGAGTTGGCCACAGTTGGCCACATTAAACGGCTGTGAGCTAATGATACTATATCAATAACAACAGCATTGAGCGAATTGATAGAGGATGATTGTTGATGTATTCCTCTAAAAGATACGTCCGATGGGCATCCATAAACGTCTACAGATATTTTACATACAAACTAAGCATTTCTGTGACTTTTATCCTACATACTATTTTTTTAACAGGTTAACTATGCAAATAAATCAACACAATAACATATACACTTGCAATGCGTTTGCCTCTAGACATCTCATAAGCAAGATATATTAATCATATCATGAGAACCCAAATACATACTGCGCTTCAGCACGGGGAGATAGCAAGCAATGCAGTTCTGACGGAGAGTTCGGGGAGATAAAAAATACTTACGATTTGTCTCTCTAATGGTATCAAATTTACTTACTCCTAGGTAATCTGATCCATTTAGGTAAGCCCTAAAGCATGCAAAAGGTTGATATATAAGGCAGGGCTTTTCTAGCTAACATTCCTCGATATTTGTTATTACCAACGCATCTAGACCTCCATAAAATTATATATTATCAAAAACCGTCACTATGTCCCTCTTCCGACAGCTTGCCAAAGACATTCAGGGCCACGTCGACGTTATCGACGACTCCCTGGCCAGACTAAATGCATCGCAGCCGACTTTTACAGCAGACAGCCCTACAGGTCTACCGCTCGACGCCCAAGTACAGCAAGCCCGTCTTCTCTTAATCGAAAAGGCTTGGGCAATAGCAAACCTCGCCATAGGATCCGCTGACCACCTGAGATGGCATATGATGAATGTAAGTCTAGGTGTCCATCCAGAGTCCAGCAGTTTCTGAGTAATAAACAGGCCAAATTCGACGATATGGCATTGCACTTCCTGGCTGAGTACAATGTCTTTGATGCGGTGCCACGCAATGGAAAAATCTCGTACTCAGAGCTGTCCAGAAAAGTCGACCTGGGTGAGCACCGCCTGCGGCGTGTGCTAGCCATGGCATATACAAACCACTATTTCTACGAGCCAGAACCGGGATTCGTAGCGCACACGAGTAACTCGGCCATCGCCATTGGCGACCCTCTGGCCAGGGGCTGGATCCTACATAATGTCGACGAAGTGCAGCCATGGTATACGAACAAGCTGCCTGCGGCGACCCGGAAATGGGGTGATACCACCGACCCGTACCATGTTGGGCCAAACCTGGAGGCCAAACCCGGAGAGGAAAAGACGTTTTACCAGTTCTTTGAAGAGGACGACCAGGGTGAATGGAACGGTGTCAAGGGAAAAGGCTTCCGCCTGTGGCGTCTGTACGATACAGACACTTTCTTCCAGACTGGAGGCGCCATCAAGGGCACAAATCTGCTACGCGCCTTTGACTGGAAGGGGCTCGGTAGGGCAACTGTGGTTGATGTGAGTACTCAAGGAGAAAAAAATCCGCTGAATAGGCAAGTCGTGGTTACTAACACTCAAGCATAGATCGCTGGCATTACCGGCTTCCTCGCCTCGCAAGTCGCACTCGCCAATCCAGACTTATCCTTCATCATACAGATGCGAAGCCAGCCATGGTATGAGAAGAAGTTCTACGAACAGCTCCCCGTTGCGCTACATAGTCGTTTCCGATATATGCCGCATGACAACTACTCGGAGCAGCCCATCAAGGGCGCCGAGGTATACTTCCTCGCCACCGTCCTTCACAAGGAGCCGGATGAGAAGGCCATCACCATCATCCGGCGCACCGTCGCGGCCATGGACCCTAAAAGGAGCCGTATCCTCACACGTGACATTGTCATGGATGGCGGTGACCCCCCTGCTGGAGACACTGTTCTTAATGGTAAGACTATTGACAACAAGAGTGTCTACCAGGCTGGTCTGGGCCCTACGGGTGCGATTACGAGACTTAATATCGGTATCGACTTCCAGGTGCTGTCGGTCATGAATGCGTTTGAACGTAACAGAGCGGAGTGGATTGACCTATTTGAGCGGGCCGACCCTAGGCTTAAGTTGAAGCAATGTGTCCAGACAGTTGGTGACTGTGCGTCGGTCATGGAGTGGGTTTTGGAATAGAATATCTTGCAGGTATAATGGACGGATGCTCTTTGCAGCCAAGATACGAGTAGAGGTTGTTGACAGTAGGGGCATTATCGGTTAAATATCATTAGCTACCTAACAATGAAAGGAATTTTCTGATAAGACGACCGCAGTTCCTAAGGCTTAGGCAATGCTTGCTATACCTTTGTTGGATGTCTTAAACTGTGCCCCCACGCCGTATTGCTTCCACGCCCTCTCGATGCCCAAGTCCAAGCGGTTATTTCTTGCTGGGACCAGAACATCTGATCCATCCTTGTTCATTGCATACACAACATTGTGCCTTTTGCCTAGGGTGAGTTTGATTGCGCCTTCGAGAAACAGTTGGGGAGTATACGTTTGGGACGGCTTCTCCCCACGTATGATGGCAAGGATATTGTCGACGACTACTGAAGCTTGCATCCAGCCGGCACGCGCCATGCGAGGGCCGCTGTGCTCAGCCACATCTCCAAGGGCGAATATGTGCGTTTCCAGGCCTGGCTCTGGGCCTGCAAAGACTTCGAGAGTAGGCTGGACAAGAATGCGGGCACTTTTCTTGGAGATGGTGCTTGGAAGCAGAGACGACAGGATAGCAGAGTTAGGCCGCTGACCAGTGCAGCCGATCTATTCATTATTGTATAGACAGTTAGAAATCGGCACTAACTAGTCACACCTGGATAGGGGGTAAAGCTTACGATGAGATCAAACTCCTCTACACGCCCATCGGCGAACACCAGCTTGGCTGACTTGGCCATGTTCCCCAACGCAGGCATCTCAGGCCGCTCTCGTAGTAAAACTCTGATACCGAGTTCGTCTTGCAGCGCCTTGAGAACGTAGTCTCCCAGTCGTCTGCCGAAGTGGCTAAGAAGTCGGTCCCTCGAGTGGATCAGAATCACGTCCTTGTCGGGATAAAAGTCCTTTATATCGCTCGCCAGCTCTACGCCCACGGCGCCTCCCCCCACAACCGCAATCTTGTGGCATGCCCGGATGGTCTCTTGCACCTCCTGTAACTCACGACAGGCTTCACTACGCTCTGTGGCCGATACTTGTACAGGTAACGGTTGCGATGACCCTGTTGCAATCGCGAGAAAGGCGTAGTCGATCCTGGCTCCGGAAGAGAGTATCACTTGGGTGTTGGTGAGACCAACCGCCGTGTCTTGGATACGCCTGAAGATGCCAGCGGGAGCGCCGTCCGCAATGCCGTCATAAGGGATGAGTGCCTCGTGTTCGTGGCCTTTCATAACAGAGAAACGAGGGAAGTTAAATGAGTAGTTCAAATGCGAGTTCTTTTCGACCAGCACGACCTTATACCCCGTTGGCAGCGTGTCGGCCAGCCGGTTCACTAACTCGACTCCCGCAAACGAACCCCCGAGCACAACGACGTTTTTGGCGCCCGGGCTGTCTTGCCATGTCCATCTATGGTATACTGCCTGTCCGCGTTGCAGGATGTAGCGGCCAAGATATGGAATGAAGAAACAGAGAGCCTGGGATATCAACCTGACGTTGTCTGACAACATTATAGTAGTAAAATAGCAGTGGGTGCTGACTGTGGGTTGTACTGCACTTGTGGCCGTCCCCTTGCTGAAGGCTGTGTTTAGTTATCTGACATTGTAAATTGTATGATTAGGTAGGGACAAGGCCAGCAAAAAAGTTGAAAGTATCCGAATAATCTAATCTGATCCGGAAGTGAGCGGATCAGGTGTGGGTACATATCATTTCTGCCGATCTCATGCTCCGATAAGAGCCGCACTAGTAAGAAAACAAGCTTGGCTTCCGCGGACCGCGTGGCGACGGACGGCGCCGCGGGCAACGCCGCGGATATTAGCGCCTTGGCGGATCCACTACCGTTATTTAGTATGTGATATATACTATGCATGTATATGCATGCGCCAGGGAAGTATCCCAATACAAACCATCAACCTACTATGTATAGCTGACTGCTTGGAGATGGCAGAGCCCAAAGAATCATAGGACGGAGATATACTCCGCAAGATACTCCGCGAAATGCCTGTAATAGCAGGTGCGCTATAATATGGCTTACTAAGTGAGATTATTACATCTCGCCTGCAAAGACACTTTGTTACCAGATCTTGGTGCTGATATAACTGGATCCATTTACGTAGCACTGCAAGGTATATATATAATAGGCTAAATAACAACTACAAAAACTCGAAACGCTTGATCGCTTTCAACTCATCCACCCGCGTTTCTCTTTTCTGTACCTACAAAGTTTGGTGGAACCATCCTTCATCAATATTAGCCAATTGATTTGACCAAGCATCCAAGCCACAATCCAAAAGTGAATTAGTGTCGCTAGCTTTCTCATTAGGTCGTTCAGGCCTGTTATTATTCGTACCCTTGCTAAAAGCCGACCCTGGGGAATTAATGCGGTTTGACGAGACAACCAAATCGAGCCCTTGTTCCCCCCGTGCTGTTGTACAGCTTATCCTATCCTCCAAGACGCGGTAACAGGAATCAAGTGTACGTTGTGCTGTCTCTGCCACGACCTGATCTACCCGAGGCCTGGTAGTAGCTCCTCGATGCTGGCCCCGTCGTCGAGAACCTCCCGCCTTCGCGAGCACGCAAGCTAGAAAGACGTGAGCCTTGACGCTCGTCTCGCCCATAAGAATGCGGCGGCGCGTAAGGGCGGCCCCATCCTCGATTGACTGAAGTAATTCTCGCCGCGACAGTGATGATGCAGCTGGCGACGAATCGTCCCGAAGCTGCGTCAAGTACTCGGCGCATACAGTAATGACCGCTGCCAAGAAAACATTTTTGAATATCCCATCACCGTACACGAGTAAGTTGATGCAATCTTCCTGTACGGAAGGTACGGTGTTGGCGTCTTGACCTCCGTACGGCTTGTTGGAGCCGTGGGTGTGTAAGGCCGCAAGCAAGAGCTGAGAGCTTTCTAGACACACAGTCCGAGAGTAGTAGTAATTTACGTCACTAGATGCCTTGTGTGCGAACTGTCCATGGAGCACCAGAAGGAAGCGCCTGGCCAATAAGTCCTGCAACTGGACCTGGAAGACAGACGGCTGGGTGGTAGTAAATGAGTCGATAAGGTCGGATGTCTCCCGGAGGATGGCCGTGAGTTCTGCGCCCATCTGGCGGGCCACTTCGTATTGAAGCTTGGCGTGGAAACGACTCAGCGTCTCAGTAATCTTTAGCCGGATTGGCAGCGATCTCATCAGGGCACATTGAATGGAATTCTGTGTGAAACAGCCCGTTGGCTTTGACTCTGGCAAGATCTCAGTTGATTTGCTGATCTGGCAGTCGTCGAGATTGGAGGGCAGCTCGCATGATTCCAATGCCTCTGCCGATATGATGGGGTCCACGCCGGAGTCGAGACTTGCCTGCACTACCAGCTCCAGCACTGTTGCCCAGAGCCTACGACGGATTTCAGCTTCAAGGGGCCCTATGGCAAATTCGACAGGCTTTATGTGAAGACCAACAGCCATGGCACTTTGGACAAGGGATGCCGTAGTAATCCAAAAGAGGTCGCCCCCAACGGTGCTGGTGTTTGTTAAGAGGGCGAGAACAAGCAAGCACTGTAGTTGCACACCACGGATATTGAGATTTCTCTTTCTGAAGGGAACCACCAATCTCATGTGAGCAGCAAATATCCACTGGGTCGACCGCTCATGCAGCGTCGTTCCATCATTGGCGCCGTCTGACAAACATAGATCCTGGTAAAAGCAGGTACCAATGGCCATTACAAGTAGTAGTAGGAGTACGAAGCTCTCGCTAGCCGCCTGGGGGTCATCCCAGTACTGCTCATACTCTTGTTTGAAGGTTGGCACATGTAGAACCCGGAATACTGACTCAAAAGTCCGTAAGTAGAGCTGCACCAACCGATCCGCAGTCTCTCTAGACGGTATAAATCTAGTGAGTGGCTGCGAAAGAAGTTTGGGGTTAGGCCGGCCCGTAGTCTTAAGGGTCCTTCCAAGTTGTTTGCACTTCTGGAGGATCGGATGCCCTTCGCCCCCGAAGACCGCATCGTTGATATCGTCAAAAAGGCCCTGCTTCTCGTACTATATCGAGATTAGCTGCATCACGAAGGGATAAGGTTAGTTATGACTAGTAATAAAACAGCTAGTTATCTAGGCTAGCGTAGTTTCAATAACTAGTTAAGTTACCATTCAACTAATTATAAATGATGGTATATATACCTTTTGGCAGAGTGTCATCCAGTGGCTAGGTCCATACAACCACAACTTCTTGGGGGATTCTTGGCCGGAAGAGGCATTAGATGAAGAGCCCGATGAATTTGCTGTACCCTCTATTATATCTAGACTCGTTTCAAGCGTATGCGTGCCGATAATGGAAGGGTCCAAGCAAAATGTTGCATTATTATTACCAGGCTCAACCGGCAAGCCGAATGGAAGCGATATTTCGTCAAGTTCCGCTGGATCAAGCCAGCTAGCAGAAGCTCCTGGATCAAGGAGTAGAGGCGTGGGTGGATACAAGTCCTCCGCCCCGACGTCGATGGTATTGATGAGGCCGCCACGATGATGGCCTGCCACCGTCGAGACGGGCAGCGGTGCTCTAGCTCCTGGTTCAGGCTGGGATACATGTGGAGAAGACATGATGCTACCATCATTGTCAATGGAGAATCTACCGCCGCTGGAACAAGAGCTGTAGTATGTACAGGCTGCCTTGGACTGGATGCACTGTGTGCACGGTGCGTTTCTGTCACACGCAATTTTCCGCCGGCGACACTCGGTGCAGACGATAGTCTGTCGTCTTCGTTTGCGGGATGGCCCGCTCTGTCCTGATCGAGCTCTCATAACTAGCTAGCTGTTTTATATAGACGGTAAGTTAAGCTTATAGAATCCGAAAGAGCAAAGCTAGGTAGAATGAATCGAAATGTGTTCTAGCATGATTCACCCTTAATATATAACTAATTAACCATCAAGTAGCTAGTAAACTAAACGACGGAGGAGCAGAGTAACCTGCATTCAGTGACTGCTTTGGGGACGGAGTCCCCTGCACGTCTCTTGGGGTCGAGAAAACATGCGGCTAGCCGTATATGTACTATGTGAGTATTAATTGTATAGGGATGTATGGATATGCAAAATCATCTCGGCAGTGAAGCATAAAAAGACCATGTTATTACGAATTTGCTGGGATTTTTACGTACATTATGGTGAGGCCAGCTTGCTGGCTCTTGGCCTACGTATTCCTACGAAATCCCTGCACTCTTGGCCGTGCAAAGCTGGCTGTGCAAAGCTGGCTACTTAATTATAGCCGTGGTAGATGAGATGATAATCCCTCTTTCGTATAGAATGTCTGGCGGGAGGCCCGCGAGATTATATGAATGGCTCCGAACACCACCTTGCAGGCTCTGGACACCACCCGTTAAACTGGGTTATGTGACCTATTAGGTAATCCTACCTGACGAATATCTGCTCTAGTTAAGAAGTAACGCAGAGTCTAATATAAATGATTTAGTAATTAGTTCTATTATTAACTATATACTACCTTCTAGTACTCTTATTGATTACTATATCATTAGTACTATAGTACTTTTAGCCTAATAGTCTCATAGTTCCAATCACTTTAATAAAGAGAGTAATTCTTTATCGAAGTAATATAATATTATAGATATAGATAAGTAAGTATTAATATATAGCTACCGAGGATATCAAGTATTGTAATAGCCATATGCCGGTAGCGATAATACGGCATATACCACTCGACCAAAAGATCATACACAGTGATGACGTTCGTCATCTCTAGTCGCTGCACTGCTTATATACTTTGATATTAGAATGCCACGTGATGTGGGCTTAGTGGCAAGTATATTTCCGACAACCAGGCTCTAGTAGTTTACCACTAGTTATATAAAGTTTTTTTTTAATGGCTAGTTAAGCTTCAACCTTAACTTAATAGGCGCGTCGCTCAATTTATACTTCGTAGCTACTGTATAATACATAGTTACTTTAACAGAATCCTGGGTTGAAAGATGACTGTAATGGGTCGAAATCTGGCAAATCGTACTGCGTCAAAGCAAAACAGATCCCAATGACAACTAGATACGCCAAAAACACCAACTATATCGCCAATACCTACGGGTTCTCCCAAACCATCCCAACAGAGCCAAGCTCGACTAAATCTTAAACAATTTACCAGGCTGCCAGTGGTGATTATGGCGAGAGATTTTTACTTAATTCGACATCAAATAGCAGAGTTGTTGGAATAAAATCTGGCAGTAAGTGATGATTATTTGACGGCCTGGCTTGGATGTTAACATTTCGGGTAGAACTGCGCCGTCTAAAACCACAGCTACAGCCAACCGGCCTATTTTTAATCCAGACCGGCTCCAAAACAAGAGCCTCGTCGAGCTCCAGACAGGTGGTAATATTCTCTACTGGATAGATTAAAGGAGTGCGGTGGCCCTAACCCTGCTATTTCGGTTGCATCGAGACGGGGCTGCCTATTAATCCGGCTCAGAATATCTAATATCTGCTCCGAGGCTTTAATGTTGGTTCGAAGCTGGCCCTTAAAGTAACTATTAGAGGTTGATACTTATTCTCTTACCTTGTTCGAAAACTGAGACGGGTAAGCCTATTTAATACTAGCTAATTTGCTATAAATATTAATTAACTCGACCTATAGTCTATAGATAGGCTGTAGCCTATCGCCAGTATTGGGTTATCCGGTGTATTTAAATTAGAGTAGCTTATCTTATCCACAGAGGATGGAAGCAGTGGCTGGGTAGATGATGATGTTGGTATAGCTTGCGTGCTTCGCTCCCCAAATCCTTTATTATTGTTGGATTCAGCGGCCGGCGAAGGACTCATGGGAATACTGAAGTTGGACCCAGAACCGAAGAGATGGGAGAAAATACGGAAATTGTCAGTCTGTGTAGGTTGACTGTCTGCCGCCCATTAATTATGCGTCAACATTGCGGTATTGAACCTTGTTCCGGCCTGTTTCTTACAAATATCTAATCCTGTTGGCTCCTGATACCCAGGATTGCTATCCAGCCCTTGGCCATTATTGTTTGCAACTGTGATAACCGCCGCCGGTATGTTCTGCTGTTGATGTCACATTAGGGGGGCGTGGGGGCTCATGGCGGTACTATGAGATATATCGAAGGTAGAGTTGGCGAAGCATGTTTGGATGGAGCCCGTCCGTCGAGGTCGACCAAGCCGGTGTGGTGGACCGTATATACACTCAACACCAGCCTTGATGCACCGAGCACATTCGACTTTCATGCTTACCGAGAGATCGGACGTTCTTTGACCGGAGCCATCTTTTTTCTTTTCAAAGATTGAACAAAGTAAATATCTCAAAAGTGGTCTACTTCGCGTGTTTATTAACGCTGATAAGGTAAATATGGGTTACTATTAGATATCTAATAACTAACGGCCCAACTAGTTAGTTAATCGGCTGCTTCTCCTGAGCCACTCGGATCTATTTTTCTTCTTCCCCTTCATTATTGCTATTACGTCACTTTGTTTACTCTAGTTAACTAACTAGTTATCAGGTAACTAGGATGCAAGCCAGCTTAATTTAAGACTGAATGATTTCTACTTGTTTTATTGGATGCTATCTAGAAGCTCTTGAATTCACATCCTCTACTCGTATTGGCTACGTTGGTAGGTATTAAGTGGACCTTCACTTTGGCTTACTAGTTACTTTGAATTCTCCCACAGAAAGGTTACACGAGTTTCTCTACTTATATAAATTGGTAATTAATATATATACAGTCATTAGTTAATATAGTGTCAGAATCTGCCATTCAGCCAAAAAGGCGAGCCCGCACTACTTGGTGGCAAAGAGACTTGTTATATTTGACATATGGTTAAGAATAGATTGTAGGCTGCCTAGGCCTGTTTCATAGTTGGAGCCTCGGCTGCCGAGTGAAGCTAAAGTAGCTCGTAGCTCGGGAGTTAATGAGGAGAGTGATTGTATACATTATAAGGCACAACTTCAGAGGTTATGATATTACGTGACAGGATGAAGCCTCAATAGGGCGCACAGCGGAGCAACAAAGGCATACCTTGGGGACTAGATAAACATGGAAATATATATTATATACGGCAAGTCCTCACGCCGATATACAAATATAATATCCTAACCACAGTTTTGAGCAATCAATTGGATTCCACCTGCGAAATGTGTCATCATTGATCTTATACATCTGCCCAATTGACCAGCACGTGTCTCCCTTTTGCACTTTGTAGTACTTCTTGCACTCTTTGATAACGCCAGGCAGCTGAGGCTGGGGGGCTGTCGGGGTCGGAGTAGGGGAGCCTGGAACTGTAGTAGGAGTGGTGGTGCTTGTGCTTCCGGGTACACTTACGCAGACATTGTATCCTGCCCATAGATTGCAGGACGACCCTACGCCTGTGTTCCAGCTCAAAAAATCGTCGTGGGAGATAGAGAATTCAGTTTCAATTGACCAGCAAGATTCACCGCTTTTAACTAGGTGGAACTTGTTGCAGTTCTTCGCTATCCCAGGCTGCTGCGGCTGAGGGGCTGTTGGAGTTGAGGCTGGAGGGCTGGAAGATTGCGTCGGTGACTGCCCCTTTACTCCGACACAAACATAGTATCCGCCCCAGAGAGAGCCGCACGTAGTTCCAACCGCCCTTTTTCTCGGATATAATTGGTTAGTCAGTATATCAAGCCTAGTGCGGGCAAATGACTTACGGATTCCACTTGTAAAAGTCTTCCAAAGAAGCCCCCTCGCGCTGGGCAATATCGTAACAGCTGTCCCCCGCCACTACTTTGTAAAACTTGTTACAGTCTTGAGCCAAACCGCTTTGGGTAGGGCTAGGCCCGGTTGCAGTTGGAGATGTTGCCGTGGAAGAAGTTGTAGGAGAGGGTGGAGCAGTAGAAGTCAACTTCGTTGAAGTAGGCACCTGGTCAGCCATGACACAGTACGAGTGGCCTGGCTGAATTGCACCGCAGTGACCATTCAATGCAGGATTCTGAGCGTATATTAGTTAGTAATAACTTAAGTAAATAAAATGTGGACGGGTAAGATATATACAAACCCATTCGTTAAACTGCTCTTCAGTAATTCCAAAGTAGCCCACGATATCGGCACATTGATCAGCTGCTGTAATACCATTTATCCAATAGGTACAACCCGGAGTTACACCCGGATCAACAGTATCTGTAGGCTTGGAGCCATTAAGCCATCTTTTGACAACTGCGCCCTCAGCGGCCACAGAGAGGGAAAGGACATGGATCAAGATATAAGGAATCATAGTAGTCTGCTAACAATGGAACAGGGCGACTGAGCCTTGGAACCTAAGATTGAACTGCCTCTCAAACTGGATACCCCTAGATCTTTATAACTATAAAGATCATACGTATTCCGTAGACTCCAGTACCCTGTAAGTTTCCATATTGTACGGATTATTCTTTAAAATATTCGGCTCCACAATATGGATCTAAACTCAATAGTAAGCGAAGCTCAAGCTAGCTCAGAGGTGCACTGGAGACTAACGCAGCTAAGGAGTATAAGTGCGTCGCGCGGAGTGCAGTGTTTTGATCTGGCTGATCCGGTCGTCCCACTATACAACATTTACGGTTATATCGAGAGTGCTAAGAAGCACCAAACGTGGATATTAGAGCTGCCAACTGACCAATCGAGGGACGAAGATACGGAGCAGACACTTCCTGGAAGGGCATAAGCGATAGCGGAGAAGTCCTTCTCTATACCTAGATCCAAGCTGTTAAATAGTTAACAAATTATATCCGGGATGCTTCCTCCATGCGGTTAGCTAGCGGCAAGAAAGTTGCTATCCCAGTCCAGCTGGGAGCTCGAACGGTGCCCAGGGTAACCATCTGAGGACGGTACCCTTACTGTAGTATCCTGGGCCTTTTTAGCACTAGTCCCGTTGCACTATGGCCTGTAGAGATCAACTGGTTCGTTAGAAGGTTCTGATATATAATTCGGGTGTGTTTCTTCGCTTCTTGCTAAGTAACGGCATATAGCCCACGAGGAGATTTGCACGAGAAGACTTGCACGGCACGGGAGGCGGCAGTTAAGTTAGTTATAGTTACCCACTTGATATATAGTTATAGTTTATGAGGTATATTTTGTTCGTGCTGCCGAGTACTCTGGCCCTATACTATGTATATATGGCCCACTCAAGCCTTTCTGCGGGAGAAGAAGGTGTGTGGCAACCTGGTGGGGCTACAGGCAGGTGATGGCGGACACTGAATCGCGAGCCAACCTGATGTCTAACGGGAACTACCGGAGATATGCCATATTATACCATATTGCGAGTCGTACTAACAGATGGAACTAGGATCCAACAGGCGAAAACTAGACTTTCGGATATAATATATATATGCAATCTGTGTTTAATACCCTACGTCATTATTTTTCGACCGGGGTTTACTGTGTTGGCAGTGAGTCTAAGTGACAGCGTCTATAACAAGAGACCGTGGGTCGACTGTATATGGTAGAGTTATGCGCCAGGTGTGTGTGCGGTTCGCCTCCGTGATCAATTAACTCATCTCACTGATGTTGTCCAGGTCCAGTTCCCAAGGCTTTAGTTACCTAACTGTCAGCCTCTGTTTATTATTGTCTCTTACGTCTATTGTTACCCCAACCCTGTGAAATACATTATATTTATAAACAGCAATTATCTGTACAGTCCGTTCTAAAATAGCCGCAGTAATAATATTGCACTGATCAGCACTGGTAACCGTGGAGCGTATTCCATCTGCTTTGAAAGTAATCGAGTCCACATAAGCCGTATCAGAATGAAAGCCACACCGCTTATATAGTTTATATCGGTGAGACTCAGCATTGGTAAATGGTTATTTCGTCCATCTTTAGGTGTACAATGCGGTTGGCGGCGTTGATAAACGCACAGGAGAAAGTAAAGAGCCACAAAGAATACGCAGAAATACTCCGCAGGGTCGTCTACGCGCGTGACCGTGGGACGTATAAATTCAAGTAAAGGCGGCGTTGTATCCTGGGTTTTAGCGTAGAGTGCTCGGAAGCGTGCAAGGCTGTAGGTTGCTTGGAGGATAGAGAGACCTCGATAATAAAAATATGTCACGGCGTCGGTGGAGGTGCGAAGGTGGTCATGCATAGTTCCCCGCCCGGTGGGAGTTTGCTGTATCGAGGTCATGCCTATAAAGATGGTTTATTGGAGGTTAGTTCCAGCGACATTAAAACAGTCAACAGTTTGGACGACTTATACAGACCTTCAAGGATGTACATTCTGGATGCCGAATCATTCGCGTCTGAAGTACAAGTTACTTCCAGCTCTAGATCCAGCTGCATCATAATTGTGCTGTTATTGCGGTCGCCGTCGTAATCGGGGAATGTGCGAAAGCTGGACGCTAGATGGCATCTGTGAGCAGGATTATATAACCGGAACCCATTGTCGGAGAATGGATCATATTGCAAAATCCATATAGAGTCTTCAGTCCCCTCAGCAAATGCCCTGACTAAGGATTAATATGTATCTTCACAAATATTCTGGCATGACACAGGAACTTACCCAACCCGATGTCGAACGAACTCGTCTTTGGCTCTTTCAAACTCCACCCCCAGTTCCTGGTCAATAACTGACTGTACTCCCCTCTGTACCCCCAAATAGCGGTTATTGATTCCACTTTGAATGAACACGACCTCATTTTCGCGTAAGAAGCCATCCGTGATGGCAGGGTGGAGGTGAGCGTTGCTATTGTTCAGCCCTGCTGGTTTAAATGACCATGGATATCGCCGATTAAATTTATCTCGGAGGAATAAGCGGTAAGGCGGAGGCTCACGGCCATCATCTTGACGTTGAGAGTCTTTGATATCCTTTTCATAAACCGATAATGTACTGTAAACCCCGTAAATTTCACTCCAAACAAGCTCATCGCTCCACAAGAAACCTGCCTGTGGTAGGTAAAAGCTCATAGCAGTCAAGGGCCTTAGCGAATACGGTGGGATAGGATAATTCAAGGTCGAAGCGTTAAACAGGCGCCTATCTGGGACCAGTTCGCGTCGGAAATGCGCCGATAGAAAGTGCAGGTTATAGTTTCCACCTGCAGCTGTCTCTGAAGATGGAAATACGGCACCATATATTGTAACCAGAACCAGGATAGGCATAAGGCATGAACGTGACAAAATTAGGGATGCATTCAACGATATTCTGACCTGTTGATAATGTTAAAATTGGCCTATGAGCAAATTTGGGTCTCTTATAAAACATACCATTGATTGACTTTGATCTGCTATCTGCGAAAAAATGGAGGAGCATCGGTGCAAAACAACGTAGATATAACAAAAGCTTGCATCGAGTGTATTGCATCCTAACGAGAAGGCAACGATTGGGAGAACCTCCATGACCCCAAGCACGGAGTCAATTATCCTCATCGTACAAGGTACATGTTGAAGATAGAAGAGATAGGAGAAAACAGCCGCTAGGAGAGATTCCGCGATATTGTTCGACGTCAAGGATGGTATGCTAATGTTATCATTGGAGTAGACCGCTAACCAACCCATCAAACAAGCCATGAGTATGGTATATCGCCTAGGTATTGCATTATTGGAGTAAAGGCACCCGTCTACTAGCAGAGAAAACCAGACAGATTGGCTAACGACATCGATAAACGTTACCCATCCCTTAGAATAGCGAGCAATAATAAACGATAATGGTGGTATCAGTTCAATCACGATCTGGCCCCGTGAAATAAATTCATTTAACGCTTCGTGAAGGTCCAAATGCTCTTGATTTTGATATAGCGAGCCGGACCGAATGGTATATATAGACAATGCTATAAAGATAGGCAAGAATAGGAAGGATAGCTTCATCACGAAGGGGCAAATTGGATTGGATCGACTGCCAGATAAAATTGTATGCCATATAGAACTCTTGAGTTGTTAATAAGAAAAGTATTGTTGATGAAGTTGCTTTAACCATTTGAACTCACTCTCTGCGCGAATCTAGCAGATGCCAAAGCTAACAAACTTGAACAGATAGCCAGTTCAAACACCAATGTGGTACCGGGGTACCGGTAGCTCCTTCCTGATATCCTTTTGAGAGGAGATTCGGCATCTCAGCACCAGGCAGCTTGAACTGTGGATAAAGCATGTGGAAAACTATGGTCGTATTGCATGATGCGACGCTTCATCATGCTTCGGCGAAAGTGGATGCCTCAGAACCTCGCAAAGTGGATTCCCACACAGATTATAGAGTTATACTATGTACTACAATGTATTATATGTCTTTATACTTATGGCCCCACCAGAACAAGGCTAGACCAATGCGGTTAGTAACCCGGAGCCGCGACCGTAACTGGTTAGTAAGCTAGTTACCCCTGAACCTAAAAAGGCAAAACCCAATTTTATAACCACAACCTGTCAGTTAATTATTTTCAACATCACAGCACACCATCCCCTCTTCAAAAGTCCATAGGCTCCACGCTTGAGTAGTGATATTACATGGGCAACTTAAGCATTCCACCATTAATATGCCCGGCTATGGCTTGGGATTTTCGTTTCGTTCAGAGACGTGGCTCCAAAGAGCATAAGATAATAATCCCCAGCTCTGAAATGGCGCCGCTCGGGGAAGTAAAGTCGAATACCCGAGCATGCAAGGGGTGAAAATTCTCCTGCTAGTTGATTTTATCTTCTAGGGGGGTATGTAGTTTGATCATAATACGGAGATATCTCAAAATTTGCTTGCGCGGAGTCTGCGCTCTTCGAACTTCGGTTCTATATCCTGGATGAAATATACCATTCCTGCGCTTGGGAATGGCTGGCTAGTCTAAGATTCTTGATTGTGCCAGGTAAGGGGATAAGTCAGGATCACCCATTTCCAAGAATCGTTCCTATATAAGACTGAATGCCTTTTGTCTACTCTTACAGCCGACTTCTTTCTAAACTCGACAACCAAAGTTCAGTCAGAAATGAGGGCGCTCGCACAGCTTCACATTGTAGCCGCCCTGGCTGTGGGATTCTTACCCTTTGGCCTTTCCCAGACCTGCTCTGAAACACAGAAATGCAAATCAGGATGTTGTAGCAAGTTTGGAAGTTGTGGGTTTGGTCCAGATTTCTGTTCGGATGATGTGTGCATCTCTTCTTGCGATGCAAAGGCAGAATGTGGAAGTAAGTAGCTTCCAAAATCTTGTCTGCTTTAGGCACTCAATGTGACCTTTAGCCCACCAGCCTATTTATTCCCCTCCCACATGGCTAATTTTATCTCACTATGTTTATAGAGTACGCGCCTGAAGGCAAAGAGCACTGCCCACTCAACGTTTGCTGCTCGAAATTTGGGCAAGTCTCACTCTCTACATGTATTCCGCTTCGGCACCTACTGACTAGTGTGAAGGTTTTGCGGGACTACACCAGAGTTTTGTGGCAATGGTTGTCAAAATGGATGTGACCCGGTTAAGGCACCGTGAGTAAATTTCGATCAATTCTTGGCTCTCGAAACTTAATATTTGCAAAGTACATGCGGAGGAGCCTCAAGCAGTGGCCGATATGTTGGCTACTACGGTAGTTGGTGTGTTGATAGGCCCTGCGATGCTCTTCAACCCTCCAACATCAATGCCGCTGCTTGGACCCATCTGAATTACGGCTTTGCATTGATTGATCAAGAGACATTCAAGATTAAGGCGATGCACTCCCGGGACTCTGATTTTTACAAAAAATTTGTTAATCTCAAACAAAAAGCCCATTCGGTTAAAACATCTTTAGCCGTTGGCGGATGGGATGTGGGCGGAAAAGCATTTTCGGATATGGCTCGCTTCCCTGGTTCTCGAAAGGCCTTTATAAACTCAGCAGTCGACCTAATAAAGTCATATGGTTTCGATGGTATAGATATCGACTGGGAGTATCCTGCTGCAGATGACCGCGGTAAGTTGCAAGGTTGTTTCCCAAGGTATATATCGGAACTAACTCTTGAGGCAAGGTGGCCATACATACGATATTAAAAATTATGTTACTCTATTGAAGGAACTTCGAGCTGCAATTGGCCCCAAAGCTTTATTAACAGTTGCTATCCCTGCATCATACTGTGAGAGCCCTGTTTATTTTCTCTTGCTTAATTATTGTACTGCCTGCTAAAGGCCTATAGGGTACCTACGCGGCTTCGATCTCCCCGGAATGGCAAAATATGTTGATTGGTTTAACTTTATGAGTTACGATATCCATGGTGTCTGGGATGGGGACAGCCCTTTTACTAGCCGCGTTATTGCTCCCCATACCAACTTAACAGGTCAGAATATGAATCGTATTCATTATTGTTGGCAGGAAAATAGGGTGCTAATATAATTCTGAATATAGAGATCTCTAGTGGTTTAGATCTTCTCTGGCGTAACTCGATCAGCCCGTCTCAGGTTTCACTTGGTCTCGGTTTCTACGGTCGGTCCTTCACCCTAGCTAACCCGTCTTGCACCGTACCGGGGTGCCCGTTTGCCGGTTCAGGCGGCGGGACCGGTGGTGGAGAACCTGGCTCCTGCACGGGTGTGAGTGGCACTTTATCCAACTATGAAATTGAAAGGATTTTGCATCATCTGTCTCCCAACAGAGTGTATGACGAGGAAGCTGGAGTAAACTGGATGAGCTGGAAATTAAACCAATGGTAAGTTGGAAATATAGGGGATGACTATCCTTCTCCCTTATATTTTTACGGGATTTCTCGTATATCTCGATGGATATTCGGTTATATATCTGGCCAAAACCTTCTAACTTATACCAAAATTAGGGTATCATTTGATGATACTAGATCTCTTCGTCGAAAGGCAGATTTTGCAAATCAACATTGCCTCGGCGGACTAATGGCATGGTCTGTCGACCTCGGTGGTCCTGGCACCCTAGGTAATCCGAATAGTTTCGATCCACAAAGTACCGAAATCGGAGGTGCCAGCCTGGATGGTAGAGGTATTACCGACGGCGGTTCTGGCGAGGTCTTCATTTCCCCTGATATCTATCGGGAGCCAAGGCCAGTCATAAACTGCTATCCACCGTGCACATTTATCTTGCCACCGTTTATCTTGAATAACACAGTCACTATCTCACTTCCGCCATGGACTACCTCCCTAGCTGTTGGATGGACAACCACTTCGACAACTACACTTCCTGGTGGCTCAGTTTCGACCTCAACCGGTTTTACCACTGTTATACAGACAACTACTCTCACTATCCCACCAAGTAAGTAAATAAAGCACCCCCTAAGCTTCCCAACTTATATTCACTACAAACTAACATATCCTCCTAGTCACAACCACCGCTGTTGATGTTTGGAATTATATAATAACTGATACCGAAATAATAACGCCCACAGTCCAACTTACAAGAAGCATAATACCCCCTCCATTGACAATTACAAATAACCCTAACCCGGAAAGTAAGTCTGGCATTTCCCACCCACCAGTAACAAGGACAGTTACACCACCTCCCTACCCGCATACGACTATAATTCCTGGCATTCATCTCCCAACAGTAACCGTGAAGCCAGGACCTCCTGGTCCCCTGTGTAAATCAGGATGCGGAACAAAATGTCATATCTTTTGCAATGGGCTGTGCTGGCCTTCCTGTTCTGGCAAGGGAAGTAGCGGTGGTGATGGATTTTTTGACCCAAACGACCCAAACCGGCCTCGTACTCCAGATCCTGATAATCCCGACAGCCCTGATGATACCAAAAAGGATCCTTGTGACCCCGATTTTGATTCTTCAAGTGGCCTATGCCCGACCGGCAATTTCCCCATTTGGGATCCATCAACAAGGATGGTCCGCTGCGATGTCCCTAACTCTATGGTCAATTCACAAAAGTCGCCATGCCAGAAAATGATTGACGACAACTTTGACGAAAATCGGCAAAAACTTGAAGCTGCTAAACAATGTTGCCCGAATGGAGCCGGCAGCAGTTTATTTGGACGACGAGCGGATGCCACTTGCTCCACAACACCACTAACGGAGTACTTTGAGACTACCCCCCCTGATAATGGGAAATGTCACGCCACTTTCACTTGTGACTATGCTGAATGGCCGAATGTTTGTGCCAATGCGCGATCTGCTATAGAGAAAAGAGGGAAGACTTCGATTTTAACCGCTGGCGTCCGGCGAAACATTGAAGTAACACATCCTTGGTACCATGGTAAATTCCAGTCGGGAGAAGGATTACAACGCGGTAGCCCGCTAGCCGGATGGCAACTCAAAGGTAATATCTATGCTCTACTTAAAGCGTCGGACTCGGAGTGCTCTGCTAACACCGATATAGATTGCGTAAGCGATAAAAATCCAGCCCTTTATTTTTCCCGATAACTTGTTAATATTTCTTCTTTCTAGAATGTTGAAGAATATCCATTTTCATCAGGGGATCCCTTAAAGGAACCTAAGCTGGATGTATGGGAGGAACAAGCAGTCCTACGGCTTGTTCCCAAGTCTGAAAATTCAGCACATGCGTTAGCGCTGAGAAACTTCTATTTCGATAGTGCTAATGCGATCGGCGAAAAAAGTTATACTGGTCTCAAATATTGTGAGTCGAATATCTACTACATTCATACAGCATTATAGTATACTTATATGATCCCAAAGGCATGGAATTTGCAAATCATCCCACTGGTAACAGTGACGAAGATTTCTTCCTCGGCGATGATACAAGCAAGAACATATGTGCTGAGCCATACGGTAAGCAGCGATAAAATAGATGTTAAATTTAGACAATACTAACAACAGTCCTAGGGAATGCGTTTTTACTAATAAATGGGGCAAAAATGAGGAAAGGTGAAAGAAGATGGGACCCATGGTGGGATGATAAGCTCTTTGATCACACTATCCGCCCCGGTATAAAGACAACAAATGTGCCCAGTCAGTACTGCGATCACCCTTCTCCAGGGAAGAAAACTCACATTGGTGGCGTCTGGACAACCGTCGACGATAGAGGTATTACAGTTGGCGAGCCCCTGGATCGACTACCCAGCGCTTCTTATAGCTGTGATGACTATCCTGGCTATATCCACTCAATCAAACGGTCTGTCAGGGGTCGTCGTTCTCGAAAAGGGAGCCAAGTTGGTGGTTCACCACTATCTAGAATTTCTACGACTAAAAACACCAACAGCACCGAAGTGCGTGATTCTAAATCAGGACAATTCGTAGAGTCATCAAAGGGTGCTCTAAAAGCTAATACTAGTATCAGCCTCATACCTCGCGCAGCCGGTCAAGGAGGGTTCCTAAGCCCTGACGTGTACGCTTTTCTAGGCTGCACAGACCTGGATGATGATGACCCGTGTGCCAGAGATGCAAACTGTGCCACAGATCCAGACCTCGGTGATGTAGTGGATGAGCCGACTCCTACCATTACCAGTCCACCCGTCCACACCGAAACATCGAACTGCAAGATTTGCGTTTCGACAGAAGGGCAGCCAACTTCGTCGTGTTCTTTTCAAGACAATTGCGCTCCAACACCAGTACCGCCATTATTGATTCCATCTTGTACAATAGGGCATGTCCCTTTTGCCCTTGTTTTCGAGATCAAGGAAATTGGGAGTTGGGCAGCGGACCATGGCGCTGCCCTACTCAAAGAGATGAAGGGTTGCGGCGCTGTAACGGAGTGGAAGTGGGCCGAAACATCCAGAGGCTCGACCGTGACGTTTAATCTACCAATTGTAATCAAGGCAGGATGCGTTGAGCGGGCCATCGTCTCAGCAAAGGGACCTGAGCTACAATGCCAGGAAGATACCTCCGACACTACTCCCCTTATTACCGTTGAGGGGCGGCCAGCACCTTATATCGTTACTAGCACTCCACGACCATCTCGAGTTTGACCGGAACATTCTGTCCAAGCATCTAATTCTATTTCTTGTTTCTCGTTCCGATTGGCGTGGTTTCGTATCTACATGTAGTAGCTATTTATATAGGCAGGCTATATTGTAATATACTAGAGCTTGAAATGGATTCTCAAGGGAAAGTAAGGCTCTCCTCGTCCTCATCCTCGAAACGTATCTTTAGGCCCGGAAACTGTCCCTGCAGTGTTCTAGCCATCATCTCAAACTCAGGGCCAAAAACTATACAAAGCATATCCAAGGATTGGATTGATTTGGGCAAATACCTCAGTAATGCAGCTGTAGTAGCCTCATGGTCTGTGAGGAGCTGTAGGCCTAGCACCAGTGATTCCAGAGCGTACATATGCTCAATGATTTGTACATACTCTTGGTCATTCACGTACCGGTTTGACTGTCGAAAATCAAGTGACAAGTGGGTAACTGTATCCTTTCGAAAACGCAAAAGCTCGGCTATCTCGCGTGGGCCCGCCGGCGGGTTGTCCGCCCAAGTCTCTTTCTTACACTCATAGGTGAATTTCTGTAGGTGTGGAAAGCCTTCAACGATAGCTTTGAAGCTCGCGTAGCTTAGGCAGCTCCAGGTAAATATAGCTTCAGTCACGTTACTATAAGGTATATTCGGAGGAATGGAGTCCAGTATGTGTGCATGAAACTTCTTCAGCGCCGGCGCTGCTGCGAATATTATATTGAGTATATAATTATCTTGGGTGTCGAATTGTTCAAATGCATGTATATAGTAGAACTCTGTAAGAAATGGAAGTTCCGGTAGCGTGAACGATTTCGGGATAGTCCAATAGATACGGTCGAGTACCAGTCGCTGGATATTGGGCGTTTGAGCGATCGCCACGGCTGCCAGCGCCCCCGTAATGTCGCCAAGGTCACAATTGGGATAGCGCCAAACGGCAGGCGGCTCTTCTGTTGATGTGTCTGGCTCTTTGCTGCAGTACACTGCTAGGTACTTATCAAGCAGTGTAGAATCTTCGTCACAGATGTCCCATTTGAAGCCTTTACGCCTGCCCTTCCGCCACATATATCCAATAGTCAAATCTTTTACCGCGCCGGCAAGATGTGGCTGCTTGACGAGAGTACGCGTAAGTCTAAGAGCATTGCCATAACCCATGGGTACATGGCGAAACAACTGAACCTGCGCGAGATGTCGCAGAGTCTTACAGGTTCTTGCCAAGGAGGCGAGGGCGGCATAAGACTCCCAGTCAAGCTCGTCAAAGGTATCGTACTCTAGCGATCTCCTACAGAGTCTCGAGGGGTCGAGCTGGCGGACGATGGCGAGAAGGATTTCGGGTGGAAAGATGGCCAGGATAGAAGCCATCGTGGGGGTGCTCTGTTTGTGCAGCCGTCACGAAGACTCTCCAGCATTGCGAGGTGAAGATATAACTAGTGGTTATTGTAAAGTGCAAAAGATACAGAAGCTGGGCCCTTCTTCGTGCTGTAACGTGGCTTTTTGTAGCGATATGAGGTTCCCAATACGGTTAGCGCCACGGTAAGCCTGATGCTCAATTTTTTAAGAGATAGACTAAGCCTGGAAGTGCTATACTACGGCTGACTATGATATGTGTCGTGATATCAAAATCCAAGTGACAAACTGATATAAAAGTACGCCGAAGGGTTTCTGCTTATATAATATACTTACTAAGCTATTAGCTAAGTATATTACCTAAGCACCCCTTCTCTCTCTAAGCCTCTTAAAGCTCTTCTCTAAAGCGTAGTCGGCGATGGTGGCTGGGCCACGATCTACCTCACTGGTCGCCGGCCATGGAGGCGGGAGCACCCGACCCCTTTTTGATTTACCCATACCGTTATTTACTCGAGTTATAGAAGACTTTTAATCTACTCGCTAGTTATTTTATACATATAAGACGCCGTATAAGACGCACGATAATAACTATATAAAAGAATAAATAAATATAAGAATAAATATATATCCAACAAATAAAATATTCTTAAGAACTATAAATTTTCGTTGCAGGCTTATCACTAGTAGTCTCTTGACTGTAGTAATACTTGCGCCATTCCCGCAGCTTGCGAATCGAATAGTAACTGTTCTGTAACAACCCTATACCCTTGCCGAATCCACATTGTAGTGAGTAATACAATGGACACCAAATCGCCACCGACAGCGAAAAAGTCTGAGTCCCAGTTTATCAGTAAGCCTGGTTGGCCAAGAGCATCCCTCCAATCCTTTTGCATAGCTAGTAACAACTTTTCAGTCCCCAACTTGAGAGGATCGCGTGCAATCGCATGAGAGTTTGCATCTGCGCGGGATATCGGTAGCAATACATCACATTGTCCATGGCCTATCCAATCAGCAAGAAGGGTATATCGGCGGTCTGGGTGATAAATCTTCTGAATGGTATCGCAAAGAAGGGAAGAGAAATTATTCGCAGTGGCCTCCCCGAGTAACTGTGATGAGGAAATAAGAAGAACCTCAAGCTGATTTCCATTTAGGGGAGTTGTCTTGATAGCGATGTCTGCCTCGTCTGCTGGAGGACAGAAATCACCAACCGTATATGGCTTGCCACCCAACGTAACTACAGATGCTTGATCAATATTTTGGTGCTGTACTATGGTGCTAAAGCGAGTGTAAGGTTTCCATGGGCTGCAATAACGGACAATATCTCGCATCCCGGTCGACTCATGAGCTATACTAGCAAGGTGCTGAGACTGTAGTTGCCGTAGAAGATTATTGGCAGTAGTCGTAGGGTCAATTTGAGCTCTGACAGGGATAATATTGATGCAGGGGCCGATGGCTCGTTCAATATCGTTTCCTGGAACATTGCGGCCGGAGGTTACGTGGCCAAAAATTATGTCTGTTTTTCCTGACAAAGAGGCGAGAACAATTGCCCATGCAGCCTTGAGGACGGTTGCAAAAGTAATCCCTTGGCTTGATAATATGCCTTGTGGCAGGATGGAGATAGATCGCCTTATGTGTAAGTCGTTGATATTCTGATAATGCGGCCTGGACTCCATTACCACAGCTGTCATTGTAGAATCTGCTAACAGATTCTTCCAGTATGTCCGGGAGTTTGTGATACTACGTTGTGAAGCAATAGTCGATATGTAGTTCGTAAAGGGGACCTCACGGATAGAAACTTGGCTTGAAAATGAGTTTTGTAAACTTTGCCAAATCATGGGTAGACATATTCCATCATATTGGGCATGGGATATACGGATAACAAGTCGGTGCTGTTCATTGTTTCCGACCATCATCAATTTTGTCAGTGGATCACTAAGCCTACGGTCGGATTCCACGTCTTTCTTGTATATTTCGGCGCAGAAGGAGTTGATGTCGATGTCGGTTTTATACCATGCAATGCTCTGCGAGACCTGTTTCAGAATAACCTGATAGAATCGATTTTTGTGCGAAGTAAAAACGGTTCGTAAAATCTGGTGGGTGCGGATGAAGTTCGACCATCTCGCCTGGATAAAGCTTTGATCCCACGGAAACTCCCCCTTCCCCTCGAGGAAAATATAATTGAGAAGCCCTCGCGTCTTGAGCATAGAGTGTGCAATTGCGGATGACTGGAAGTCAGTCGCTGGTAGAACATCTACAATATTATCGGGCGTAGTTCCAACGTCATGAGCAACCTTGGATATTAAATCCTCAGCAGGTAACTCAGGACATAGAGAAAACTGTGTATTCATCGAGCTATCAGGATAGCCGTTGGCCTGTGGTGATTCCGCTAGGGCTAGAGAAGCCATGTCAGAGAGAATGGGCGTCTTGAAAATTTGTTGGACTGACAACGATAATCCCTCGGCTCGGGCAAGGCTTGTTAATCTCATTGCAACGATTGAGTCTCCGCCTGAATGGAGGAAATGATCTCTGGTGCCTATCGTGTCAGCTTCTACGTGCAAAGCTCTCGCCCAAAGATCGCGAATCTGGAATTCTTTTTCTGTAGTAGGCTGTATTTTGATGTCATCCAATGCAAGGGAGTAGCTGGTAACATCAGCTGAGGGCAGACTGCCTACAAGATCACGTAGCTGTCGCCGGTCCACCTTTCCGTTCGCTGTGAGGGGTATCCGTGTTAGCGGTAGGTAAAGTGACGGGATCATGTAGGATGGGAGGGTTTCCCTGAGGGTTTTTTGGAGATCCAGAAATTGCTGGCGGAGAGTCTCTGTCATTTCCATGACCTCAGCACTGCCGCCGAAATTGCTGAAGTGCAAGAAAGCAGCTACTAATTGCCGACCTGTTGAAATATCAAGGATAATATCGACGGTGGCGTGGGTGATAGTATTCATAGACATACGAATTGCATGCTCTATCTCTCCTAATTCCACGCGCTGCCCACGGACTTTGACTTGAGTATCTTTTCGACCAACAAAGCGAATGGTTCCATCACTGTTGTAACGAACAAGATCTCCAGTTCGATAAAAGCGCCGAGGGGTATCTAAGGTGAAGGGTGAAGCCCAAGAAGGGTCATTCACAAACGCGTGTTTTGTCTTTTCGATGTCGTGGAGATACTCCCTGGCGACGGTGGGACCTTCAAGCAAGAGCTCGCCCACGCAACCGAGGGGTGTGAGCCGGTTATAATCATTCGGATCTGCAAGCCAGTACGTCGCCCCAATAGCGCCCCCCAGGTTGGCTGGGTCGCTCGTAGCGGTGGCAGGACGTGCTCCAGAGCAGTATACGGAACACTCCGCAGGGCCATAGCAGATGATTAACTCGAGAACATTGTGCCATTTCTTGATTGTTTCCCATGTTGATGCCTCACCCCCAAGGACTAGTTTCTTTAAGGACGGGATGTTGTTGGAGGGAAGCAGGCTCGCTACTGTGGGTGTCAAAAATGCCCAATTGCAACAGAACCGGTTGATGGCATCAGGAAGCGCATTCAAACGTTCGTGCTCGGAAGGGATACAAATACAGCCACCGCGCTGTAGAGTGGTGAATATGTCTGCACAGCTTACGTCGAATGTATATGCGGCAAACTGCAGTAGACGAGTGTCGGGACCGATACCCCAGCATGTGCCGTGGGCTTTAGAGCTGGAACACAGCGAGCGGTGCTCAATGACGATTCCTTTGGGTTTACCTGTACTTCCAGAAGTAAAGAGCACGTACGCTGCGTTTCCAGGGTTTGGGTGGGATATGTTCATGTCAGTCTCAGGAGAGTTCCCCAGCCTGCGTATGAGCTCTTCTGTTACCACGACTTCATTCTGGGGAGTAGATGGTCCCAAAATCTCGGAATACTGAGGCGCACAAAGAATGACACTCGCCCGAGAGTCCTTCACAATTGTTTCCAGGCGAGCCTGCGGGTGCAAAGGGTCAAGATTCACACAAGCTCCACCGGCCTTCATGACAGACATCTGTGCCACGACAGCCCAGCAAGATTTATCAAAGCACAGGGGGACTAACAATTCTGGTGCCACTCCTAGGTATGCAAGGTGCCGCGCGAGGATGCTTGAAAGGTGATCAAGCTCGGTATATGTAAGTTGTCCATCCCATGCATCGATTGCTAAGGCTGACGGCCGCTCTTCAACCTGCTGCGCGAACAGCAGAGGAACAGTCGACTCAACGCTTTCAGGATAAGCATTGTTCCATCGAAGCACTTGCTCTTTGTCTCTTTGGCCAAACATATCTATGTCCGATATTCGAAGGTGACGATACTCAATTTTTGAGAGACTTTCCGAGATGTAGCTGAGATGATGCATCATATTCTCAACCTGCCAGTTGGACAACACACAGTTATCGTATCTTGCCTCAACTTGAACTGTATCATCTGTAACATAGCATTCCACTACCAGGGGGTAACTATCAAAGTTTTTCAGTGGTAACTCAACCTCTTCACAACATGCGAGCATGCTACTGGCTGTTTTATCGAAGACGGGTTGTATCACAAACAAATTTTGGAATTCAATGGCTCGAGCACACTCTGGGCTCAACATAGAAATATTTTGTAATCCAAAATGTTCATAGGGTATCATTTCCGAAGCCTGCTGTTGGACCTGGATAAGAAAATCACTAATAGTTTTGGTTGGTGGTAGTACGATTCGTATAGGTACTGTTGTAATGGTCGGGCCCACCATCTTTTCGATTCCTATAACTTGACTGTTGCGCCCAGCGAGGGTCATTCCAAAAACAACATCCTGGGAATCGGTGTACCGAGAAAGAACCAACGCCCACGCTGCGCGGAGGATAGTGCTTTTAAGGAACTCCGAATTAACTAGAGCGGGAAATGAAAACCTGTGTTGCACGGCGTGTTGGACAGCTGGGCGATAGGATGGAGATGCAAGGGCGGGGAATGTTACTGGACGCTGGCCACCGAATTGGTTTTCCCAAAACATCTTTGTGGACTCAGCGTCAGCATCTTGGAGATACTTGATGAACACACTGAAACCCGGGGTATCTGGGCAGAGGCCATTTTCATAGGTAGATCGGACCTGATCAAGGACTAAGGGAAGGGACCAGCCGTCGTATAATGAATGGTGCACTGTCCAAACGAAGTGGCCATCCCCGGTAATTCCGTACCGTATCAATGGTGCACCATAAGCGACTATTTCATCCGTATCTGATTCAAGGTACTGCTGTAGACTCTCCGCAGTCCTCCATTCAATAACCCCTTTGATCACCACCTGTATCAACCCGGCATCGGTAGTTTGAACAAGCCTTGTACGAAGGATGGGATTATTTTCAGATACAGTCTCCCAGGCCATTCGGAATCGAGCTATATCAGTGGATGCATTGAGGCGGAGGACTCGCCTTAGGATATATGCTTTAGAGTTGAGAGTAGAGTGGGTCATCATTCCCTCTTGGAGGGGCGTGGGAGGATACGCATCCTCAATTAAATCTAATGGAATCCCACACTCATTTGCGATATTAGTTAGTATTGGAGATATATCTCCTGCTTTGGCCAAAAGCTCAAATGCTTCTAGCTTCGTGCTGCGCGAAATTTGGCAGTATTGCCTAGTGTCTATGATAGCTGCCAAGCTAGACAGGAGTGGATAGCTAAATATGTCCGCTACAGAGACCCTAAGATCTTGAGAAGTGATTGCAGCAAGTCTCATAGCGGAGATAGAATCACCGCCAACTTGAAAAAAATGATCATCTGCTCGAATCTGCTCCATGGGAATATTCAAGACTTCGTTCCACTTATGCTGCAACTCCTTCTCGGTATTTGTACTAGGGGGCCTGCGATTGTCATCGAGAGAATATCTCTGCAATTCAGCATCCGACAATACCGCCATAGAGTCACGAAGAAGTTTCCGATCAAGCTTCTTGGCTGAAGTGGTTGGCATCCGGTTGATGGGGATGTAGAAAGATGGTTGCATATATTGTGGCAGAATGTTAGACAATAACGTTCGGAGCCTTTCCACTTGCTTCCTGGAATCTGGTGTCATATCAGCAAACAAGGGTTCTACTACGGTAGCAGCAGAGTTACAGATGAATGCAGCCAGAAGTGTTTTCTCTTTCTCGCCACGGAGCATGACTACCTCGACAGCCGCTTGAAAGCTGGAAGGCAGAATCCTCTTGACTTGATACTCAATCTCGGAAAGCTCAATACGCTGTCCTCGTAATTTTACTTGAGTGTCTTTCCGTCCTAAATAAGTAATACTGCCGTCAATATTGTAGCGCACCAGATCGCCAGTCTTGTAGAAACGGCTATGTTCTCGGTCATCTGGCGTAGGGTGAAAACTGAGGTTTTTAATAAACGCGTCGGCAGTCTTTGTTTCATCAAGTAGGTAGCAGCGAGCAAGTGTTCCACCTTGAACTAGAAGCTCGCTAACTGACCCAACTGGAGCCAACTGCTCGTGGTTATCAGGTCGAACAAGCCACGAAACGGAACCGACCGAACGACCTAACACATCATGGCGGTCCTTTCTCCCAGTAAATGTTTTCATGATACAGAAGACACATGTCTCGGTTGGTCCATAGCCATTCATGAGACGCAGGTTCGTTGCCCAAATTTCAATGTTGTCCTTATCCAGGGGCTCGCCACCCAATATCACGGTTTTTAGGCCGGGTACTTGATCTGGGCGGATAATGCGTATAAGCGATGGGGTAAGAAAGGCTGTGTTACACCCCAGTCGATTGATAGCATCTGAAATATTATTCATGCGCTCGGCTTCCGATGGAACACAGATGCATCCACCGTAGATGAGTGTTGTGAAAATCTCCAATATACACGCATCGAAGGTGTATGCTGCAAATTGAAACATTCGGGTTTCGGAGCTGCAGCCAATTTCTTGACCATGGTGTATGCAGCTGGTACTAACAGCAGAATGATCGATAACGACACCCTTAGGTGTTCCGGTACTGCCAGAAGTGAAAAGAACATATGCAACGTCCGTAGGGCTTGCTAACAAACCGGTAGAAGCAATATCTGTCTCTTCCCTCCACCATGTAGAAGAGGCGGAGACCACCAGAACATTTTTTGTTAGGCCTACAATTAGCTTTGAGGTTTCTGGGCAAACAAGAACTAGAGATGACGCAGCCTGGGTAATGATAGTTGCTAAACGGGCCTCTGGGTGATCCGGGTCTATGGGGATAAAAGCTGCACCGGCCTTAAGAATGCCGAGCATCGCAACGATGGCCCATGCACATTTGGTAAAACATATTGGAATCATGTCTGCAGGGCCAACACCCATGGCAATTAGTATATTGGAGAGTTGGGTCCCCTTTTTGTCTAGATTGGCATAAGTAAAAGTTCCATCCCAAGAATCAATAGCTATCGCATCAGGGTAGACTTTTGCACTGCGTTCGAAGAGTGAATGAATGCATTCATAGATAGACGGAGGAGCAGTGGCATTCCATCTTTGGATTTGCTTATTGTGATGATCATCAAAGAGATTGACTGAAGCCACAGGGGCTAGCGGGTTAGACATTATGTAGAACAGTGCTGCAGACAGCGCTGCGGATACATTCATGGCATGTCCAGGAGATAGCCTTGAAGTCAGATAACCCATGTCTATCTGGAACCCATGGTTGGTATCTGTGACATTGATGGTTAAATCGTACTAAGAAGCAGGTTAGATTAATGCAAGCTTTAGTAGGCATCCATTTATTTGGGTATGTAGGCACTCACTTCAGTGGGGTCAAGTCCAGATATATAGTTAATTTGCAGATCGCCTAGAACAACATTGTTGACATCACGGCGCTGGACACTAACAACCGAATTGAATAATGATTGCCCTGCAAGCCCTAGACGATGTTGTATCTCAGCTAGGCTTGCATGTTGATACGGCAAGGCCTTGATGTACTCTTCTTGGAGGCCTCGGAGCTCATACAGTACCGTTGTGTTGCCTATTTCCGCAAAATTAACTGCACATACGAGCATATTGACGAATGGCCCGACCGAATTTTCAATTCCAGGAAGAGGGAGCTCTCTACCAGCAGTAAGGTATCCAAAGCAAACCCGCTCCTCTCCTGTATATGCAGACAAAACTAGCGCCCATGCCAAACGCACCACATTTGCGAGAGTTATATCGTTTTCTTGGCAGAACTGGCGCATTTGCGAGGCTTCAGGGGCTATAACATCTATTTTGTGTATGCTCGGCAGGCTTTCTACGAAATCCAATAAGAGAGGGAAATGGCATGGGGTGGCTTCAGCTAGATAAGCTACCCAAAACGATAATGCTTCTTCGGTGGGCTGTGATTGGATATGCGCTATATAATCGCTGTAGGGCATAGCTGGGACGGAAGGGAGTCCATCAGTATATGCATGAGCAATCTCGTTAACAAGCACCGCCATTGATGTTCCGTCCATTAATGCGTGGCTAATCTCAAGCTTAAAGTAAGCGACACCATCTCGGGATGTAGCGATTGCCATACGATGAGGAGGAGCGGTTTCTGAGACAGTAAGTGCCTCAAAATCATCTAGGGTAGCAACGGCCTGCTCAGAAGAGTCGCAGACTAGGATCAATGGTTGCATATCGTGCTTCCATAGCACAGCTTGGTCAAATGGCCGGCAGGATATACCTGCTAAAAAAATTGTACGGAGGATGGTGTGGCGATTAACTACTTGCTGCCACGCTGAAGCAAGTCGTCGGGCGTCAATTGGTTTTTCACTCGCTAGTTTAACCTGCATAATCGCATAATAAAGATAGGTCCCTTCGGTGCGTGCTTGGCTCAAAAGCATACCTTCTTGCAACGGAGAGCAAGCATATATATCTTCGATATCAGCTAGAGATAGTCCTAGTTGAGGTATTTTGTGCGCCTGGAGTGCATCTAATGCAACATAGGATACTGGAAGCAGAGGATAATCACTTCGTGTAAGGGTAAAATCTGTGGCCATCAACTTTTGCGGTAAAGTCCTAAGGCATTGTGTGAAGTTGTGGAGCCAATCCCCAACTAGCTCTATATGCTTCATCTTTTTGTTGAACGAGAAAGTAAAATTTGCGCGTCCGTTAACAATATATGCATTGATATCAAAGAGCGAATACCGCCTAACAGCCGGCCCCACATCGCCTTTATTAAAGGGGAGGAGTTCAAAAATTCTATCCGCTCGCTCAAGTCCTTGGTATAACCCGAGATAATTGAATAGTATTTCCACCGGCATATGATCCCTGAAATTCTCCGCACCATCATCGTTGAGGTATTTTGACGTAAAATAAGACCATCCATTAGCTGGCAATTCTTTCCTTTGGTCTTTTATGCGCCTCACAATGTTCACTGGGGTATCATTCGGCTCTACCAACAAATTGAACGGAAAGATGGTCGTAAACCAACCCACAGAGTCTGAGAGGTCAATGCTTGGAGTCCATGGTTGGCGGCCATGGCCTTCGTTGAATATCGCGGGCGGTTCGCGATTAAAGGTTTGAGTAAAAGAGAGTAAAAGAGCAGTGATAAAGATATCTAAGGGCTCGGTTCTCATAGCCTGATGGCAGTTAGTCAGTAAGAGCTGGGTTTCTTCGGGGGACAATGATGCTGCTAGCTGAATTGAATCGCCATGAATGTTTTTTATATTCCTCATTCCCCAGTATTCATAGTTCGCCTTTGGAACAGAGTATGGGATCGAAGACCTCGCCGTAAGATGTCTGGAGGCATAGTCTGCCTGTAGCTTTTGCCATCTTTGGAATGGAAATGGCACAGTATTTGACACGGCCGTATTTCCGACCAGATGGTCCTCTAATTCTTGGAAAATAATGCGCCATGATACCAGGTCAATAACGAGATGGTGAGCAACAAGAAATAGCAGAGAGTCATTGCCGGAAATATTAAAAAGTTCGACGGCAAACACTGGGCCCGATTGTATGTCTAGCTGCGTTTGAGCCCCGGCTGCAAGGCTAAGTGCTTCTTCTTTTGTTGAAACTGAGCGCTCACGGAACCTGTAAGCTGCGTCCCCTGGCCTTGTAATAATCTGCGTCCATTGGCCATTATGTGATTTCCGGAATCGCGCGCGCAGCATCGAATGATGCTCTACAATCATGTCAACCCCTGCTCGTAGTTTCTCTATAGGAAGTCGGGGGATAAGGCGTAGAAGGAAGCTTTGGTTGAATTGATTTGCCGATGGATCCGTTTGGCCTTGGGAGATTTCCTGGAAATATAGTTGTTGAATAGGAGTCAAACCAAAAGGCGTGTCCAGTAACTCTTCTTGGTGTAATGCAGAATTGCTGATAGCCTCCATATAGTGCACCATTGTGGCCACTGTTGAACTACTCATAACATCTTTGAACGAAATTTTGAGGCCTTCGTTGCGGCACATAACAACTAATTGCATTGCAGTAATGGAGTCACCACCAAGGTTCAAGAACGATCGTTTGGTGGACACACGGCTGATAGGTACGTTTAGAACCCGAGAAATAACCTCCTGTAGGCGTTTTAAAACCGCTAGGCTGGAGGAGGAATTATCCACCTCTGTATCATCTACCTCTTCGATCTCTTCTTTAGCATAGGTTTCGTCAAGGCTTTCCACGCACTGTAATATCTTAGGGCGATTAACTTTCTGCGAAGTTGTCAAAGGGAAGTTCGAACACACTAGCCAAACGGATGGTATCATATAGCTGGGTAGCAGAGCAGCCAGGCGATTTTGAATGGTAGTGGTTTGTCGTATCGACTTGTCGTCATACAACAATATCATATCTGATACATGAGGCTGGGTAGGCAACTGGTTCTTGAGGGCCACAACAGCGACAAGTTTCTTCGCGTATGGCCCTATATTTGGCAACAAAACCACTGACTGCTGGACTGAAGGATCGTTGATAATCTCCTTCTCAACCTCTCCCATCTCCACTCGCTGCCCATTGAGCTTAACCTGAGAATCCTTCCGCCCTATATAGATCAGACTACCATCAGACATTTGCCTGACCAGATCTCCAGTCTTGTAGAGCCGTGCTCCATTCACACCGTCTCTTCGCCATCTAGGAGGCGTAATGAACGCCTTGAGAGTCAACTCATGATTAACATAACCCCTGGCGACAATAGGTCCTTCCACGACCAATTCGCCAACGCAACCTGCAGGGACAAGGCGCTCGCTATTCCCCGGCTCGGTAATCCAGAATATGCATCCATGGGCTTTTCCAATATTTGTGGATTGGAGTCCCTCACATAAGACAGCAAAGGATGACATGATAGTACATTCTGCGGGCCCGTAGCTATTGATCAATCGTACTTTCTCTTGCCATCTCTGAGCAAGGTCGGCTGTAACGGTTTCTCCCACTAGCGCCAGCATTTTAAGAGACGGCATCGCTTCAGGTGATAGAAAACCGGCCACAGAGGGAGTAAGGAAAGCATGAGTTACCCCGAGGCGATTAATGGAACCAGTAACATCATTGAGCCGATCGAAGTCGGAAGGTATGCAAACGCAACCCCCATTACAAAGTGTGAGAAAAATTTCGGCATTGCTGGTGTCGAATGTAAATGCAGAGAATTGTAGGACTTGGGATTTGTTATCAAGGCCCATATCGGTATTGTGATCTACCAAAGAACATAGGCCCTTATGCAGAACCACAATACCCTTCGGTCTGCCAGTACTTCCAGAAGTGAAATTAATCATAGCTGCATTATCAGGAGATGCAGATGTTATAACGCCCTGTTCGTGCTCCGGTAATTTGAGGAGGAGCGCGGGATCTACCACAATAACATGGTTCACTAAATCTTGTACCTTATCGGCGTGGCTTTGTGACCCCACGAGAACGATACGGGCATGAGTCTGACTGATAATATTAGCTAGATGCTGCGCCGGGTGGGATGGACTCATGGATACATATGCGCCGCCAGCTTTAAGAACTGCCAACATCGACACTATCGCCCAGGCAGATTTATCAAAGCAAAGAGGCACTGCTTGTTCAGGGCAGACACCAAAGGTAGCTAGATGCGCGGCAAGCTTTGAAGATAATTCTTCAAGTCTGAAATATGACAGAGAAACATCCAGAGAGCGAACAGCAGGAGACTCAGGGCATAAAAATGCCTGCCTGCTTACACGGCTATGAATACAGTCGTAAATGGTATCTGGTGGAGTAAGGCTATTATTGAGGGAAATCAAGTATTCCGTTTGCTGGTCACCCAAGAAGTCCACCTCATGAAGTTCTGTTGTTGGTTTTATTAGAAGAGTAGAAAGAACTGTGGTAAATGTTGAAGCTAACAAAGCTGCTTGGTTTTTCGACATAATTGTGCTCCAGTAGCTGATGTCAATGTCAATTGCTGCGTCTTGTACCGTGATGCTAACCCCCAGGTCGTACTCAGTCGGGTCACTTCCACCGAGAGGCTCAATTTCAATGTGTTTATTAGAGGACGACAGTACCATGGGCCGTTGTAAAGAGAGGATAGTGTTAAATAGGCGTTCACCCGATAACCCGAGAGCATGTTGCACTTCGGCAAGGGACGTATGCTGATGCGGTAGGGAACTAATGAAGTCTTCGTTGATACTCCGCGCTATGGCAAGAGGAGTAGAAGAATCATCTACACGGACACGGCAAGCTAGCATTGTGATGAATGCGCCTACAGCATTTTCCATGTCCAGACCATCAATTTCACGCCCCGAAGACAAATACCCGAAAACAACATCAGATTCTCCAGTATATGCACGAAGGACAACAGCCCAAACCGTCTGGAAAATATTTGCCATCGTTATGTCATTTCCCCGAGTAAATGCTTGGAGGCTAGTCATGATAAATCCTGAGATTGGAATATTCACTGTCCGCAATTCCTTCGTTCCGAGGTGATCGTCATGCAACAGTGGAAAGAAGACAGGTTTGATGCCTTCAAGATACTTCAACCAGAAATCCAGCGTTGCCTCCTTTGGCTGATTCTGGGAAAGCGCAATATAGTCTCTGTATAGTGGGCCCGGCTGCAGTTCGTGGTCAAAAGCGGTCCCCAGGTCACGTAATATTATTGCCATTGACGCACCATCGATAAGAGTATGGTTAATTTCCAGGTTGAAATATAACCTACCCCTATCTTCAAGGATGGTCAGACGGTGAGGGGGAATTAACTCGCTGTAGTCCAAAGGATTATCGTTAGGGTACCGAAACAGGCTGTCAAGATCCTCTACGGACTCTACTCGTGGGGTATATTTCTTGAGAACTACTTGGGTGTACAGATTTTCTTGAGAGAGGCCCTCCACGAAGAAAGTTCGCAGGGACTGATGCCTTGCGACAAGGCGTGCCCATGCTAGCCGTAGGCGGCTGACATTAATAGGGTCTGTAGATGAATTGCAACGGACTTCACAAATAATATGAAATTTGTAAGTTTCTGGTGCTTGAGCTTGGCTGATCAGAATGCCTTCTTGCATTGGAGAACAAGGGTAAGCATCCTCTATATCTACCACTCCTTCGTATCCAGCATTTTTAGTGAACTCGTCAAGAGCCGATGGACTCACGCCCAATAATAGTGAGAATGGCGATAACAATGCTAAATCGTCGCACTTGGTAAGGCATGGTGTATCTCGACCGATGGTCACTTCTGCAATAATCTGGCGTATTGTTCTGCTTTTTAGCACACTCTTAACTGACACTGGAATACCTTGCGATCGGCACCGAGAGGCGAGTTGCATAGCTGTAATGGAATCTCCACCAATGGCCAAAAAGCTCTGGTCCATTGACACTTGGCTTGCTGGGACATTGAGCACTGCGCCAATGATGTTTCTTATGGTATCCTCGGCCTTGCTTTTTGGAAGGCTGGTATCATGGACACTAGGACTCATTTCCTCGCCTAGATAGTTACCGGATAGACCGTCGACTTGCAATATGACGGAAGTACGGTCCAATTTACCATTTCTCGACAGAGGGAGAGATTCGACCATAAGCCAAGTCGATGGAACCATATAAGACGGCAAAATGGAGGATATAAAAAGCCGGATATGCGATATTTCATTTTGAAAGTTCATTCCGTTTTCATCGTGAATGAATTCAAGATTAGCCACTCCTTTAGTTGAAGAACAACGATGCCGGCTTTTTAGTGAGAGAACAGCTACCAGTTTCCCTTTCAAAGGCCCTGCCTTCGGCACTAGTGCCACAGCATTTTGGACACCCTCGTATAATAGCAAAGTGTGGTCAATCTCCCCCAATTCAACACGCTGGCCATGTAGTTTTACCTGGTGGTCGCGGCGCCCCATAAAATGAAGGGAACCATCCGAGTTATATCGAGCTAAGTCACCCGTACGATATACTTTGGTTGGAAACTCGACCACGCGGGGATCATACTCCGTTAACCAAGTAGGGGGTGGTATAAATACTGCGTTGCTTCTAATCTCATCATTAAGGTAGCCTCGAGCGACAATCGGCCCTTCAATAAGTAGCTCACCCACAGCGCCGACGACGCAAAGCTTGGAAGGATCATCTGCTTCTGCAATCCACATTCGAGCACCTAAACCATATCCAATATTCTGTGGAGATGCAGAGCGCGGTACAAATAGTAGAGCCGTTGACCAAACCGAGCATTCTGCAGGGCCATATATATTCACTAGATTGATATGTTCTGCCCATAGCTCGATATTCTCCCTTCGGATGGCCTCACCGCCCAAGGCTAGGGTATGAATTCCAGGAACTTCGGAGGGTTGCAGGAGGCTGATCACGGACGGGGTGAGATATAATACATTTGTGTTAAGGCGATTGATCACCCCGGCAAGATCGTTCAGCCTCTCTTCATCGTTTGGGATACACAAAATTCCGCCCCGTGCTAGACAGCCAAAAGTTTCGCCTATGCTAACGTCAAATGTGTAGGCGGCGAATTGTAAAACACGCGCGTTAGGTTCATATTTCAAAGCTGGCCCATAGGCTTGAATGCTACTACAGAGTGCACGGTGTTCGACGACAATACCTTTGGGTTTACCAGTACTCCCAGAAGTAAAAACAACGAAAGCGGGATTATCAGGCGAGGAAGCTACTGGGCTCAGTATGCCAGGCGGACCACGCTGCAAGGTTTCCATGTATGGTGAATCAATGATGAGTACAGTAGACACAAGTTCATCAAACAGCGGCTTATTCGCTTCGGAAACGAGGGCAACAATTGCCTTGCATTGTCTGAGCATTTCCACTCTACGACTTTGGGGGTGCTCAGGATCAAATGCAACGCACGCTCCTCCAGCCTTAAGGACGGCCAGCTGTGATACAACTGTCCAGCATGATTTAGGGAAGCATATGGGTACGAGGATGTTGGGCCCCACAGCGTGGTCTGCAAGGTGCACAGCCAGTGTTGTTGAAATATCATCAAGTTCCTTGTAGGTGAAGTGTCCATCCCAAGCTTCCACCGCATTGGCATGTGGCCGTATTTCCGCTTGCGTGTGGATAAGTTCGTGAACACAATCATTCACCGCCGGCCACTGATCACGATTCCAGTGCCCGATTTGAGCATGGTCACGAGTGCTCATTACCTTTAATTCTCCTAGTAACCGATAATAGTTGTTGATAAGCAAATCAATGACATGTCGGAGTGTTCCAAGGACGTTTCCAGCCATCACACTGCTCAGAGTAGAATCAAAATGACGTAAAGTCAGGGACACCCTTTTCTTAGATACAAAGACATTGAGAGATATGTTATACTAGATATTATAGTTAGTGGAAAGTGGAAATTAAAGGATGGAAGTGCCGGAACACAATACCTCTGTAGGATCCCTTTCAGCTATTACTCTGAAAATGACACCGTTGCCAGAGCCAACAGTAGCTATCACCTCGCTTTCAGCACTCTGCAGCGACAAAATAGTATTAAACAATGGCTGGGAAACACAAAGTGCGTGCTGTATCTCAGCAACCGAACAATGTTGGTGTGGTAGACCGCTAAGGAAGCTATCTTGGGCCTCCTTTAGGACCACGGAAACTGCCTTGTCTGCTAAGAGCGACGCTCTATAAATCATCATATTCACAAACACGCCTACTGCGTTATGGATATTCGGTACTGGAAGGTCGCGACCAGATGTCAGATAACCAAAGCATACATCATCGCGTCCGGTATAAGCCTTTAGGGTAATTGCCCACGCTGCTTGAAAAACAGTAGCTGGCGTAAAATTATGCAGTGCACAAAACGCGTGGATTGCGTCTGCATTCTCGATTTCAACCAGTAGCTCGCGCGGCCGATTCTCCTTAACAGAAAAATCGTCGTTAAGAGCTGGAAAGTAGCATGGGGTCACGCCTAACAAACACCGGGTCCAGTACGAGATGGAGGAGCCGGATGGGTGCTGCTGGAGGTACCGGATGAATGGTGAGTAATCCACAGTCTGGCTGATGTCTAGCAGGCCTCCATATGCCTGACATATGTCTCTTAACAGCACTAGAACGGAGACACCATCAATCAGGGCATGACTAATATCAATCGTGCAGAAGAGCTTTCTTTCCGCTTTGATGGACGCAACGATGAAAGCGACTGGCGGCTCGTGGGGCCCGTCAGTTCGTTTGTAGCTCTCCAGGCTTTGCCAAAAGTCATCTTCATCATCGCATTGCCATAAAACGGCCGATCTATCATCTGTCTTGAGAACTAGCTGATCGAAAAGGCCGTCTTCGGCTGCTGTGTCGATGAAGATGGTGCGCAGAACGGGATGTCGTTGAACGACCTGCCGCCAAGCCTTTATTAGTAAGCCCCGTCTTTCTTCCTGGCCTCCGTCTTCATCAACCTCAGGGTGAGCATCTTCCGCTCCTCGCGATGACACGGCCTCACAAGTGATACGGAGCTGATATCTGTCGGGGTCTTGTTGCTGGGCCAGAAGGATCCCACGCTGAACTGCCGACAGCGGATAAATATCTTCCACCTGATCCACCTGGAGCCCCTGTTGCAACACTCTTTCCTTGTCAACTACGAATGGTGACCATTCATGGAGGACTTGGGCCTCGTTGTCGTGGATGGTATCTCGATCTTCAATCTTGTTTGCAAGCTCTAATAAGTTTGGGCATTGCATGATATCTTCGAGCTTTACGACTAGACCTTTATCACGCAATGTACCCAGCAACTGCATAGCCTTGATAGAGTCACCTCCGTTTTGGATAAAGGATTTATCCAGCCAGACATCCTCTGACCGTTCTAAACCGACGGCTACTCTGCACATTTCTTGTAACTCTTTTTCTCGGCTGTTTGATGGATGAATCCTCTGAGTTTCCGTCCTTTCGTTTCTACCAATCGCAAGATTGAATATGTCTAATGACATAGCTGCCACCCACTGGCGGACCGCAACTCCATTCTGCTTGCTAGAAATCGTCAATGGGATAGATCTTACAGGAATCCAGACCGTTGGGTGCATGTAGTTTGGGAGTTGCTGTGATAGATGATTTGCGATTCTTTCCAGTTCTGATTTCGCCATTGGGAATTTGTGCTCGTCTACTAATTCGATCCCTATAGACGGCTGCCTGAAGTGTTTCAACGATATCATGGCTGTTAACGTCCCTTGGCATGGGCCTTCGTTTACAAGCACTACAGCTGCCTGTTCGACCAACTCGTGGGCCACCAGATGGTGTTCAATCTCACCCAGTTCAATCCTCAATCCCCGCAATTTCACCTGACTATCTTTGCGCCCAATGAAAGAAATGCTACCATCGAAATTAAACCGGGCTAGATCACCGGTTTTGTAGATCCGAGAGGAGCCCGTGGGTTTGATTGCCATCCATTTTGTTGAATTTAGAAAGGCTGCCTCGGTCTTTTCCGGCTCGTTCAAGTATCCACGTGCGACGATTGGGCCCTGAATTAGAAGCTCACCAGGTGAACCAATTGGAAGAAGTTTATCATGATCATCTCTATCAACAATCCAGCAGCACCCACCCAGCGGGGTAACCAATATTAGTGTGGCTCGTTGTCGCAGATATATTTTGGGATTGGCAGTGGCAGCAATCGAGCACTCTGTAGCCCATAACCCATCGCAAGCGGAACATGCGTGCCCAAGTCTGGATAATCTCTGCTGACAAGCCTCACCGCCAAGTACGAGAAACTTGAGGGTTGGAACCTTCTTTGGACTCACGAGTTTCACGAGCGAGGGGGTTAAGAATGCCCAGGTAATGCCGAACTGCTGTATACATGCTTCCGGGCCCTTAGACCGCTCTTGGTCATTGGGGATACATACACAGGCACCCGTGATGAGCGAAGTAAAGATCTCCAAGATGCTTACATCAAAAGTAAACGAAGCAAGTTGAAGTACCCTGTCGCTATGGCTCATTCTTGACGCCCTCTGTTGTGCTATAGAACCAGTGAGGAACTGACGATGCTCCACCACGCAGCCTTTAGGTTTTCCAGTACTTCCTGACGTAAAGATAATGTATAGTGCACTCGAAGAGGTAGCCGTCGAAATGGCCTGCTGGGCAAAAGATTCCGGGCCCAGCTGGAGAGAATCCACAAGTACAGAATCAACTGGCAGTATAATTCCGTCAAACCATCCCCATCTTTGAGAATATTGCGGTGCAGTGAGGATCAATCGCGAGTTAACCTGCTCGGCAATTTCTTGGTGCCTTTTTTCTGGATGCGAAGGGTCAAGAAACAGTATGGCGCCTCCAGCTCGGACAACAGCCAGCATCGCTATAACAGCATATACGGACTTGGGAAAGCAAAGCACTACGATTGACTCCGATACCACCCCCAAACTCTGCAGATGTAGAGCTAATTCCCCGCTCAAAGCATCCAGTTCCTGGTAGCTGATGCTACGTTCTGAAGTTTGCACAGCTAGATTTAGCGGATGCTTAGAGGCGGCGTCCTCAAACATCGTGCCCACGCATCTATCTACTGATGCTGGAGGACTGCTACTCCATGCCCGTAGCTGATCGAATACCCGAGGATGAACCAGGCCAACTTGAGATATTTTCCGAGAAGGGTTGGCAAGCATTTCCCCCAAAATTTGACTGACTGTAGCAGCCACTATTTCCGCATATCCTGGGGCCAATTTTTCAGTTCTATAAAACAGTGAAGCTCCTAAAAAGCGCCCCCTATTCTCTACGTGGAGCCAGACGTTGAACTACATGATGCACAGTTAGAATAACTCTGCAAAAGAAATTCATATAGAATATTGACCGACCTCCTGTTTCCATTGTATGTTCTTCTTCCCCTCAGACATATAAACAGCAGAGTTGCACGGTAGTCCGGTAAGGATAGGACTTTCATTTCTAAGAACAATATCCCTTGTTTCCCTTTGTACAGACATGAGCAAATCAATAACTGATATATTTTCACCTATGGCTAGTGAAAATACGCCAATGCCAGTTCCAGATATTGATGCTGCACAAACGTTCCTATTCCCTGTGAAGGTTTTCAAGGCCACAGCCCAGACTGCCTGAAATATGGCATGGAGGGGTACATCTTCGTTTGCACAGAACTCTTGAGTTGCCTCACAAGTGGGCAGTGTAATGGATACTTCTCCCAGTTCGGGCCCAGAGAATATTTCACCATCACTCAAAAGTACTGGGAATTTGCAGGCGGTTGCCGACATCGTATCCCACGCCAGAGAACTGGTATCAACGTTGTGTGCCATTGTGGTGATGGCTATGGTAACGAGAAGTGATGGGGGAATGCGAGTATTGCTATATAGCTGTTTTCCAACGGCGAAATGGAAGGTGCGGGCACTATATGCACTATAATATATCGCGATACTAGCAAAATGTCGATATCATAATCGTATTATTCTTATTTCCACTATCAATGTATACTAAGGGTAACACATTGACGCCGCAGCACAGGGCCTGCATGAGATATCCCCTAACTCAGTAAAACATAATTCCAAAGCTAAACGAAGCTACCTAACAACTGCTCCTACAGGGTGTGCTTATGCGGCTGCATGTAGGACTTCTTACGAGAAGTCATAAATTAAATTACCCGTCTCCTCAGGCAGGTAGTCTGGATGGTATTACATTTAGAAATGGCAAAAGCCGAAAAGTAAAATATTAATTCCCTTTTGCAAATAATGCAATTCTTCCTGCCACTGCTACAAGTATATGCAAGATACTGGGGCTTGTTCAAACATCCATGGGAAGATTAGTTTGCTGGCATAAGTATATGCAGCCTAGCAGGGATGAACTACGTACATACATAGTTCATGCAGCTAGGGAATATATAGTTATTGCTACTCCGTCTCAGCTGCGGAGTAACCATAAGGGCTTTAAATTCCAAATATATACCACCTAGGATAGGGGCTGCCTATTCGGACTTAGTTCTCATCCTCATCAGATATTAAAATAAATCTCGCTAAGTCCACAGGAAAAGAGGATATACACGCAATACCACCCTAAGCACGGAGTAAATAATACCTTCAAGTATATATATAGCGTGGTAACTAATTGAAGACCTTTAATATTTAAATTTTATTGTATTTAACTAGTTCAGAAGAATGGCTGAATGCAGGGGAGAAATACCTATCTTACCGCATCCCTGGCCTCCAGCTGAATAGTTAGACATTCACTAGCGGGTATGGTTTGGAGGTGAAAACGGCTGTCAGAGTTAACCGTCATATGATAACTCAGGACTTCAGCAATGCAAATTAGAAGGACCAATGCCATCGATAACTAAAGCATTAAGATTCCAGGTACTTCTCAGTAAAACAGAGCCAGATTTATTTGCCAGAATTTAACTAACGAATGATGGATAATTAACTGGTTAACTGGGTAGCTTTAAATATTGTGAATTGGAATTTTTATTACTTAGAGTAATTCGATCTACACTGATAATAGTTATCTTAGAATTTCATGTCGTCTCGAATTTGATAGTTAACTGGTTAACTAATTGATTAAGGCAAAACGAGCTGTCCGGGTAGCATGGGGCGAGGCATGGTTCCTGGTCACCTGGGTTAAATTTCGCACACCATATCATAGTTATTCAGCTACTCTCTGGGGCTGAACTCGAGAAAAGGCCCATGTTTTGCAGCCGTTAAATGATCCCACAATTGGTATTCATCTATACGGTGACGTCCAAACTCAGCTCCTTCTTTGCCTTCTCCCGTTTTCCCCAACTCCCCTGAAGCCAGGCGAATGTCGAACCTCCATAATATGTGAGCCAACACAAGTTGAAGCTCGACATATGCAAGGCTTTTGCCAATGCAGCTCCGCGGGCCAATTGAAAATGGATTGAAAGCGGACCGCGCCAGCCGTATGTCAACCTGCCCTTCATTAGTGTCGGTGCTGAGCCAACGCTCCGGCCGGAAAGAGAACGGGCGAGGGTAATACAGGGGGTTATGATGGATACTATAAATGCAAGTCCCAACATCTATACCGGGAGGGATGTACTCTCCATCGACAGTTGCACCTGTCTCCTCGGATTCACGCCATAGGGAGCTCGCTGCAGGCGGAGACATTCGCATACTCTCATCGATGCAAGCGCGTAGAAAGACACACTTGCTCATCAATGGGCCCATTCTGATATCCTCAGATGACTCAAAGACCGCCCGAACCTCTGCTGTAGCACGATCACACGAGGAGCGGTAGTGGGAGAGGTAGAATAAACATGCAGCAAGGGCCGTGGACGTAGTATCGGTACCTAGAGATGAGGTTATTAGATAATTGACAAAAGTGGGAAATGGAGAGAGGTTAGGCATGCAATAAACTTACCAGCAACAATGAGAGTAGCACTTTCACCGCCCAGTTCTCGCATCTTTAACGGTTGGCCAGTCTCAGGGTCGTTTGATTTCGACAAAATCGCAAAGACGCCCCGACCAGTTTTGGCGGCATGCTTAGTTCCCTGGCGAAGCATCTCATCTACAAATTGAACGAATATGTCTCTGGCTCGAATGGCTTCGGGGAAAATGACCTTATCCAATCTCAGGAAACTCATCTCGGGAGCCTGCGATAAAGTGCCGACTCGGATATTCGACTTCTCAATAACTTCTGGTACGAAACGATATGTCGGGCTGCGTAAAGTAGACCAAGGCACTCCAAATATAATATTACTCATTACATCAAAGGCAAAATAGTCATCTGTCCCCCTCCTAGTTAGCCAGAGACTCGTCACTGATGCGGAGATGAACATACTGAGCCGTGCCATGTCTTTTGGAGGGGACCATAAACCTATTGGCGTCTCTTCACCTTGTTTACCCCCTTTCAGTTGCGTACACAAGTGCTGCACTTGCTCAAGGATGACAACTTCATGATCCTTGAGCGCTGCGTCGGAAAACCCCTGGCTGATAATCCGTCTCTTCTTGCCATGCTTCATTTTGTCGATTACAGTCAATGTGTTTGGGGCACGGTGCACCATGGCTCCGTATCTTTGAGCCTTTTTAAAGCTTTTACCGTGGCCATATATATCTATAAGAGGAGTATTTTAGAAAATGATAATCTATATTCATGTGGTAGGGACATACCTACCATGGAGCCCGCCCACAGTGTTTACAAGAAGGCTATTTGGACCATATCTCACAAAGTCCCCTTTAGAAGGTTAATCAGGTCCAAAAGTCCAAAATCATTGTGAGGATCTATAACTATTGGCTTCACTAACCGTACTTATTGTGGACATCCCACATATCTATGTGAAGGTCCCCCTTCCAAGAGTGATAGCCAGCATAAAGGTTTGTCAATTTTGCTAGCCATGGGCCAGGATACTTCGCCAGAGGATGAAAAAGTATTTGATAGACCAATACTCCCACAATCTATGTTAAAATATTAGCTATATTGTCAGATATTTATGAGCTGTGCTGGACATACATAGAGAAGTATGGCGACCGTACCCAGAATGACTGTCACCCAGATATTGGTGGACGAGAACAATAGAGAGTCGACCATCTTTTAACCTAGAATCAGAAATTTTTCTAGACGCTTCAACTGCTGGTTGTAAGATGATTGACCGTGGAGGGTTGGCTTTCAGTCCAGGTTTGCATATTAATATCGTATATGTACTGTAGCTAGATCCGCTCAGGCTCATCTAGTTACACCTGATCCGAAGTGATCCAGTCGCTGAACCATTTTGCTCGCTAACTAGGGTTATGAGCAGGGTTCGGGCTCTCAGTGCATAAACAGTTCATGGTTAACCACGCAAATGAATTACCCATTGTAGGGCAGCTCCTTTTTTTTTCTCTTTAACCGAAAAATACATATGTATACGATGTGTTTATTACATTGTAAGTTACGCCAGCCGTTTGCAATACATAACGCCAAGCTGTTTTTAAAACCTAACCCAGAACCCTGGGTCAATGCCTCGAGCTTAATTCAAGACTATGTGCATGATTAGCGTACCGTTTTATATGTCATGGAAGGATGTGGGTACGCCATGTCATGCAAGGGATCTGAAGGTTACATCCGAGTAGCTTGGCATTTACTCTGAACTAAGAGCAGGGGTGTGCTGCCCACCTGGTACAGAGTTCATACATCTTATCTTGCTCCAGGCAAAGTCGACAACACTTTGCCCCATAATAACCACATCTAAAGCAGCCTCACCGGCTTCCATCCTTCCTGGCAAGGCGCACTGAAAATGGTCCATGAGACAGAATCATATACTATGCCCCAGTTGCAACCTTACTAAAGCGCAAAGCCGCAATGGAGCTGATTTACCATCCGTTGCAGGCCGGTCGTTGCCTCAGTTAAGATACCAGCCCGCTATGATGCGAAGCCAGCGAGCGTAGACAGCTATCCTCAGGTGGAACGAAGCATTTTCAATGTGCATATTAATGGATTTTTCGGGCCTTGGGTACACTAGCAATGAGATATCGCAAAACATAAAATTACCATTAAGGGAAATTGAGAGAAGAGAACAAGAGTAAACGGGATCTGGGGTTAGGAACTCCTAGTTTTATGTAGGTAAAACCAATATTAACGAGCTGGGTAAGCCAGCGCATATTCTCCTACTTCGACAGACTACCACTATATAGAAAAGGGAGTTAGCGGTATACTTGCCTATGGTGAATTCATGCCGTTGAGTAAAAGGTCTTTCAATATAGGGCTTTTCGTGATTATGAAAACATTTCGAATATATTCCGTCGAGAGCTCAAATGGTTTTGCCGTGAGATTGGGAATATACTTTCCGATGATAAGTTCAGGATTAAGTGTAGACTCATCAATATGTCGCCTTAAGAAATTTCGAAAGGAATCAACTCCAGATCGCAACAGCCGGCTATGAAACGGCACATTAACTGCCAAGGGAATAGTTGCTAGCCCTCGCTGGAGGGTAATTGGATACTTCGTACATTCGACACGACTTAGATATTGCTCAATAAAGCTCTGCACTTGTGTTGATTGAGAGATATTTAGGTCACCGGATGTGAGAGCATCCATAAGAGCCGTAAGAGTCGCCAGCCCTTTTAGCTAATAATATATGTTAGATCAAAAATATTAGGAAATAATATGTTAAAAAAGCACTTACGTCACCAGCACAAACATACTGAATATCGAGAATGTTGTAGTTAACAATTTCTAGCAGCCCACCAGTATGTCGAGCGATCTCTTCCACACACCACTTCAAGTCGGCCTGAGAAAACGTCTTGGAGACTCGAGTTGGATTGACTGCACACATCGAGTAGTTTGTCGCACCGCTAGAGTCATGTTTCACAGCATTGTACATGGTTAATCCACGGTAGAACACAAGCGCGGCCATCTGCTCGATTGTAAGAATCTTCCCTATAGCAACTAGGGCCACGTATTCACCAAGTGAGTGTCCAGCGAATAAAGATTCCTCCTTGACAATACCCCTACTACGCATGTCTTCAAACCGGGCAATCTCCATCAACGCTAGAGCTGGCTGGGTGAATTGCGTTTCATGTAGGAGACCGCTGGTTGACCGAAATGTGTACGACCTAGTAGAGCTTGTAATGGTTGGAAACACCCTTTTGGAGGTGATCGCTCCATTATCGCCCCCACTATCAAACACTAGAGACATATAGTTCTCACGTATTCTGCGTCCTCTGGTCCCTCCGAAATAAATGGTCAGGTGCCTAGGGTTCTCACGGACAATATTAATGATCGAGAAACCTACGAGTAAGATAATAAGTTATTTGTTCTTAAGAGCGGCGTGCATTTCATTTTTCTAGAGGTGGTTTAACTTACCGTAATGCGTCATAAAGTATTCATCTGCCGCGTTCCAAACCTGCTGCGCAACACGACTGTACTGGTAAAGTTCCAAGCCCATTCCAGGTCGTTGGCTCCCTTGACCAGTAAACACATAGGCTGTCGAGGGCTGTTCAATGGTGGCTTGCCCAGATAATACCTTAAGGCCTGTAGCTGCATTCTCTGCCCGGACCGAGACCACCATCTTCCCGTGACACATTCCGATGTGGTCAACACAAATTGACAGCCTATCTCCTTCGAATACTTTTCCTTCAAAAACGCAGGACCAGGACCGCATCCGAGATGTGTCGTTCTGTGTGGTGTATGATTCAACAATGCCACGTACAAGCCCACTGGTGAACATACCATGTGTTACTCGAGCGTTGTGTCCAGAGTATGAAGCGAACAGTTCGGATAGATGAATTGGATTGTAATCTCCCGAATTTTGTGCATATTCATCTCCTAAATTCGGGATAGTCACTTCAATACCTTGAATTAGCTGATGGGGTCGATCAAAAATTTCAAATCTATCTTTGACACTTGTTCCATGTCTTTCCAAGTAGTTCACAACAGGATTTTCCTTGTGGGAATCGACTGCAAGATGGATAGACCCTAGCACCGTAGAGTGACCAGCATCCGGCTGAACTACAACTTGGCCTTCGACTTCCAAGCGGAAATTTGTCTCTGGGCCCTTGAAAAAGTAGCTGCTTGTGATATGAAACTCAATTTTTCGGTGAAGATGCTGGATGAGATCCACACCCTCATTTAAAAAAAACCATCGCCTCGACCGTAAGAGCTCAATATTTTTCACTGAAGATAAGTGGAGTTGGAACTTATCCTCTCTTATCTCAAATGTGGTATTATAGTCTGTGTATGTCCCGGGCATAATAAAATTGCTGTTCAGGTGTACAACTGGAGTACCGTTGCGATAGATTGTTCCTTCAATTTCTATAACCTTTCCAGAGCCTCTCTTAATCTTGTATGAAGCCAGTCGGCATTCAGACGTGACACAATCCCCTTCACTCAGCGGCTTGACTCCATCACTTAGGCGAAACTCATTACCAAGGTGTAGTAGGCTAAGCATATTGCCAGAAATTGGGGTAGAAAGCAAGCACCTCACCATTGGTTTCCACGCAATTGCTATAGCTAGGTCAAGAGGCGCATGTAAGGAGGTTTTCGAGGGAGATATATAACTTGGGTTATGGTTACAGATGCCTTTAGCAAACCGGATAATCGTATCGCGCTTCAACACAATACTCTCACTACAAAATATAGTTCCTAGAGTTGCAGGCGGCCCTTGCACTCCCACCCAGATGGACTGATAGAAGAGTTGAACTTGTGTGTTGTGGTCCTTAGTAGACTCGATGATACTAGGGGACCCACAGCATGGCTTGTATTCGAATGCAAGATCTAGATGTTGCGCTGCTCTGTCGGCTACTGTATGATTGGAGAGGGTTAGGATAATCCCTCCATCAAGGCCGTTTCGTAAGGAAGCGACAGCAACGACAGCCGCCTCATTGTCTTTTGCCATGTTTTGCGAATTTTTAGCCTCCTTAATAGCAATTATGCACCGCTCAGGTGACAATGGGCTATGAACGTCGACAATGCGGCCCGGTTTAGCGGTAAAGAGCCTCCGAATCGGATTGCTTATGAGGATCCGACCACGCACGACATCTGGTTCTGTGAATATCGAATTGCACCAAGCTACTGGTGATGACCTCGCTAACAAGTTCATCCAGTCATCAGGAGAGGGTAGTTCGGCTTCGGAACTAGGCAGTGAGTACCTTACTACTGTTCCATTTTCTAGTGTATTAACGGTCACCCCACGGGGCAGCGGGGGCGTCTCATCATCATCAATCGACGTCAATGTCGAGCGAAGATGTCTTAGGCCAGCGGCTGTTTCTTCCTGCAAGATCTTTGCAATATGTGCATCATGAATCCCATCCAAGATGCTCATTACAGGTTCATCCACCTGTCGAGTATACTGCGCCGCCACGGGCCCATGAAGAATACATATGCGCCCAACATCCTGCCCCGGGACAGCCTCTAGACGCTCCGATTGCCATAAGGAATCTTTTTTGAACCAGTATTCAAAATCTTCGTCCAATAGCAGGATGTAGGGCACGGGTTTCTGTCCGCGACGTTGTGATAGCAGAATAATATAGTCTGCGTCTGTTGCGGTGATGACATCAGTCTCTGCGTGTGGATATTGAGCAAACAGCTGTCCTAGAAGTTCATAGGGCTGATCTAGCTGTGCAGAGCTATAAAGGACAGCATTATTGTCTAATCCTATCTGCAGACGCTCCTCCAGCCGTCGTATTAAGTCGAACGCGAGCAGTTTGAAGTTGTCATGAATCCATTCGCGTGACTGGTTTAAATATAAAAGGTCAATGGTGCGTCGAACAACTTCGGCGTAAGTCATATCAAACAAATCAACCGCTTCACCACGAGAGTTGCAGCCAAACCAGACTTTTTGGAAATCCTTATTGAGGCGCGCGATATAATAGTCTTTGCGTGCCAGCAGCATGGTTTTCTGCTTCTCACGAGGTAGACTAAAGACATCTCGGTCTAGCTCTGCCCACAACATCACTCCGCGTGTAGCTAGCTTATGAATCGGCTCTCCCATCTCAGATCTAACACTTATGATACCGCCCGCCGGTCCGTGGTTGGTTTCCTCCCAGCGCGAATCTGGTACACCAGGGGCATTGCGGATCGCCTCTTTTACCGCAGGGCTGGTGCGGGCTTCTCTAGCAGCCATAACACGGCTCCCAAGTAGGATACCGTCGAATGGCATCGGAGGATAACCAAATTCCTCTGACCATGTGCCCGCAAGATATGGATACGTCTTATCCCCATCTCCAAACCCGCTACCTGCAAGGAGAATCACATTTGAATGCGCTCGAATCTGGCCATACCGATTTAATATAGGTTCATGGAAGTCTTCGTAAGAGTGGTGTCCACCACCGCGCCCTCCAGTCCACTGTAGAATTATAGAGCAATCGGGATTATCCCGTGCTATTCCCAAAATGGCATCAATACCTTCCTTTGAGCCGGGCTTGAGGCCAATGTGTGTTAGAGACAGGTCGGCAATATAGCCCCGAACTGTGTCGAGAGAAGGGATGCCCGCTCCGATGGTTAATCCAGTGATGGGGATGCCAGATTTACGCAATTCATGTAGGAGGGGGATTTGCCATGCCATTGCTCTTGGGTTGGCATAGATAAGGTTGCACGTAATTCCACGGCCCGGGGAAACCCCTGCTGAAAGGGAAAGTATCCCGTTACGCATGCTATTAGGCTCTGGAAAGCCTCCGCAAGCTAGTTCCGCATGATACCCAGCATTCATAATCGCGGCCACAAAGCTTGGTGCTGTCGTGGTTGGGGTCATGCCTCCTACCATCACGGGGGGAAGTCCGAAAAACCGACTGAATTTTGTATCCACCAGTTTTCGGCCGGTGGACCGTGTTATTGCTAGTTGAGGAGAATACTCGTCACTCCAGATAGAGCTGTATTTGGCAGGAATGCCACAAGCATAGAGTTCCGCCGCGCTTCCCAGAGATGAACTGGGGTCGCTGCCGGCACCGACAGTTATTGTTCTCAATCCCATTCCGTCTCTCTGTTGATCGATCAATCTTCCAATTCCGGCACTTCCTCCAGGCCCGAAATCCAGCACATGAGTAACTCCTGTCAGTACTGTGTTCAAAAGGTCCTTCCATTGTACTCGTTTGGTACATATCATTTGAATCAAATGAGGGATGAGATTTTCACAGTGTTGTAGATTATTTCCCGTCTCTGTATGAAACACGGGAAATGCTAGGTCAGAGCCTTTTAAGGTAAACGAATCAAGGTCTACCCGTAGCTTCTCTTGCGCGGACTCGAGGTACGGAGAATGAAAGGGTGCTGCGATAGGCAAAAAACAAGTACTTATAACCGATTGGCGTTGGCTAAATAAAACTCGCGATTGATTGACTGGCTGAGATGGCCCAGGTTCTCTCATCCGAATCTTCCTTTGTAACCCTTGCAGTGACAGTGGCAACCCTGCAATGACAAATTGTTGGGGTCCATTCACAAGAGATATATGGAGAGTGTCAGAGGGCTGCAGGTGCCGGTTCAGCTGGTCGATGTCGTTTTGAAGAGCATCACGAGAGATCCCCTTTACGCTCAGCATGTATGACGACAGTTGCTCCTCATGCGCCATTGGAAGTAGATTATTTTGCTGGCATCGATACCCGATCCAGAATAAAACCTCCACCGCTTGCTGAGCTGCGGCGTAAAAAGAATCCCAAGAGTCCACCGCTGCAACGAATGATGCCACAACGATTCCCTGGGAGTGCCCGGTTGCTCCTGAAAAGCAGTCCCGTAGCTCCTTCGGTGAGAGTTGAAGGTTTATACATGCAACGGCATACGTGACGAACTGAGCGAACCCTATCAGAGGAAGACTGACAGGAGTGCTAGTCAGATAACTCAACCCGGGGCGAGATTCCTCCAGGTCCAGCCACTTCTCCACGTCAAACCCCAGTGAATAAGTTTCCTTGACATTGTCGTCCGCAGCGAGGCGGTTGAGAGTGGCGGCCATGTACCGCACGAGTGTCTGGACATTGTACTTGTAAGTGCAATAGGTTTCAAGCAGCTCTTCAAAGTAGGTATCGAACCCTTGCCCATTGAACAGTGCAAACAGCTTCGCATGCCCTGTCTGAACGTCTGCGATCAGTCTGCTGTTCCCCGTCGAGCTTTTGGTTTTTGTGAAGGCGCAGGCTCGGAAATAAGTGCGCAGAACTGAGTGGTGCTTGTCGCTATCGACGTTCATCGATGCCAACACCGTGTTGATGTTCTCGTGTTGCAGTATATTCTCCTGGACAAAACCGAGGCCTCTCTTCACGATAGCCACGTCCAAGGTATAATTCTTGCCATCGTCGTTCAAGTGGTCAAGAATGTAGCCCATAAAAGATAAACATAGCTCCAACGACGATGAGTACACGAGGGCGTCCTGCTTTGAGAAACAGTCCCGGAGCTCCTGGCCACGTACGAACATGCCGTGTGGGACGTCAAAACCGCACCGTATGTTGCCGTTGTGAAGAGATATCTGATCGAAAGGGAAAACATGATCCGGCTGCTGCTGCTCTCCCCAGGAACTAGCAGTCGGGCATGGCTCGTGAAAGCTCAGTACTGACCACGGGCTCTCCATTGTGCAAGGCCGAATACTCCTTAGTTGCTGGCTCTGAAAAACGGACTCTGATAACTATTTGCAAGAAGCAACCATCGCACGGCGGGAGTCTACACAGTGAAAGTACTTGGGTGAGGCGCCTTCTCTCTGTAGTTGGTTAGCTACTATGTCGATGCTATCAGCAGCATCGTGCAGGAGGCCTGGCACGACTCTCGGGAACACTGCAGGGTAACTATAGCCATGGAATACCCGGTCGTCATCGCAGGGTCCGCCCCTAGCGTAACTGTTGCAATATAGGTAACCGACCGTTTTATGGCATACACAGCTTTTACCACACAGTTACGGCGTTATTGATAAAACTTACAAATTAACTATGACGGTCGTTCAGGCCCTGTAGAGTTTGATCCAACGGCTGGGATCACTTTGTATATATGGACATGGATCCGTATCAGCTGCTGCCGGCGGATATAGTTACAGACCCAAGGGCACGCAAGTACTCAACCGTCAACCAGTATAAGCCGGGCTACGCATCCATTGCAGGGCCTGCATATAATTACCAGATTAAGGATGAGTGGATTGACGACGGTCTTTTGCTCCTGCGGCCATCCTCCACCTCTGGTTGTACTTCCAAGTATGTATATGCAGTCTGGTCCGATGTATATGTACTACCGCTATCATGCATGCACAAGCTGACCCACTGACCCGACTCTCCATAGTTACTATGTACTATGCAGTTCTCTGTCCACAGGGAGCGGGACCCAGCTAGACACGGAGGAGTTACATACATAGCATTCCCTGTCGTGGCCGGCCAGTCTGCCTGCACGGTTCTTACACGCATCAGCCTCACTATGTAGGGTTGTGAAGAAACAAAAAAATGACAGAATGGAGGTTGCTATGGTTGCTTGATGCCTGCCTCGGACACCCCCAAACACACACACACGCACACAACACAACCGCAGTGGATGGCTTTGGCCCAGCTCATGCTACGAACCCTTAGCTGCTTCCATTGTATGCCATATCTTTCATTTTCCTTTCGGTTCATGGTTAAATAGAGTGATTCGAGCGCCACGATGTCGTTCCTAGGCGCACTTGGGTTAGCTGAAGGACTGAGCGCAATTCCGTTTGTCCCGTATATGATGGTTACGGTGTTCATCGGTGTTTTCTTGCTCAACTTGAAGGGAATCCCTGGATTTTGGCATGTATGTTTCCTGAGATACGGGCGTAACTGGTTACGTCTTTCAAGCCGGACCACTTCGTAGTAATGAGCTGACCATTTTGCATCCTGACTAGGTACGGCTTTTCAAAGGAGTTGCAACACAGCTTTTTCAGGCTAAATGGCCCAATTCTCATTCAGATAACGGCAATGTCCTGGGCTCTAGAAATATCGGGGTTATGCCGGTAACTCCTGCTCAGCCAAATAACGTTCCCAAATTGTTCTCCTATCTAATAACAATGCACCGCAACCCGCCCATCGAATGTGACTTTAATATGCACAAGTCCAACAGCACATTCTTCTCCGACCTCGACATCAACCGGACGCAGTTACTCCTCAATATATTTCGTGGCTTTCCTCGCTGGGCGGCGGAAGAGGACGTGGCATTAGCATCTGCCGGTGAGGAGAGCAGTTGCGTCGACAAGAAGAGCACGTTAAGAAAAGGAGCACGTAAGGAGAAGCTCCTAGGCATCGCACTCGGTGGAGTTTCCTGCACCTTCAAGCGGGAGATTAAGCCACTACAGCGATATGATATCTGGTCTCGCGTACTCACCTGGGATGAAAAGTGGCTGTATATCGTGAGCTATTTCGTGAAAGAAGGGACAGGCAAGGCGGTCATGCGCTCGTTATCAACAGGAGTCAGTGGGCTTGGATCTAACTTCAGTGCAGGCGATTATATATTTGCCTCTTGCTTGAGTCGATATGTTCTAAAGGATGGAAGGCGAACTATTAAACCAGAAAATGTGCTAGTGTACATGGCGCTATATCCAGCAGCGAAGGCCGAAGCATCAAAGGAAGAGGAAGACAAGGAAGATAGAGCTGAGGACTGCACGGCAATATTTGCAGCACAGAAACAACGGGGGCTGGAAGTCGTGAGGTCCTTTCATGAACTGGACGCGCTTCCCTTGCATTTTGGTGACACGGCGTCGTCGGTCCTTGGGCGATATATGGATCTATAGCTAACAAGTAACTATTGCTTAATCTTATTATGTTAGATCTTGCTCGTCTGTTACCACTTGGGAGGTGTAACTACATACCTTGACTAATGGGATTTTTTTCCAAGTTAAGAGGAGTAATAAGAATAGTTACCTAAAGATAAGTAGTTGTTAGTTTACTCTACTTCATACAAATGTTCATAAAATACGTGATTCTTTCTACGTAGGGGCTAACGATCTGAGAGCGGCAACGAAAGAAAGTGTGGTAGAGATAAGTTAATTATCAATTGAAGTAATACAGTAGTTATCGGCCATGTCTATTTAGGCGCCGGGCCTAAAGCTTCCATACTATATGAGCAATTTAATATATAGAAAATAACAATAACATCATGACATATATTTGGAAGGAAGCCATCGATAACAGTTATGAGAAAGGAGCCCAGACGGCGTATGTCTACTCAAAACCATGCAATATGAATCTGTAACCACACTATCGGTAGGGCGAGGGAGCTCGATGGCGAAAGGGCAGCATCTCATCGCCAGCAACCGGCTCTGAGCTAGGTAATTTCTGCAAGTTCGCATGCTTGCGCTGGCCGCAGCAGGTACAGCATGCACAACAGAACAGCTTTCTAAGACCACTGGATGGCATTTTGGCGTCAGGGCCGCGAAGGATTTTCCCTGGGTGGACAATATTCCAAACCCCGATAGCGGCCAGCATTGGAACTGCATCAAAGACGTACATATACCATTCGTGGTGCGGAATAGGATTCGAGGCAGTATGTCCGGATGAAAACTCCACTAGGCGATAGATAATACGAACAGTAATAAAAAGAAGGCTCGTATAGAGCGAATATAGGAGAGGCCTCCATTTTCGCTTTATATCTGACAACCTTCCCGTGCGCTCAAGGTGGAGCATTTGATAATGGAACTGAATGGCAAGGATGAGGAAAAGGATGATAAAAAATTCCTGGATACCAATACCGCCCATATAGATATGGATGCCTCGCATTGCGGCCTCCGGCGTTTGGCCAGGACCAGCCATACCGCCACCAATAAGCTGGATGATGAAGGCACCAAAGTCTAGAATCACAAAGATCTTTGCTAGCATGGCTGGCTTGAAGATACCGATAGATCGGCTTGGGAGGAAGAAATGAATCATGCGGGCAAGGACCATATAGTCAAAGGCATTAACCCCTATTAACTACCAGTTAGAAATCAATGAAACTCCAATGAGCGAGCGGACGGAATACTATACATAATGGAGAGAGTAGAATAAACAACTGAGATGTTGTTGCCAGTGCAGAGCTCTGCTGGTCGCGGGTACCCAGAGACCGCGTAAGGAAGCCTACACATTCCCAAGTTGCTCCCATAAGGATAACCCACACGAATCCAGCTCTATAAATAGTAGCCTGAATGAAATGCGCTAGCATCACCGCCCCAAAGATAACGGTGAACGCAATTGCAGCGCCGAATGAAGGGTAATAGAGGTAGAGCGCATTGCATTCGGAGGCTGGAACCCAGCCGTTCTTGTCCGGGGCGATGGTTGGCGTGCATGTGTTCACGGGCAAATCAAGCGATAAGCTTGGGATAGAGACCGGAGGAATAGATATCGAGAATTCGCGGCGTTCGATGTTGACTGGCGCTGTGGTTACTGGTGAAGGGGTCTCTGTAGCGACGTTCGAGACGGCCGTTTGTGCGGGTGTTGCTGTGAGTGCTCCAACCACGGAGACTAGAATGAGTAGAAGCGACACAGGCGCCAAAATCATGTTTCCCGTGTTTCTTTGGATGTCCCTTTGTTTTCATGTATATGACAATATAAGCGAGTGGTGGTGTGCTGGTATAATCAAAAGAAGGAATCCATCGAAAGGAGTGCGGCATGGAGGTTTACAATCTTCCATGATCGAGGATAGTAACCCGTCGGGCACTTCTTCGAATTATTAAATCCCTCCCATATCCTGCACTTCCCCTTGAATCTTGTTGTTATTTCCATAGCAAACCCTGCTTGAACGTCAGTGATTGGGGCGCAGGACGGACAGGGGCCAACGTATGTATGTGTGTGTACGTACATATCTACCCATGCAAACGGTCTCAGCGAGCTGCTGGCTTGGTTCTATATCCTGTACGCGCTGGAACCCTCCTATAGGCTACCTCATCTCATAACTATGCAGTACTATGTAGGCGCCGAAGGGGTAAAACGATGCAGATTTTTGTTATCTGAGGTCTATTTTTGGCGACCAATCACGTGTTAACGGTGGAGCCACCAACCAAAAGTCTTTGGTGGGCTAACCAGTTAGAGTTAGCCGGTTTAGGTTATCCACAACATCAACAATTTGGCTCAGCCTCCCAGCTTGTGTGTTTTGTTTTAGTTTACATAGTACGTGCTCCATGGCTGGCTCGCTTGCGTGGATGTGGCTAACTAACTAGTGAGCTTGACTCTTCGGGAGATCTCCCCTGGCGCTCTCTTTGTTCCTGTTCCGCAATGCTCCGGACCCCCTGCTCCTCTAACAATATATACATCGTTATCAGCGCTACTAGCCGGACCTATCAGCCAGTGGTAGCTTGGATTGACTGATGGACCATGCAGGGAGGCTGATATTCACCTGAACGCTGTCGACTGATCACATAAAGGGAAGACAAGACGAAACAGCAAATCGACAGACGAAACATGGGCCTCTGCCTGCGATCCTTTCCGATTTCAAGATGTGTTCCATTATTGTTGAGAACGTGTTTGGCCCTGCGGTGGCGTCTCAATGTCTCGATGGTTTCGATTTTACGCTCCTGTTCGAGGAGTGTTTTTTCTCCATCGGAGTCTGCAGCCTATTCTTGCTGTCCCTGCCGGTGCAGTTGGCTCGTCTATCTAAGGAGCCGAGACGACCATCAGCAGGCCCTATTCTCTATTCGAAATTGGTGGGTGAATCTAGAAGGAGACGCAGACGCCTAGGATAGCTAACGAGCCGTTGTCTGCTCTTGTCTTGCTTCCTAGGCTGCGCATCTTGTCTCGACATGCATTAAAATTGCTCTCTTCATTCTTGTCCTTTTGCCAGGACTTGTATTGAAAACTAACACCACAGTCGCAGCCGCTTCTCTAACCGCAGTAACCTCCATTTCAGTTGTCATTCTTTCATATTGGCAGCATTATCGGTCTCCTCGGCCTTCAACCATACTGGCAATCTTTTTAGGGCTTTCTCTGCCGCTAGATATCGTCCGTTCTCGAACTATATGGGCGGTACAACCCTCCGTATATTTTGCTGTGTTTGTAGCTGGAATCGCGTCAGACCTTGTCAAGTTTGTACTTGAGGCTCTCGAGAGGGGGAAATGCGCCCCAGATACCCCAGGATTTCTCTCCGCAGAGACTACGGCTAATGTGTTCAACCGAAACGTCTTTTGGTGGCTTAATCCGTTGTTGCTCCAGGGGTTCCGGGAAGCCTTGGAAACCAGGAAGCTTAGCGCCATTGACTGTCGCCTGAACAGTGATGGCGGAACAGATTCATTCTCAGCCAAATGGAGCGCTGGTTCGTACCTCACTACTTCAATGTTCCTATTTATTCCATTTCTCCAGCTGCCCGAATTTTCTGACATTCCTATCGTATAGCCAGGGTCAAGTCTCCGTCCACCTTGGTCCATTTACTGATAATTCACCATAAATGGGCCATTGTCGCTGCAATCTTGCCTCGATTATGTCTAACCGGACTTACTTTCACTCAACCATTTCTCCTAGCTAGAATTGTGAGGTATATCACTGAAACGGACGGCAAACTAACTAATTACTATGGCTATGGCCTCATTGTGGCAACTTTACTCATTTATACCGGGCTCGCTGTAACCACGACCAATAACCAACATAAGACATACCGGCTTATTACTATGCTGCGTAGCAGCCTTGTTCCACTTGTTTATAGCCAGACCTTGGGCCTGGAAACTTCTGCCGTGCGTGACTCAGCGGCACTTACTCTGATGAGTGTGGATATTGAACGTATCAGCTCAGGACTACGGTATTTGCACGAGATATGGGCCAGCCCGATTGACATCGCGCTTGCTCTTTGGCTTTTGCAGCAGCAGCTCGGTATCGCAGCCGTCGCTCCTGCGGGTATCTTTCTTAGTAAGTCTCAACATCATGCTAAAACAAATAATTGCTAATTAGAACGTTCTTTGTATAATAACCAGTTTGCACCGTTTCCGGCCTTTTTGTAGCTGCCACAATGGGAGCGCGTCAAAGATTGTGGCTTGAAGCGATCCAGAATAGAGTACAAGCAACATCAGAAATGCTGAAGAACATGAAGGAGATCCGGTTAGGCGGGTTGCAGGGCCATGTGGCCAAAAAGCTACAGAAATTAAGATCAGAAGAAATATCTGAGTCTCGCCCGTTCAAGAAGGCATTGGTTATAGTCGTGACGCTATGTGAGTTGATTTAGTTCCCCAGGCGCATCTTTGATTAATCTCCTTGACACGAGAGCTGAGAGACATGTGGCGGACCAAAGCGCTAAATTCTAATGGATTTTAGCTTTTACCACAGCGGCATCCGGGCCATTGCTGGCGTTCGCCATGTATACACTCCTAGCCTTGAGAAACGGGTCCCCAGCATTAAATTATGAAAAGGCATACACCTCGCTGACCCTATTGGCGCTTTTGCAGGCTCCTATGGCCCTTGTTTTAGACGCTATTGCCGGAGTCGTCTCTGCATTTGGGGCCATAGAACGCATAGGTGAATATGTATCGCGTCCCACAACCCATACAAAAAAGATAGCTGGCGATGGAATAAACCGACTATCCATGCCACCAATGCCTAAAACATGTGAAGAGAAAGAGAAGCTGGCAGTTGTTCATGCCCGAGATTTCAGTGCCGGCTGGGATGTGAATCAGACTTTTGTTATCCGGAACCTCAATTTTAAGATCCTATCTTCCAGTATCACTTTCATCGTGGGGCCTGTGGCATGTGGAAAAACTACGTTACTACATTCCATACTCGGCGAGGTAAAATATAACGACGGAACCCTCCAAGTATCAGCTACGAGGGCTGGATATTGCTGTCAGACGCCTTGGATTACCAATGATACTATCCAACACAATATTATAGGCACCAACCTATTTGTGCAGTCCTGGTATGAGCGGGTGGTGGATGCCTGTGTGCTGCGAGATGAGCTCGAAAGCTTTCCATGCGGGGACCAAGCGGTAGTTGGGAATAATGGGACGGCTTTGAGCGGTGGCCAAAAAGCCCGATTGGTAAATGACACGGTCCCGAAGAACCGACAATTCTACAAATACAAGGCTGACATGCAACTAGGGAATTGCACGAGCAATATACACTCGCGAAAATCTCTTGCTTCTAGACGACGTCTTTAGCGGTTTGGATGCCAAAACTGAGGAGCTAATTTTCCACAATTTATTCGGTGCGCACGGCATTTTAGTGGATGAAAATATGACTGTGATCCTAGCCACAAATTCCGGTAAGTCTTACCTGTGAGATCATTCCTATAAAAAAGATTGGAGCATAGCAATAAATAAAAGTCTATTTTCAGCTAACTAATTAACTACTAAAGCGAATCGACTTACCTACGCGGATAATGTTATATATCTGGATGCTAATGGGCAACAAGTGGACAAAGCCAATTTCAATCAAAACGAACTATTAGCCAAGGAGGCCACAGCGATGCCCACAGGGAACCCTAGCTCAGAGGCACAATCTAGGGAAATACCAGCAGGAGCTACACTAGCGCCGCCGGGTGTCAGTCTCTTAGCAAAAAACTCCAAGAATGATAGCAGACGGATAGGTGACATGACTGTCTATAAGTATTATATACAAACTGTTCACTATCTGAATGCGGTTTTCTTCGCTGCTATATGTCTGATTTTTGTCCTCGGGCTAACTCTACCAAGTAAGTGATGCTCTTTCTATGATATACAAAAATGTACTCACTAGGGTGAAGATTTCGTTATAAAATGGTGGCTTCAACGGGATACAGAATACACCATTTCCCACATCGCACTATATCTAGGAGCTTATGCTGGACTTTCTGGAATGGCAATTGTTTCGCTGGCTGTAGCCGCTTGGTATGATTGATCGCCCTGATGCGATGGCAATAACTAACTAGTGATGTGTGATGTGCAGGTATCTGACAGAACATATGCTCCCGAGAGCTTCCAAAAAATTCCACAAAGACCTACTCGATACGGTCTTGAATGCACCTCTCCTATTTTTCTTAAAGACTGATATAGGAACTACAGTTAACCGATTTGCACAGGATTTACAATTGGCGGATATGGAACTACCGCTGGCCCTTTTCAATACAACTATAGAGTTCATGATGTGTCTAGTGCGACTCATCATCATTGCAGTTGCGTCAAAATACGTTGGCGCTGCTATACCCGCGTTATTGGTTGTCTTCTACCTCATTCAGAAATTTTACCTGCGCACCGCTAGGCAACTCCGGCTACTGGATATTGAGGCCAAAGCTCCCCTATTTTCGAAATTCCTTGAAACTTTATCGGGGCTGGTCACAATCCGGGCATTTGGCTGGCAGAGCGAGTTTGAACAGCATAATCGCCAAGTGCTTGAAGAATCACAAAAACCCTTTTATCTTCTATTCTGTGTCCAACGCTGGCTTAACCTAGTTCTTGACCTCGTGGTAGCATTTATTGCCGTCATCGTGGTCTCGATTTCCGTGCGAACAAAGGGAAAAGTTGACGCTGGCTCTATTGGCATCGCTCTGGTAAACATTGTTCAGTTCAGTGTTACGATAAAGAGCTTGTTGTCTAACTGGACTCAGCTTGAGATTTCAATCGGTGCTGTTTCCCGCATTCGCTCGTTTTCAACTGATACTTTATTAGGCAAACTTGCCGGACAATACCATGAGCCAGAGAATGAGGCAACCAAACATATTTTATCATCTACTTGGCCGGAACGGGGTGTCATTGAATTCAGGGCTGTTACTGCTCAATATGAAATTAATTCTATTCCGGTAATCAAGAATTTGAATCTATCGATCCGCCAGGGAGAGAAAATTGCCTTGTGTGGAAAAAGTGGAAGGTGAGCTATCTACCATTGTATTAACTTATCATCCCGGTGAAGACCTGTGCTCTACTTAATGTACTAATGTATTTTTATAGCGGAAAATCTTCTATTATATCTGCGTTATTCCGAATCCTACACCTATCCGAGGGAAGTATAACCATCGATGGCGTCGATATCTCAGCCATTCCTCAGGAAACCCTATATACCCGCCTTGTATGCGTCAGTCAGACGCCGTACCTCATCCCAGGCACGATTCGTGAGAACATCGACCCTTTTGGGGTTGCCGATGATAGTCAAGTGAACCAGGTTCTAAAAGATGTTATGCTCTGGGACGTGGCGATGGCGCGAGGGGGTATTGAGGCTCGGCTCTCAGATGAGTTACTCAGTGTTGGTCAGAAGCAGCTTATTTGTCTTGCTCGGGCAATGATACGTCCAGGGTCCATTCTAATCCTTGATGAGGTCACCGCGAGCGTTGATCTGGGCACGAATAAGCTGATGCAAAGCATCATTCGAGATCACTTTGCAACAAGGACCACTATTACAATTGCACATCAGATATTCACGATCCTCGACGCCGACCGCGTAGCAGTCATCTCCAATGGGGAAATAGTGGAGCAAGGTCGGCCAGCAGACTTACTCGCAAAGGAACCCCCAGGACCCTTTCGCAACTTAGCTGAGGCAAGTACTATGAGTCTACGGGTGCCAACGAACCATCAAGCTGCCGCAGCCTGTTAACTCTACCTGTTTATATGATTGACTTGTGGAAGTAGCAACCCTTACTAACTCATTCAACGACTGTACCCTTACTGCGTTTTGCTATATTTTCCAAGCATGTCTCTTCAATCCCACCGTTACTCCCAGCTCCATCAAAGCTCGGTGGCAGGTCCAAAATTAGAAGCAATATGCCGTGCTCACCACATGAATACGCTATATCCCCTTATCTGACCGTACTTATGGTAGATAAACAAAGAGAGTTACCTAGCTCATCCTCCAGTTTTGGAAGATGCATAAAATCCTCTTCTCAGCTATGGTTGACTAACTAGGTAGTTTCTCTACAACAACTCCTGCCCGTACTTCGTCCCGAATCCTGCCGGGCCATCTACCAAATTTGGATACATACACTTATAGGTAGGCTCACCGAGCTCGATGTAACACATGAGACGAAACTCAACCTTCATCCTACCGGTAACTGTCCATCTTAGGTGTCCGATCCCTGCCAAACTTTTAGTCAATCCCTGGCTCGGCTGACATTCTGGATCCCAATCTCAGCCCATACGCTGGCCTCTCTGCGGCCACGTATAAACTTCATGTGAAGCGACGGAGTGAAGGGAGATGCCAGAGGAATTATCTGAGCGTCACCTGGAGACCTGGTGGAGACTAAATAGTTAGTTAGGTCGAATCAGTACGGAGTACGTCCGGCGAATACCAGACGATAGAAGAGAATGAGGCAACATAAATGACTCCCTGCGGGCACTGGGCTAGAGTATTCTCGATATCTGCAGCCCGGGAGCAGCGCGAGCTAAGGCAAACGTTTATAGATATTGGTTAAGGTAAACAGGGGTAACGAGTTAGTGGGACGGTCACGCCACCCAGCCCAGATGATAACAACTACTCTGTATAACTAGTCAACTAGTTATTTTCCACACTGGAAACCGCAGGATATTAACTAGCCGCGGCGTAACTACGTGCTTTAGGCCATGTACCCGACAATCGGGTGATATTTCTTTTTTTCTTTTTCTTTTTTTTTTTCAAAATGTGTCCACAGCAATGTACCGTATAATATGATATCCTTGATCTACTACTCGACAGGCATTCTGCTGCGTGGAACCCGCAGAGGCTGCAAGTGCTCGGGCTTGCTGTCATTTGCCTTCTCCTTTTTGCAACAGGGGATCGGATTCCCTCGCTTCTTCTCTTCCTTGCTCTTTTCCCCTCCTGCCATCCCTCTCGGGCTTCTTCTACTCCGGGAATGCTATACATCAGCGTGCTATGTACAAATATCGGTGGAGGTAGAGTTAGGCTTTAAGATAAGCTTTAGAGTAATTCTTGGGGCTACAAAAAGTATATAAGAAGCCAGCGAACGACGTCATGGAGGGTAGACTTCGTGTAAGGCAGATACAGAAGAATGTAATCTGTTTACAGGCGGATGAAAAAAAGAAAATGAAATACGACGCTTATACATGGAAGCCATACAGAGCCTCAAGGAAGAAACAGAAGATTGTAACAAGATTTATACGGCTGGTACCATGGAGAGCAACCTTTATAACATTTGACAACTAGCCAGTGCCCTCAGCCAAGGGTGGTTTCTGGTCGAGCTGATCTGGCGCTGCGGACCTCGCTTCTATCAACGTAGCAGATTCGCCGTTTAATGGTTATGGCGATGAGCACTTTTCCTCCTCCCCCGGTTGAGACCCTAGGTATGCAGCAGCTTATCTAGTTCGAACAGGATGGCCGCATCACCATGTGCTAATTGATTGTATTCTTTAGAGTGGGATCGACTGGGCCTGGCACCTATGGACGGTATGTCAGTGATGTCAACGGCCCACTGCGCTATGGGAAACGGCGAGACCTCAGGCTGATGCTTCACGGCTGTTTTTGCAGTCAATGGCCATGTTGAATCCGACTATTCTGTCCACAGTGGCAAGTGGTCTGAACCTCGATTCGTGAAAGATCCGTTTCTCAAGATCCACGGCCTCGCACCGGGGCTCAATTACGGTATGGCCAAGCCCATTAATTCCTAGAGGAAGAGGAGAAACTGACCCTTTCAAGGTCAGCAAGCATTCGAGGGGATGAAAGGTACGCCGTATACGCTGCCAGTTTGTAATGTGAAAAATTTCGACAGCCGATCGTAACTAAGTGAGTCCAGCTTATCGCGACCCCCAGGGCCAGATCCAGATATTCCGTCCAAAGGAGCACGCAGCCCGCCTGTCCTTGTCGTCCTCTACCATCGCTATTCCACCGATTCCAGAGGATATCTTTCTTCGCGGGGTAAATCTTGCCGTGGCGAGGAATGCCGAATATGTTCCCCCACACGAGACAGATGCTGCGTTATACATACGTCCCCTCGTCTTCGGGTCTGACGCCTTCTTTGCGGTCTCAGCGGGGACGGGCTACAAGTTCTGTGTCTACGTGCAGCCGTATAAAGCCTACCATGGCGTCCATCCGCTCCCAGCCTTGATCTTGGAGGAGTTCGACAGAGCAGCACCCAAAGGAGTCGGCCACGTCAAGGTTGGCGGCAATTACGCTCCTGTGCTTAAATGGAGCGATCAGGCGCGCGCCGAAGGGTTCTTCTTGACGCTCCATCTCGACAGTCGTCATGGCTCCGAGATCGATGAGTTCAGCACATCCGCCTTCATTGGCCTAAAGAAAACCGGTGACTCTTATACACTCGTCTCACCGAACAGCCGCTCGATCCTAAAAAGTATCACTAGCACGACTTGTCTAGAACTCGCCAAATCGTTCGGATGGAACGTAGAGATCCGCCCGGTAAGTCGTGCAGCTATATATATCAGGCGTGTAAATACATGGAAAAATAACGGTTATATAGATCTCGTACTCCGAACTCCCATACTTCACCGAAGTCCTTGCTGTTGGGACCGCAGCCATGATACTCCCTGTCAAGTCAATCACCCGCAAGTCAACCGGGGATACCTTTGGATTTGCGGCTGATGGGCAGGGTGAGGGCTGCAAGATGCTGTCAGGCGGCCTTTCGGATGTTCAGAAGGGCATAGTGAAGTCTGATCCGGAGTGGCTTTGGCAGGTGTCCCCAGTCCCCGTTGTTGATAGTTCGAGTAGTTAGGCGTCTATAAGACTCCATCACTGCAGTCACTGCGATGGTGACGGCAGGATTTTATTCTCATCCACGGAAGAATAGAATATCCTAGTTAGAGGTTAAGCAGTATCCGGATTTAATCAGCCTTTATTAATTACAAGGATACTGTTAACTCCTGGCCATGGAAATATCCCGAACCCTACTTTTCCAAGCGTGCGCCCTTGTCCGAGGCTTGTACGATGTAATGCATGAACCGCCAACGGTTCTCGTACTGCAGATTTCAAAGGGTACAGTACAAACCCCCGGATGTAACGCAGCGTAGTTACAATACAGAGCATCGTTCTTTTGCTTTTTTTTTTTCATATTTAGCCGTTGGTTATTTTCATATTATCGTCCATTCCACGTTGTCTAAATACTGTCCTATAACTTTATCCTTGACCATTACGCGAGTATCATGGGGCTGATATACATCTCGAAGCCTTTCTGCCTGCCGGTCCACAAGGCTAACTACAACAGTAGCGGAGGAGAGGGCCAGGGACGCACAGCTGGTGGTAGTATATCGCTACTTGGTGCCATAAGTAGGCCCATTTTCACGCAACAGCGGCCTCTTTTCAGCAATACTACGGCTACATACTTGATACCTTGTCTCCGAGACGGCCGAAGTATCGCGGGAAAGACGAGATATCTCACCATGTCAGATCTCGTCAATGACCAGCGCAAGCTGGCTCACACGTTGCTCGTTGAGCTTATGGCGTAAGTACATGCCCTTCCGTAGAGACAGCCGTCCTCAGTCCAGATTCCTCTCTAAACCAAGATTAGATACCAGTTTGCATCCCCAGTACGATGGATTGAAACACAGGATGTCATTCTTGCGGAGAAGGCCTGCAGTAGAATTATAGAGATTGGACCTACAAATACCCTTGTGGGTATGTTCCAACGGACAATAAATAGTTTATATCAGACTCAGGAGTGCATCCTTCCTATGCAACGACAGCTCCTTAATTCAGAAAGGGACACAAAGAAGGTATACTACGAAGCTACTACGGATGTTGCAATACCCATGAATGAGTTCAAGGAGAGGGAAGGAAGGGTAGAATTAAAGGCAGCAAATACGGGCTCTGGAGTAGTGCCTGTGGCCGCCAAATCACCCGTCGATGAATTCGCTATACAACCAGCACGCTCTGTTGGTGCCGAAGCCGACATAGATGACCGGCCCGTCAAGGCTCAGGAAATTCTGATTGCGATTGTTTCTAAAACCCTTAAAAAGGCGCTACCCGATATAGATGTCTCAAAATCTCTTAAGATGCTCGCTGGAGGTACGTTGCTGGGGGAGGTATATCCTATGCGCCCATGGCAAAGCGTTAACAAGGTGCACAGGTAGATCTACACTAGAAAATGAGATAGTCGGGGATCTCAGCGTCGAGTTTGGCTCTTTGCCTGATCGTGTTGAGGATCTTCCTCTAGCTGAATTATGGGACACGGTGCAATTAAGCCACAAGGGGGCCCTAGGCAAGATATCCACGGGCATGATTAATTCGATGTTTACCGCGAAGATGCCAGGTTCTTTTACTACGGCTGTGGCCAGGGAGAGGCTTCAGACACAATGGCATCTGCAACAGGGCAGGCAGGACTCATGTCTGATATTAGCCACAACAATACAACCAGCTACGCGAATAACAGCTCAATCAGAAGCAGCGAAATTCATCGACCTTGTGGTCGAGGAGTATTCGTTAAGAGAAGGGATTGTTCTTGGGCGAGGCACCTCAGCGAGCGATCAGCCAACCCCGGGTACAATAATGGTCGATGCCGAAGCTGTCCGGGCGCTCTCAGAGTCACAACACGTACTGTCAAAAAAGCTGCTTAAGGCTTACGCATCACACCTTGAATTAGAATACGATCCAGAGAGGCAAATCCTAGGTAGCTCTCAAGAGGGCGCTGCCGCGAAATTGCAAACAGAACTTGACCTTTGGATTGCAGAGCATGGCCAAGAATATGCCGACGGTATTCGCCCAATCTTCGACACTCGGAAAGTCAGGACCTACAATTCATCATGGGCTTGGGCCCGCCAAAGCCTTATCGAACTCTTCATCTCCGCATCAGCAACTGAACGGAGGGATGTACATCTCGACCCAGACATGGTTTCAAAGACGTGCCATTTTATTGCAAATGCAGCAGAAGAGAATATCATCCCTATTATTCAAGAAATGAAAACAAAATTCCATTCCCATCCTCTACTCGAGCCCATTTTCTGTGGGCTTGAAAGAGCATGCAGGGCCAGGCTTCACTCAGGGCCTGTTTATCAGGGGACTCCAAAGAACCTTGGCCCATGCACTACTATTAGTCCTGAGGGCAACTTGCGATATGCCGAGAATGAGCGCAAGGAATCAATTCGTTTTGCCGACTTAACTATACCGACTACTTACGTTGCTGAACCCTACCTCCACTTAAAAGAAAAACTTCCTCAAGGATGGATGTATAGCAGGAAACTGACTAGTCATCTATATGCAGCCATTGACCAGGTAGAGAAGCAAGGAGAGTCTTTCAGCGATCAAACCGTGTTGATAACTGGCGCTGGCATCGGCTCTATTGGTGCTTCTATGATCTGCCATTTTCTTCAAGGAGGCGCCAGAGTGCTGACGACCACATCATCGTTCTCTCCAGAAACGGCCAGGAAATACCAGTCGATCTACACTGAACATGGAGCTCGTGGTTCTCAACTGATTGTGATTCCCTTCAACCAGGCTAGCACGCAGGATGTCATATCGCTTGTCGAGTATGTCTACGATGCAAAGGGCCTTGGATTGGATATAGACTACTTAGTTCCCTTTGCGGCGATAAGTGAAAGCAGAAAACTTGACACCATTGGCTCGAAGTCGGAACTCGCCCATCGTATAATGTTAACAAATGTCCTTCGGCTACTAGGGGCGGTGAAGTCTACAAAAGAAAAGTACGGATATCTATCTCATCCAGCACAGGTAATATTGCCTCTATCTCCCAATCATGGAATATTCGGCGGAGACGGCTTGTACGGAGAATCTAAAATTGCTCTTGAGACACTTTTTAACCGCTGGCACTCAGAGGACTGGCAGGACTATCTGTCAATATGCGGTGCAGTAATTGGATGGACTCGAGGCACGGGTTTGATGAATCAAAACGACTTGGTAGCGGAAGGCATCGAAGCTGCAGGTATACGAACATTCTCGCAAGAAGAAATGGCGTACGCTCTTGTTTGTCTTTGTATACCTACCATAAATGCAATTTGCCAGGAGCAGCCCATCTACGCCGACCTCACGGGGGGTATGGGCAGAGTGAAGGACCTTCCTGGGAAACTACATAGTCTTCGCCATCAACTCAACGATCGCAGTGACCTTCAATCTGCACTTTTTGCCGAGCTGAAATTCGAGCAACAGTGTAATATACCCACCAGTTTGACATCACCGACCGAAATACGTGCACATAAACTAGACCAGAGAGCTCATGTACGGCCGGACTTCCCAAAAGTCCTTCAATATGACAAAGATATCGCTCCCCTTGGTCTAGATCTATATGAAATGGTAGATCTCCAGCGCGTGGTTGTCATTACTGGTTTTTCTGAGCTAGGCCCTCATGGCAATTCTCGAACTCGATGGGAGATGGAGGCCTACGGCCAATTTTCCCTTGAGGGTGCTGTTGAAATGGCCTGGCTAATGGGGCTCATCCACTACACTACCCGAAATATCAATGGTAAAACTTACTCAGGATGGATAGATTCTAAGAGCAAGGAACCCGTGGCAGAGTTGAAAGTAAAGGAAATATATGAGGAGCAAATTCTAGCCCATTCGGGCATTCGAATTATTGAACCAGAACTATGTGACGGTTATGACCCGAATAAGAAACAATTCCTCCACGAGGTGATCCTCCAGGAGGATCTGGAGCCACTTTATGTTCCTGAATCTCTGGCTGAGCAGATGCGGCTAGAGCATGGCGATTTCGCTACTATTGGCAAATCTTCTAAACCCGACATTTATTGCGTTAGACTACACAAAGGAGCGAAGCTATTTATCCCACGAGCTATGAAATTTAGCCACACAGTCGCCGGACTAATTCCTACCGGCTGGGATGCTAGAACATACGGGATCCCAGAGGAAATTATAACGCAAGTTGATCGTGTTACCCTCTTTACGTTGGTGTGTGCTATAGAGGCTCTTATTTCATCTGGTATCAGCGATCCGTACGAACTTTATCAGTATATCCATATTTCAGAGGTTGCCACCTGCATCGGGTCTGGGATCGGAGGAGTATCCTCCCTAGGCAAAATGTTCAATGGACGTTCTATGGACAAGGATGTACAGAAAGATATCCTACAGGAAACGTTTATAAATACAATTGGCGCTTGGGTAAATATGCTATTGCTATCTGCTAGCGGCCCAATTCGCACCCCAGTAGGAGCATGCGCTACAGCAGTTGAGTCTTTGGAGCTCGGGCATGATACCATTATCTCTGGGAAAGCAAAGTTCTGTCTAGTTGGCGGCTGTGATGACTTTAGTGGCGAGACATCATACGAGTTTGCAAATATGAAGGCAACTAGCAACGCCACTGAGGAGTTCATGCGTGGTCGAGAGCCAAAGGAAATGTCGCGGCCTGCAACAAGCACCCGTAATGGTTTTGTTGAATCCCAAGGTTGCGGACTTCAGGTCCTTACCACTGCTGAGTTAGCATTGAAAATGGGACTACCAATTCGGGGCATTGTGGCATTTGTTGGTACTTCCAGTGATAAAGCTGGAAGGTCTCTTCCAGCGCCGGGTAAAGGTATATTGACAAATGTCAAGCATGCCACATCTAACGTGGCCTCTACGCTTCCGAACGTTGGTGGTCGAAGGAAAAGACTAGATATCCGCCGACAACAAATCGCGCTATCAAGAGATGCTTCATTGGCAGAGTTAGAATCTGAATTACTAGCGGCGGTTACTCAAGACCCATCGACTGGTGCAAACATATACCTTCAAGAGCGCCAACGGCACATTTTAGCAGAATTTCAAAGGGAGACCAGCGAAGCCCAGTACGCTTTGGGCAATAATTTCTGGCGTAACGACCCCTATATTGCGCCCATTGCTGGTGCTCTAGCCACTTGGGGTTTAACCATCGACGATCTCGGCGTTGCCTCCTTTCATGGGACGTCTACTGTCTTAAATGACAAGAATGAGTCTGGCGTTATCCAGAAGCAACTTCTCTCACTAGGCCGACGAAGGGGAAACCCAATTCTGAGTGTGTTCCAGAAATACCTAACTGGCCATTCCAAAGGCGCAGCTGGTGCGTGGATGCTGAATGGTGCGTTGCAGATGTTGGATTCGGGACTAGTTCCCGGTAACCGAAACGCAGATAATATCGACCCAGTTTTGAAAGAGTTTGACCTCATCGCCTATCTCCAGCGATCCATCCAGGTAGACGAAATAAAGGCTGTATCAATAACATCGTTTGGGTTTGGGCAAAAAGGCGCCCAGGCTATCTGCGTGCATCCTAAATATTTGTTTGCCACCATAGGGAGAGAAACCTATGAGAATTACTTAGGTCGCCGGATGGCTCGACAGAGAAAAGCAGATGCCTATTTCTATCAGGGAATGAACTCCAACACATTATTCAAAGCTAAATCGGCGCCCCCATTCCCAGTATCGAAAGAGGAGGATACTTACCTTGACCCTGAGGCTCGATTTCCATAGCCATGTTCAGTTTAGACAAGAGCCTTGGAAGCTGTGATGGTTATAGAACGTACGTTGTTGTTGGATCTGGATATAATCAAACACTGCAAAGTGGAACAGGAGGTTTAGTCAGCGATGACTCAGCACTTATAGACTAGGAACGTAACGAGCAATGGAGGTTTCAAAACCGTGTCAATTGTCCGCAAATCTATCTATCTACAGGTGGGATAAGATTCCTTTTATGCCTGTTCCCTCTATGAGCCGAATCTCTATCCCGTGAAACATCTGCTCAATATCTTACCGTGTCAACATATCCCATAAATCGGTTACATACTATGTAGTATATTGTAGATATTTGCTTCATTAGGTAAGCATGCGCTAACCTTATCTGGAACCTAACAAGAAAAAAGTGAATCATGTGACTCAAAACGTAGCTCTTATATAATCATATCAGGTGACGTTACTCATGACTAAGCGTATACTTCTTCGTAATATTACTTAATTAGGATTAGCGCAGCACGGGCCTCTCTATTATATGCAAGGCGAAGAATCCTTCAGGCACAAAATCTAAACTAAACATATAAATGTCCAATGAAGACGGATACTAATAATAGGAATCTGGCGAATGAGGCCCGACCCGTAATTAGTGCCAAGAGACCAGACGGGCAACATGGGAGAAGATGAAGAAGAGGGAGAGGGGACAAGGCTGGACGATAATCCCGCCACCTCAGAGCCCAAAGCAGAAGTACAGCCAGGTGCACAGCAGCCTAGGTAGCTACAATGGAAGCTGCCGCAAGCGCTATAGCTGTTATCCAGCTAGCAACTCATGTCTTGCATCTCACCGTTAACTTCTACCTTGAAGTGAAAGACGCCCGCAAGGAGATACAATGGCTTGAAGGAGAAGTCAGCGACCTCCAGGCCACACTTCGAAAGATAGTTGATCTGTTTGACGATGCCAGCGACCCTAAGGCAGTTGAGCGCCTGCCAGCCTTTGCGTTATTATTAGGGGAAGATGGAGCGTTGGCAAGATGCCAGGCAGAGCTGCTTGGAGTTGCTAGCAGGCTAGAAAAGTCTGGCGGCGGGAGCAGCGATGTTACAGGCCACAAAAGGAAGAATCCGATGAGACAGTTCGGTGTCCGGGCCTTGAAGTGGCCATTTACCAGCAAGGAAATCAAAAGCAGCGTTGAAGTACTCGAAAGATGCAAGTCTAGTTTCAACTTGGCCTTGACGGCTGACCAAACGAAGCTATCTCTCGATACAAATCGCCTGGTTGTGGAGCTGGGGAAAGATATATCTGCCAGCCGAAACGAACAGCAGAAGGGGGAGTATCGAGCTAAGATTATCCAGTGGCTTTCCACCGTGGAGCAAGGCATAAACTGGTCAAACCATGAAGACGCACGAAAGAAGCACTCACGGGGGACGGGTGAATGGGCAATAGAGCATCAAGCGTTCAAGGAATGGAAGAACACCAACCCTTCCATCCTCTGGATGCATGGGAAACCGGGAAGCGGCAAAACTGTCCTCAGTTCCTCCATCATCGAACATCTTCGAGAGGAGTACGACTCGCGACCTGATGTCCTCTTATCATATTTTTACTTTGACTTTGGAACACCCGCAAAGCAAAGCGCTACAAATTGCTTACGATACCTTCTCTCAAGGCTTGTTACCAAATCACTGGAGGTTCCCCACGAACTCAGAGACCTTTACGTGAAGAAGTGCAACTTTGGAAGCGAAACACCCGCGTTATTAGACCTAACCGCCATCTTCAAGTTATTTGCGGAATCTAAAGATGTCCAGAACATTTTCCTTGTGATTGATGCTCTAGATGAATGCCCGGCCCACAACAGGCAGGAACTGCTAGATTTTCTTCGGACGATATCTTCTTGGTCTCCTTCAAACTTACATGTATTCCTCACAAGCAGGCCAGAGAGTGACATCAAAGAGGCCCTCTCCCCTATCTCTATTGTTACGAGTGTATCTGTGGGTGGCTCATCTATAACGCGGGATATAACAAATCATATCCGATCCCAGCTCTCTTCCGAGCCGGCATTGAAGAAGCTTCCAATAAAACTAAAATCTGAGATAGAGAGCAAACTAATAGCTGATGCTGATGGCATGTGAGTTACCCCTTATGACTCATGGCCTTCAACTAGACAGGAGACTGCATCATTGAGTGCATAGGGACTGAAAGGTACTTGACTATAGGTTTCGATGGGTAGATTGTCAGCTCAACGAATTGAAACGATGCAGGACAAAGGCTCTATTAATAAAGACGCTAGAGACCCTTCCGAAGACCCTGGACGGCACCTATGAACGAATTCTACAAAGTATTCCTACTAATTATCAAGACTATGCTCGCCGCGCACTCTGGTGGTTAGTAGAAGCGCGGAGACCACTGAGCGTAGGAGAAGTCGCTGAAGCTGCTGTCCTGGACTCCGACGATGAAATCCCGTTTGACCCCGAAGCCCGATTTTTTAACCCACAGGAGGATATCCTTGAGATTTTAGGAAGCCTCGTATCGGTGGCTCAGAGAAAGCCTGATAATGACGATGGTGATGAGGAAGTTCGTAGCACACGGAGCGCAGCTTCAGCGAATGAAGGATGCGGCGAGCTTCGACTGTCACACTTTTCCGTTAAGGAGTATCTGATTTCAGCCCACCCATTGAGCTGTGAAAACCCTTTAGTCGGCAAGTTTTATGTTGACAAGGCTCTTGTTAGTAGCTTCATCCTTCGTAGCTGCCTGCAATATATCTTTCACTACACCGAGTCAGACAGTAGGGCCGCCACCAAAGATGATTTGGATGAATTTCCACTACTCCGTTATGCATGCGAATTTTGGTTTGCCTACTCTACAGCCGCAATCGATGATGAAGTTGCTGCGTTGTCTAAGAACCTTTTTACATCAGAATGTCAATTACAGGCATGGCTTCTTGTTTATACTCCGGGACAACCAAAGAAGGATCTCTTTCAGCCCCCTGATGAACCAGGTAAAGCACTTCATTACGCCTGTTATCTAGGCCTGACTAGGGTCGCCCAATACCTACTAGAGAGGGGTGCCACTGTTAATTGCACCACCGAGAGCGGTGTGACCCCCTTACACCAGGCAGCTGAGGTACATGTCTAAAATTCTCTTCTGCCACCATGTCAGTTCGCTAACTTAATATTACTAGAGAGGGCATATAGAAGTTGTCAACCTTCTTCTACGCTTCGATCAAAGTGTCAACTATTCGACAAGGGGAGGGCGGACCCCGCTACATGTGGCATGTAGCCGTGGGCATGCTGGAGTTGTGGAAATACTTCTTTGTGCAAAGGCGGATATAGAATCAAAAGATGCCGACCTTTGGACACCGCTATATTGGGCTGCCGAGGGTAGGCATGAGGACATTGTTCAGATCCTCCTTAAGCAAGGCGCGGACCCCAACGCAAGAACTATGAGCGGAGGAACCGCTCTCCACCAGGTATGTGGAAGGGGGTATACTACAATAGCCCAACGTCTGCTAGATTCTGGTGCGGAGGTGAATGTTGCAACGAGCTGGGGTCGGACTCCGCTACACCAAGCTGCTGCCGGTGGTTCATTGGAAGTGGTAAAGCTTCTGCTGGACCATGGAGCAGATCCGAATGCCGTGGACAGATCATATAGCTTCCCGGCTTTTCTTGCCGAGGAAAACTTTCATAACAACATAGTGGACTTGCTTCGTCCCCTTACGCGGTTGAAAGACCCACTGGACAGTTCTGAAGACGATAGGTAATGGAGTTTCTCTGTTTTCCCCCTTCTTTTACCTGCTGATATTTCCGTTTTTGGCCGGTTTATTAATCCCTGGCTTAGTATATAATACTAAATTTTGAATATTTTTTCAACAACTAATAGAAGGAGGCGCGGCACAAAAAGAGAAGGAAAGAAGGTACAAATAAAATGAAGGTAAATAAGAATGACTCTTGGGTGAACAAAGGGTTAAGCCACCTAGAATTGCCTTCTTTCGAACCAGATATACTCTTCCATCCTTGGTTCCAGCTGCAGGCCTACCCTGGTTGCCCTGTTGTTTTCGAGTACGAACTCTGCTTTTATTGGGAAATCAGTACTTCCGTATATCTCATTAACATACGCAATGTACTTTGTCTGGTCTTTTATGTGTTTGAATGTAAGGGTAAATCCTGTTGAGCGATCCATACAGTCGACAAAAATTCTACCATCCACATTCTCCATTGTAATGCCTCGATAACCGGAGTTCCAATAATCTCCTACGTAGGCGTTGAGAGAAAGCTTCTGGGCCTGAGGCTGAGATTCTGCCATGTCAGGGCAAAGTTCGCGTATAAGGTCCTTTTCTGAGACTATGTCATCGTCATAATCGTCGTCAAAGTCGGAGTCTGACTGCGATTCTGACTCAAAGAGAGAGTGGAGGCTAATGCCTATGCCAGACGTAATCCCATGTCGTTGTTTGCGTATTATCTGGTCTATCAGTTGATACTTTATCATGCTTATGGCAGAGTGCGCATGACTTGCATTACTGAAAATAAAACCTCCAAAATTGAGCTCTGGGAGAAAAAAGTCAACACAAAGAGACCCAGCCTCCCCTCCATCGTGCGAGACGATTTTATGGCCGGAGTAGTCTTGGACCTGCCACCCAAGGCAATAGAATGTTGGATTCTCTGAATCTGCATCATCCCATAGAACCTCCTGTACTCTGCTCTCGGTGAGCGCGTCATAGACATCCTCAGTTATTGGGCCCTCTCGATTTATCATAGCTTTGACCCATTTAGCATAGTCATTGGTAGTCGTGATGATCTGTCCGGCACCTTGGAATTCCGGGTGGTCGGCGTATGGAGCTTCTCTAAGCTTGTTGGTTCTTTTGTCCCGTATATAGCTAGTGGAAATGCCCTTGCCCGCTGCCTTAGCTTGTGCGCGCTCTGGTTGGAGGCTGGTTGAGTCCATTCCGAGTGGCTGGAATATGTGCTTCTCGAGAAAATCAGAGAAGCTCATTCCGGTTATATACTCGACGAGATAGGATGCCACAATGTACATCATATTAGAATAAACAAAATCGGTGCGGTTGGGTGCCACCGTTGATAAATTTCGCAAATTCCTCGTTACTGACCGTGGATCGTCAGGCTGTTTTGCATTGGGTCCAAGTACTGAAAAATCATGCCTGCCGGGAATGTTTAGCACCGAAGCGCTGAATTAGGATAGGAGGAGAAAGGGTTCCTTACCCTGGGATGCCGGTCTGATGGGTAAGTATGTCCTCAACAGTTACATCTTTATGGTTGTCGCCACACATAACAAAATCATCAGGCAGCAGGCTTGACATGGCGGAATCGAATTGAACTTGCGGGTAATTTTCGTTATCACGAACCAAGAGTGCAACTGCTGTTGCTGTGAGAGACTTCCCAGCGGAGCCAACGCCGACAAGCGTGTCAGGGGTAAGGTTTGCTGATGGATTAATGCATGACTTGCCGAAAGCTGCGGATGCGATAGTCCCATCCTGTACAAGCGCAATAGAGATGCCTGGAATTTGACGCGAGTCAATAAGCTTCTTGATATAATCCGAGAGTTGGGGAGAACGGAGGAGTTCTGTGTTTGCCTGTAATGCCATCTTTCGATTTGGTGTAGAGTGTTATCTTGGGAAGGCTGTTGCTTAGGGGAGGGAATTTCCAAAGGTGGGTAACCAGTTTCTTATATAGCTAGGTTATTACACCATGTCTATAAGGCTTGGGTGTTGACGGGTGAGTTACTTTCTCCCAATTCCATAGCGACTGCTCATGATCAAGTTGAAGGATGCATGCATTAGAAGCAGTACAACATTAGCGAAATGGGTCTGAAAGGTAACACATAGGTAACTATCCATACGACAGAATAGTCGTACATCGCATTCATCTAACAGGTGGTAAGTAAGCCCGAAGCAAGCGTAGCCAAACGCTGGTATTGTAACCCTTGCCATGCAATAGAAGAGAGGGCTACGTGGGTTTTTTTTTTTCCCTCAGTTCCTTTCAGAACTGATAATCCAGTTAAAGGAGGTACGATAAGCTTGTGTATTTCAGCCTTCAGCCCGAGTACGAAGTAGTGGCAGTAGAATCAGCTTTTCGTGATATGGAGAGCATGTGAGGCGACTGAACAGGAACTGCAGGGAGATGGTTCGTTGTGGAATTAGTTACTTTTATTGCGGTCGAGTGGCTGTCTAGATGGCATAGGTAACGCACCCGATACTTGCCTATGCTCTGACCAGAAGAATCGTCAATATAATAGTAGCTACCGGGAGGGCCAGCGTTGGGAGGACGACTTGTAATATCAAGGTAATATTACCAATTTTAAAGGGAACTGCCCTTGCGCAACCTGGGTGAAAATGAGGTTGCACAAATCTCAAAAGATGCAGGGAGCACAGGAAACAGCCAAGGGCAGAAGATATGTGACAAATATCCTGCACTCTGTGCTCATAGCTAGCTACATCTGTTGGAAGCCATGTAACGGGCCAATGGCACTTCCAGAACGCTGAAGTTACCCAGAGATGCACCATTACTATGGTAGTTAGTCAGCTCAACAAGTTCCCGTTGGGTTATTGCGGACCAATTGTAAAGGAATACGCCAAATGTTGATATTTTGAATCGATCCTCGCTTCTGCATGTTTTCAACATGCAGACTAGTCACCAGCACTGCGTAGAAGTGTTCGATTCTCGCTGGTGGTTGCCGCCACCCTACCCCGGCTGGCATACAAATCTCAATACTGTATGCCCCCTGAAAGAAGAAATTTAAAAGGTTTTCCAAACAAAGTTCGCCCACTCCTCTAACTCGGTGTTGTTAAATATGATGTCAGCCTGGTTCCCGACTGCGGTTCGAAGAAAAAGGTCGGTGAAGGGAATGATCAAAGGGCCGCCGGTTATACGAACAGGGCTTTTCTGCCCACGTTTCTCGACGGTGATGGTTTGGAGGACCGCCGCCCCTGTGATTCCCGAGCGGCCATATCTTCGAACCGTGAGCTTGGTTCGAGACACCTGGACGGTAAGGACCACCTTCACATCGCCAGCGGATTTCTGAATCCACTGTTTCGCAACCCTGTCAAGGTCACTATGCCTTTGCGATTTTCCTGTTTTCACAACGAGGGTTGGCCATTTGGGTGTCCTCCCTGCGGGGAGATTAAGCGGTTGGACGGCGTAGTCTGGCTCCTTGTGCTCAATAGCTGCAGAGCCAATGCTCATGAGATATGCATGAAACCTCATGCCCATTGATGAGATTTCGGTGCTTATTTCATCCTGAAGCCATCCTGTGGCTACTTCATGGGGCTTTGTTACCATTTCTGCAATTAAAATTTTAGACATCGGAAAATATTCTCTTTTCTTGATTCCCTGTCTGCCGTCGAGGAGGATAAGACTCTCTGCAACATCATGAAATACGCAGTACCCGCCACTCCCATCATTGACAGAGCAGGCTGCGGCTTCCATCTGAGACGCGCTTTCATATTTAAAGACGGGTGTGCCCTTCGGCCTCACTGTCCCTGCGGCAGCACTTTTCTGATCGGGGTCGCAGCTGCTGCAGGAAAGGGTCCACGCTTTGGGGATGCAGATGCATTTTTGTCAGAATCTGCCATTCGGCCAAAAATGCGAGCCCGCACCAATTGGTGGCAGGGAGACTGGTTATATTTGACAAACACTCCCAGCTTGGTGAGATACGAGGCAAGCTGAACTAGATGTACGCAGAAAGATGATTGGTGGTGTTCGAACGTAGAGCCTCGGGTGTTTGGCTTGGCGTAGATGATGCAACGACCGGGCTCATATCCGTCAAATATGAGCAGGAGCAGCGAATAATGGTTGGTTGAATGAGTTTGAGTATATATAGGTGTAAATGTGCGTATATTGAAGAGCTCAGGTGCAGGATGTAAGTCTCTGCCAGATATGCCAGAGGCAGTGCACGTGATCTAACTACGGTGCTGACTAAGTACAACATTTGACAGTTTTCTTCTTTTTCTCTTTTCTCTTTTGAATCTCTCTCTCTCTCTCTCTTTTACGAGCACCCGAAACAGTTCTTTCGAATGATCGTGGGCTACGCGATGATGACCAACAATGAGTTAGGGCTGGATACCTTCATGATGCGGAGTGACGGCAGGAATAACACAATCACTGTGGAGCGTTTTTGAAGTTTTAAAGGAAAAATAAAGGCTCTAGCTATTTCTACCTTCTCTTTGTTACTATTTCTACTCTTTTGTGACTCGACCAAAAGATCATACACAGTGATGACGTTCGTCATCTCTGGTCGCTGCACTACTTATATGCTTTAGGTGCCACGTGATGTGGGCGTACATGCTGCGTGGCATGACATTAGTTCTATCATCAACTACGTCATACCCTTCTATACTCTATCAGTTGCTATATTCTTAAGTATTGCATATAGCCTAACGACCTCATAATTTTAAACTACTGCAAGGCTTGGTAGCAATAGGGGCAAATATAGATGGAGTCAGCAAGCCAGAGAAGAACGACGTCGTCCTTTGCGCGGCTGAGGGAGGCGACACTATCCCCAACCGGGTAGTACGCAGCGCCGCTAAGATCTGCAACCGCCAAAGGAAGCGCCAAGCCGCGCTCTCCGCTACCCGCAAGCGGGCTTGGCAAGACTCCACCGTTGATCGCCAACCTCACTCCGCCCCCATTATACGCATGGAGATATCGCTCGCGACGTCGTTGAAGGAAGGCTGGAGATAGCCTCTCCGCCATGCCATTTGTCATTTTCGGCATGATGTGCCGCTGTGTGTACTTCTCTTCCGCGCCATGGATATGTCCGATGTTGGTTAGCTGGCCAGAATCCTTCAAGGCAATATCCAGCCTAGCCTACACCGGGGCTTAGCACAGCTTGGGAGCTCCGATTATACAGATATCACTCTCGTTATCTATTGCGGCCATTTTCGTTTTGACTTCAGGAGCTAGATATTTAAACCCGAAGAATACCCCTCCCGATCTGTGTTCTCTTCATCATCATTCAAACACACTGAGTTCAAATTTGTATCACTACAATTGCCAAATCTGCCTCCGTAATAGCCAGAATAATCACAACCATGTTTGGGCTCTGCACCCTCCTTTGCCTTTCTCTATTTACTGGAGGCCTGGCCTCACCTGTGGTGACCGCGAAACAGACACGATCTGAGGGGAAAATTTCATGGGGTCCCTGTGAGATTGACGGAACTCGACCTATTCGGTGCGGTAACCTGAGTGTTCCGCTGGATTATACTGATCGGGAGTCAAAAGCAGCTCTGAAGCTCCAGCTCCTCAAGGTCCCCGCCGCCAATAGCCCCAGGAAGGGTACCATCTTGTTCAACTTTGGCGGGCCCGGGCTCGGGGCCAGGGCCTCGTTAGCGGGATATGCTAAAATTCTTCAAACGTACGCCTGACCCCTTTAATATGGGAAAAGAGGAATACTTTACCTGCTAACTATATCGCAGTTTAACAGGCGGACATTACGACCTTATCGCCCATGATCCACGGTATGTACACTGCCGTTGCTAGCTGCGTTAAGGCGACTTTTCCGAGCATGGCTAATACTTGAGGTATAATTAGGGGAACCGAGAATACTCTCACCTTCTCTTGTTTTAAAGATGATAACGAGAGGTTAGCTGTCATATCCAAAGGTCGATACGAAGAATTATTGTCACCAAATGACAGAGCGCCTTTGGGTAGGCTTTGGTCAACCACTTCTATTTTCGCGGATATCTGTGGTCGCTATCCGGAAGCAAAGGAAAGAGGGAAACTTATTAGCACTTCCTTTACCGCAAGAGATCTGATGGAAATCGTTGACGCAGTCGAGGACGACGGCCTACTGCGATACTGGGGTAGGTGCTCTATTATCTACTCCATATTATCCAAGCAACAGATATAACTTATACAATTTTTAGGCCTGTCGTACGGTACGGTTCTGGGCGCCACTGTTGCGGCGATGTTTCCAGATAGGATTGATCGGATCGTCATGGATGGCGTTGTCAACTTCCACGACTATTATAACGCATAGTACGTCTAAGCCCCTAGAGTAACGTTGCTTCTATCCTCTGCAAGTAACCCTAATCATTGCTTGTTTTAGTGACGTCGAATTATGGGCGGACACTGACAAAGTCTTCTCTGCCTTCCTTGAACAGTGTGTCGAGTCTCCCAATGAGTGTGCTTTAGCTCATCCAGACCTAACTGCTCAAGACTTGGAAGCGTCGATGTATAAGTTACTCGATGATATCAAGTTCCGGCCTCTTGTATTCAACAACACATTGATCGACCACAGCGTTGTCAAAAACTTGATTCGGCCAAGCTTGTACAGTCCATCGTCATGGCCTCTTCTTTCACTGGCCTTGGATTCCCTACGTAGCGGAAACTTGGAGGGCTTTTCTAACCTTACAACGCCACTCTTACCTCCTTGGGCGGGGGGTATTCTAACAGAGTCTCCGTTCGGAATTCCATGCTCAGAGAAAGAGACAGGGGTGGACAGCTTCGATAAAATCCTGCCGACTGTCAAGGCACTAGATAAGGAGAGCAAACTCTTGGGCCAAGTTGGCATACCTTTGGCCATGGTTTGCACCCAGTGGACAACTAAAGCGAAAGAACGTTATACCGGTGACTTTAAGGTCAAGACTAAATTTCCCATGCTAGTTATTGGGAACACATACGACCCTGCGACGTCTTTTCCATCTGCCCGCAATGCCAGCTCGACATTTCAAAGCAGTATGCTACTAGAACATGGTGGTTATGGCGTAAGTTATTTCCCAGCATACCCACACATTGTTTCCGACTATTCTCTTATACTAGGGGTTACGTTTCTTCTAACTCTCATAGCATACTACCTTGAACCATGCTTCTGTATGCACGGGAAAGGCCATTAAGGACTACTTCATGAGAGGTATTCTACCCCTTCCGGAAACCGTTTGTGAACCAGCATACCCGCCATTTGCAAACAAAACATGGAACGACGTGCTAGATCAAATTTAGTTTTGGCAATTGAATAATCTTATATAATTGTATTAAATACTTATATGATGGATTAATTAAAGAGAATGATCGCGGTTACCTTCACATTTAGCTAATGAAAGTATACTTGGTAGATAGATAACATAGCTATAGATTCCCCCACAACTCTAGAATCTGTGACGAGATTGCAATAAATATCTTCGGCCTCTACCGGCGGAAGTCGAAGTTTGCATCGACCAGTCTTTCTAGTCGAAAGCACGAACGGGATATAAGCTACTGGTACCTACAAAAGCTGCACGAATTTTTTTCGGTATTGGAAGATCACGTGGATATGAGGGAAACCTCCATTCTCAACTTCCAACTTTTCCCTTCCGAACAGCAAAAGAACAGAATTGCTAAGAAGCAGCAGAAGACCAGGGAGGAGTCATCGGAAAAACAACAGCTCAGTTGGTAACCTGGGCTGTATCTGCTGATTTGTATGCCATATACCTCTTATCGGCCCACTTCATGTGCGTAACAGACACCTTTTCCCTATTCTCCCCTTCAACTAACCAAAAGAGATCTCAGACAGCAGCACCCTGTAGGCATGGTTGATACCCGTCCTAATACTAAGCCGCGGCCGCGGAGGAAGGTGACATGGTGGCTGCGGATGAAGTATCGATTACTCCGCCTAACATCGCCTCTAAGGCTTCGCGGGAGCATCACTCGCCTTAGCCATCACAACAAGCGGCCGTTTTTCGCTCTCCTTCGACTTTGTCTGCCCTCCTCCTGGCTGACTTGGTCGTTTCCTGTCCCCGAACCACTCTCTCCAAACACTCTCATCGCTGAGCCGTCGCTTTGCTGGAGAAGACGTGTTGAAGGAGACCTGAAGAACCTACAAGCTGTCCCGATCTGGCGTTCGCGCGACACCCCTCTTCGCTCTCTCTACCGTCTCTACGAGGCCGTGATGGCTGGAGAAGAATTCTGTGATGTTGTTGGGTACGAGACTGAGTACTTTTGGTACCAAGACAGACACTCGTGGGAGCCTCATCGGATACCGGATCCAGCTGATCCAGACCCCCTTCGCTATGCGATTCTAGCATGTATAGCTGAAGCGTTGGTGCTGGCACTAAATTGGCGGCTGAGCCTTGGTATGCGTAGGAATGGAAACCACATTCATCGCCAGCATGGAAGCGACCCATACCCGCCCTATAATCCTCTGCCCATGCCATCCTGGGTGAGGAACGTACCGGCTGTGAGTACTAGCTACCTCCGTTCAACCGTGCCAGGCAGCAAGCTCGACTCTGAAGGCCGGCTAGTACTTATAGATGAAGGGAATAGCGAGATATTTCGAAAACGAAATATCATTGCGTCAGAGTTCAGGTTCTACACTATCTAATGACGATTTTACATACCTCTCGTAGATAACTATTTATCAAACATTATTCCCCATTTACTTTATCACCAAGCAACCTTCCTCGCTGTATTATATATAACTAACTAGGCACTCCGAGCCTCCCGTCCCATCCCGATGGACAGCCGCAAATCACGTGCTATCTGTAGTGAAAAATGGCAGGGGGAGAGGAGGGGAGAACTAGGCAGCAAGCAAGCAGATCGGTCGTTTCTAATGTTGGTATGAATATAGTAGAGAGAGACGGTAGTAAACCACCGTCTTTTCTATAAAAATCGGCCTTGGATTCCTATCTACCTTTCAATCTAGCGAAAATACCACCTCCTGAAGCCATGGATCGAAGGACGCTCACGATAGAGGAGATGCAGAAAGGTATGTGGATTTTTCATGCTCTGACTGCATCGCAAGTTCTGATTTGAATATCAGGGCTTGCTGAACTGGATAGTGCCATGGGGGAGAATGAGATGATATACGCCTTCTCTCCAATCACCGTGATCTCACCCGGCGGCTTTCTGGCCGTCTCGTACTTGAAAAGCCGCGAAACGACAGAGGACATCGATATCATAATTGACCCCCAATGGACTGGGGACAAGGACATCATCCCTGCACTGCGGAGCCTATTCATAGCGGTGGGTGATAAGCTGGAGCTGGGCGAAAAGTGGATGAACGACGACGTCTCCCTGTTTCTCACCCAGAGTGCCCGCCAACAGCTCTTCGACGCTGCCGGAGAACAGAACATAGTCCTCTATGATGGACCAAATCTCAAAGTGCTCGGAGCCCCGTTAGAGTGGGGGCTCGAATCAAAGTTGAGGCGAATAGACAGCAAACCCCATCATCCAAAGGTTGCAACAGATATACAAGATATCCTCGTCATCTTGAAACTATTAACAGACCGCAATAAAGGGCCGTTAGATCGGCGGCGGGTACGAGAGAGTAACTTGAATGGCTTTGATATACTGCCGAGCGAACAGACGCTTAACCGTGTAGCTGATGCATACCGAGAAAAGTATGGGGAGGAGGCCTTTTGTTAGTCGATGAGGCAACTTGCTTGTGGTGCTTTGGAGGAGACCGTGGAAACTTGAAAGTTCATATTATTACGAAAGGAATTTTATCCATGACTTCTGGTATCGACGGTAATTATAGTAATTAGATGATAGGTTTGACAATGGGCCTATCAATTGCTTAATTATAACTGCTCTAGCACTTCCACGTTATCTGGAGCAGTCACCTCTCATTCGGGCTTCTCATCTTCGCTTGCGAGTTTCTCATCTTCGCTTGCGAGCTTCTCATCTTCGCTTGCGAGCTTCTCATCTTCGCTTGCGAGCTTCTGATAGAGCTCGTAGAAAGCTGAGGCGGGTGTTGAGAGAAGTTCCTTTGGATTGCCCATCTCGATAACTGCCCCTTTGTCCAACAACACAACACGGTCAAAGTCAAGTACTGTGTTAAGCTTGTGAGCTATGGCAACAACAGTCGTATCCTTAAACTTCTCACGAAGCACGCTTCCCATTAATTCATCAGTTTCTGCATCCACGCTACTGGTAGCCTCATCCATGATGAGAATCTTCCCCTGCTTGACCACTGCGCGAGCAAGGCAGAACAGCTGCCGCTGGCCGTGGGATAACTTATCCTCAGCAAGTTCCTCATCCAGTCCGCCACGAGAGTCCAAAAATTCCCATAGCCCCACAGCCCGTAGGGCGTTTATAATGTTTTCATCAGTTGCCATTTTTAGAGGATCGATATTTTCGCGGACGCTGCCATAGAGAAAGAATGGCTCCTGCGGAAGTGTGTTCAGCCGCCGCCGGACCTCCTGTCGAGGAATTGTACTGATGTCAATATCATCAACTAAAATCGTACCAGAATCCATATCTAACATGCGAAGCAGGCACGATACAAGAGATGACTTTCCACTATAGTCTTATGAGCACAACCTCAATGGAAAACAAAATCGTGCGCGGAGGAACTTACCTGCCTGTTCGACCACAAATCGCAACTTCTCACCTGCATTGATGAAGAAAATCAATATCCCTTAAAACTGGCTCGAGAGGGGATTCGTAGGATGCTGAAATATTTTTGAAAGCGATTGCCCCGGATTGCGGCCAATCATCAGTCACACTACCATTTTCCCTGGGAAGATTTTCATCCTTGACGTCCTGGGAGTAAGACCGTATTCTGTTTATCGCTCCAAGAGCTGTTTCCAACTGGGTCCAGGATGTAACAAGTGTCTGAAGTGTTGAGCTAAAAGTTACAATGTTGAACAGTGCCACACCAAGGAACGGCGTAGACGCGCTGCGAACGTTGGTTGCAATTGCAACTAGAGTGACGGCAAGCCCTGCATTGAGAAGATCTAGGACGAGGATGAGCCATCTTTGAATACACCAGAGTAGGTAGTATGGTTTTTGTGATATGTTCAAGGCCTTGTAGTGGCGCTCCGTGTAGCTCTGTGTCCATCCATAGGCTCGAATACACGCTACACCACCAACAGTTTCTAAAAACTGTGAGAAAAGTGGCGCTTTCGCTTCAATATCTAAAAGTCGTAGTTGCCTGGATGTTCGGAGATAATAAAATTGAACAACTAGAAGTGCAAGGATGCACAGTGGGATAGCCGCTGCTATGTATCCTGCCCCTATGAAGACAAGAACACCGGAAACAATGGCAGATAAAAACTGGAAAATAAACTGGTCGATGGATTGGGGTAGATCATTATCGATTAGTTCTAGGTCTTGACTAAACCTGTTCACTGTGGTTCCAGCATCGGTAGAGGTAAGAAAGGATGTTGTCGCTCTATGTACGCTATTAGTGAACTCAGCCTCTTGAAGAGGGCGGGAGAGTATACTTCATAGTTGTAGTTAGAAGTACTTCATGGAACCTTCGAGAGGTTTTAGGAAGCACCACTAGATTGAACATGCTTTTCGGATGTCAGTAAACCTCCTAGCAAGAGTCTTAGGAAATTCAGCCATTGCTACTTACGCGTCAGAGAAAGTGGCACTTAGGATTGCGACAAACGCAAGAGCGCCATAAACGCCAAGCCAGTATCCAACACGCTCGTTCGGACGAATTGCATTCGCGTTTGTCCACCATTGTAGCCAGAGAGCTGAGGAAGTCAGCAGGAGTGGGAAGTTATCACGGTCTCTTAAGTGACTTACATGGAAAAGTAACACCAAATACGAAAACACAGCACGCCAGGATGTAGAGTGAAATAGTCCACCATCCTGCATTCTTTGCATAGTAAGCATATACCTTCATGTCCCCAGTCATACGGCTAGTTTCCAGCTTTGGATCTTCGAGTATTTCAAGTTCATGCAAAACGTCCTCTGAGAGCTCCTGCTCCCGTTGGGATGTTGTTGTTCGGGGTTGACTTGCAAGTCCTTTAATATCCTCATCAGCAAACAGGCTTTCCAAGCTACCTTGCCGAGATATTTCGCCCTTGTCATTTAAGAAAATAACATTATCCGCAAAACTCAAGTGGTTTACTTGTTCAAAGTCAGCAAAACATTGCGAAGAACGTTGGGTGACTAGACTTGCCAGAGTTTGTAGATAGAACAACTGTAGACTTCAATTTCCTTAGCAAGCCATCAGAGCTGAAAACCTCATCAAGAATGTGTCGTTCGGTAGCTCGATCTAGCCCAGTCAAGACATCATCAAGTATCATAGTAGGGTTTCTGGAATAAAGTGCACGGGCGAATGACTAAAGGCCATTATTAGTCCAGAAAAAGTACTTTCGGCGAAGCTTAATACCTACCACACGCATTTTCTGGCCACCACTGAGCCTAGATCCCTGGGTACCAGTGTGGGTTTGATCCCCGTTTGCTAATTCCTCGAGGTCCGCAGAGAGAGCACAGGCAGAAATAATAGTGTCGTACCATTTTTTATCCCACTCCGCCATACCGACAATGTTGCTTTGGACAGTCCCCCAGGTAGACCACGGCGATTGAGGACAGTATGAAACTTTAGCAAAGGATGTCCTTACGGAGCCAGAAATAACTGGTATTTCCCCGAGCAGGAGTTTTAGAAGGGTAGACTTTCCAGACCCGACAGGGCCAAAAATCATAGTAATCTCACCATGGGGAATATGGAAGTTTAGCCCCTTTAGAATTGGATCCCTTTCAGCCACGTAGCCTGCCGATGCGTTCTCTACTGTGGCTGCAAATACTGCAGTTTCTGACTCCGATCTTTGAATCTCCTCGAGAACAATATTGTCTTTGAGGGTATGGCTACAGGCCGTGATGGGAGTAGAAAGGTCGGAGGCGGAGGAGTCACTTGTATCCACCAGTGGTGACCTATAGTCCTCCCTTTCTCTTGCCATTAAGTATTCTTGTATACGGCCAAATGAGTTGAGAACTGTTTTAATATCTTCGAAGCCATTAATAATTGTTGTCACGGGATGATTGAGAAGTTCGAAAAGGCTTAGCGAGGCAAATGCGACTCCATCAGTTAAAGTGCCCGTATTATTTGACTTTGCAAGAAGTATGAATACTCCAAACCCCCATACCGGAGCGAACTCAGAAGATATAAAAGCTGGAATTTATTTGTCAGTAACGGAGCATAGTATTCGACCTAAAATAATAATGAAAAATAATAATAAAAAAGGAATATATATATAAATTTTCTTACCTGCAACGAACACAAGTATACTGAAGACACGATGACGGAGAGAAGCACGAATCTCATCTAACCGTAGATTTGTAATATGGGATGACACTATTTCTGCCAACCCAGTCATTTTTATTGCTTTCATTGAGCCCAACGATTTTGCAGTTGCGGCAAGGCGGACTTCTATTGCCTCCAGCCACGGGATTTGCGCATCAGCAGCAGCCTTTGCAAGAGGAACTCCCAGTATCAGGCAGACTATGCAGGGGTTAGACTGTATCCAGCAAGATGAAAGAGGATATGGGCATATTATACCTATTATCCACCCAACTGGAGCAACAACAGCAATCCCAAGGAGCCTGTGCAGCTGCCAGAGAGCAATGGCAATCTCAATAAAACCAGCATAAATTTCATGGACAAGGGTCATACTGTAACCAATGCGGTCAATGTCTGCACTCATCAAAGTGATTGCCTCCGCATTGTCATCACTTGTAGAATCGATACGCAGGGTTTTTTCAAATATGAACGTAACCAAACTGCCACGGTACAAAGTGATCAAACGATACGTCTTATGTTCATAAACTGCGTATGATAGCTGGATCAAACGTGAGACATGGCGTGATAGAAACACAGAGCGGTAAAACAACAACTTACCGAAAGCCCAATATAGGCAATAGCGTAGGCCCCGACTAAAGAGTAGGCGATATTGTTGGTCTGAGCGTGGGGGGCCTCAGCAGTGAAATCCAGGACCTGTTGGACAAGGAACGGTTGAGAGTAGCTAAAGCCCGTATAGGCCAATCGCGGTAAAACACCGGCCAAAATGTTCCATTTGTAGTGGATGAAGAACGCCCAGAATAGGGCATATCTCCGTGTTTTGTCAGCTACAAGAGAGATGTTAGCTTATAGGTATCGTTTACTGGAGGCTAGACCCTACTTTTTTCCCATCTTTTCAAGAGCGCCGACGGCTCTGACGCGGCTAACAGTTCATCATCAAGGGGAGTGAGCACGTTAACCGTCAATAACGCACGGCATCCTTTGATAAACAGGCCGTTTAGCCATAGGAAGAGAGATCTATTGATGACACCGCTGGTTGCTTCGGGAGATGCATCCTTCCACTTGGGTTTTAGGAGGTGACGCTTCTCGATAACCTCCAGGACGAAGCACAGGATCTTAATAATGAAGCCTACCAGGAATATAACGGCGATAGTCCGGCTGCCTTGGATGAAGAAGAGGGTGCGAGTCCTCGCCAGATCCAAGAGGGTCGACACGCCGAGGTAGATGTTCAGCAGCGTTGATGGGCGCACAGAGCGTACATGTTCAAGGTACGACACCGCTGCCAGTATACAGTACCCTACAACCGTCAGGGCAGCGCAGGCCAGCGTAAGTCTCGTCTTTGGCGCTTGGTGCAGCGCATAAAGTATGAGAATCGCAGTTTGAAGAGCGACGAAGACGGCGTAGGTGGCCTTCACGTGACATGTCAATGTTGATGCCTTTTTTTTTTTTGGTTGATACGAACTGATGAAAAAGTAAAGGAGAGTAACTCCTATGTCTATGTGATGAACATACCAATTTCAATGCGGCAAGCCATGATGGCTGGGCTTTGGCAGGCTCACGATGAAGGGCACGGAACCGGAAAAACGCCCACGCAACTAGTTCGTTGAATGGCTGTCAACATCACTTCAGGTAATCAAAGGAGGAAGAAGAAGAAGAAAAAGAAGCGCACACCTGCAATTCCCAGTGGAACGAGGGTTAGGATACTCTCCTCGAAGAGAAGGGTAAAGTCGAAACCTCCAAGGCACGAGCTAGCCACTACTGGCCCAAAGACATCCTCAACAGTAATTGAACATGCCATGGCAAAAAGGCGGCAGAGGACAAGCAGACACAGCTACTGATCCAAATCCACAGTAATAATCAGAAGAAGATAAGACCTAAGAGACTCGAAAAGAGGAAGACAAGAAAGGCGGCCATTGCAGATATTTGACCTGCTGTCCAAGAAAAGTTGTACAAACCGATGGAGGGGGGAAGCAGATGTCGACCTCTGCTCCATCGTCCTTAGCCACTCCAGAGCAATATCGAAAGGTTCTCACGCCAATGTTACAGAGTCCGATATGCTGGCCAATTCAGGGATACGGTATAAGCGGTTGACCCGGATATAGCCAGCTACAGGAGGAGGTACGGAGTGACGCCTTCTCTTTGGCTCCGGTCCAGGCATGTCCAACTATCCGTTTCAGGAGCTAATTAACCGGCTGTTGGAATGACCTTTTTGCTTTACAGCCGTACGGAGTATAAAATAAAATAATCACAAGGATGGGTGACGGCTTTCTTTCTTTCTTTCCTTTTTCTTGTTTCTCTCTCTTCCTATAAAATGTGGAGTATATGCACGGCTGGGGTTAAGAGATCCTCCCCTTGGCGATAATTCGAGTTTCCCAGGGTCAATCACATTGACGGCACCCGCGCGCGGCCAAGACGCGGCAATGCGTTGAGCTGGATCACCGCACCCTGGTTGGCGGAGTACGGGTAGGGCCATCGTCCCTCCAAGGCCCCTCACCCGATGCCCCAAGCCCCAAGCCCTGAAGAATTGGCAGCTGGGGTATAGGCGCGCCTTCTCGGAAGAGCCATGGTCTGGGCAAAAGGCAATGATTCTCATTAGTTATTCTCCTCAGCCCCGAATCGAATCTGGACTCTTGCACAACTGGCCGCTTCTCGGCTGGATTGGGCGGACGAAACGAGGGCAACACAAGCTCGCTAATGGCCAGGGTGTTGTAAGCGAAAGCCTGCTGGCCATCAGAGAAGTATACCATTTGTCCATCCACCTGGCACGGCATCATGCAAACCATCTTGCCCCACTAATGGAGTGTAACTGTGCATATAGTTGGTAAGTATATAACTACATTCGGTACATAAACACAGCGACCATGCCGCTCTTCATCTCAGCCAGGGGGGGAACAGGGAGGCGAGTGTTTGGGGGTATGTGATGCAGCTGCTAACCAAATGGGGCTCTAGATATACATCATATACATGGTGAGGCAACCCAAGTACTGGGTAATGATAATCTAAAACCAAGGGAGGTATATTCTCGCTACCAGGAGTACATATAAGATTTAGATGTTGCATCGCCCACCTAACGAAGGCGGACAGCGCTGGTTAGTTGATATATCTCTATTTGCCAATTTTATTTTTATTTAGTTAAATTATTAATCTAACTGCCTGTAATGGCCTTCTTCGCTTGTTCAATTATCGTGAACTAGCGAGGGATAAAGTCCTGCCTGACGCCCAAAAGCCTAAAAGGGAGAGAGACAGACCCGCATGCAAGATTCAAGCTGAACTGATTATGTGCACTATATACGATCCCAGTCCCGGTGCCACGGTTGCTGCTTGGTCATGATCTTCGTCGTCTTCCCCCCCCCCCTGCTGGAGAACCAGGGTGTGCGGGGAAGACCCCCCTGGTTTCGTTTCGTTTCGTTTCGTTTCTTTTTTTGCTTCTGCTTCTCAGTCCCTGGCGGCCGAAAATAGCGTCATTCCTAACTTTGGCTATATAGCTTGACTTTTTTAGTGTTTCTATACCATGCACCGGCCACCCACACCTCAGCAGATAGAGGTGGGAGATCAATTGGTCAAGTTCAAAGGGGGGGATGCTGATAGGCTGGGTAGGTGCATTGCTATGTTGAACGTGTTAGATAGGTATTAGCCTATCAGTTGGAGAATCCTTGTTTTCGTGCGGAGTGTGATCCAGATGGTTTCTCGAAGCTGGTTGGGAGCAAGCCGCAGGTCCGGAGACCAGCAAATAGCATAGCGGCACAATAGGTGCCTGTTCTCCGTAGGCCCCCCTGGAACCTGGAGCTCGAGCTGCATCACATCGACATGGCATATCCGCCCCGATTGCAACAGGCGAGCTCGTTTGCCTCTTGCCAGACCTGTCTGGCCTGCATCTGCCATCTGCGGCTGGAGGTAGCAGCTGCGTTATTCACTTTCTGTAGGATTCATGATGAGGGTCTGTGGGTTATTTGTCTTCATGGCATCACTGATGGAGGAGTGTGACGGGAGGCTATGCTCTGGCGAGAACCTCCATCCAGTCTGAAAAGAATGAGGAATGTTGCCTTCACCTGGAGACGGCTGCTGATGCCACATGTCGTACGGGCTTATTTGCGTGCTGGTAAACTGTATCTCACATGGCCTCAGCCGCCTCATGTTGCTGCTACAATATCTGCATGCATGGAGCATAGGAGGTACAGTTGTCATCTTATTCCGTTAATCGATATCCGTCATTGTTGCTGATCTAGAACATGACCCAGCAAAGAGGATCAGGTAGCACGGCCAACACAGCCTCTCTATTATTATTTTTATACCTCTCTTTTTTTTTTCCATTCTTGCCTTGTTCATGTCTTGCCTCGAAATCCTTTTCTCCCCGTGGCTTGCATTAATGTGGTGTCCAAATGGCATGATCTTGTTGGATACAAAGTACACTACCCCGGCTGATGAAACCCCCGAGGCTTGCCTAGGTAGCAGTGAATGTCCCGCTCCGATATATATTTAGGATGCAGCAGCTGATGATTAGTTGACGGGATCTGCAAGGCATGGCAGCCATGGCGTCAACGCTATGTCAAAAGTTTTTTGGGGGCGGAAGCACCGATCTCCCGGAGTGATACTGTTCCTCACTACACGGTCGACCTTCAATATAATTCCTGCTCTGCGGCACATGATAACGGAGAGGCAGATACGATTAGCCGTATATTGCCGTCTTTCAGAATTTAATGAGGTTAGCTTATTCCATTATTATACCCAATATTTATTTCTAGTTTTCCCAATCTAGGTATAGATAGGGATCAGGGGGGGGTGGTGGTGGATTGGAATGAAGGGAACACGATACTTAGCTGTGCTAAATATAAGGAGACAATCTCTTTCCAAAGTGCTGCATGGAAATATCCCAGTAAACACTAAGTAAAAGACAAAATCGAATAATGAAGAAAAAACCCAAAAAGATCACCGGTTTGCTCAACTAACCGAGACTTGGAAGATGGTGGTGCTGTAATTAAACTAGGTGGCGTCAGATATGTCCCCTCGTGAGGAGTTACACTTACAGTTGCTGTCTATCGAATGGTATGCCAGGGTCGGTAGCTTGATTCCTGGACTTGGACATGAGTGTCTTGCATGGAAAAACCGTGTCACCATAGTATACGGTGGATGGATTTATGAACATAAAAGAGACGTCCTTCATACCTCCCACTTCCCACATAACCACAAATACAAACTTCCTTCATACCTCTTTGATCAGCACCTTTCCCATTTATCAACATTTACTTAGCCAACCCCAGGTACATCAGCATGAGATATCAACTTCATCAAGGCGGCGGTTCACGGGGAGGAAACGCTGCTATCAACACTCATGATGCTGAATGGGTAAAAAAGCTTGCCTTCGACAGCACCTGGACTTGGAGCCCAGTTGTACCAGAGCCTGTCGAGGCTTGCATCCACAGCTTAGTCAAACGTGTTGCCTGTGAGAAGCCAGACGCTCCCGCGATATGCTCATGGGACGGTGATCTGACCTATCTCCAACTGGACCAACTATCGAGCAGGCTTGCATATCAACTGGTAGATGCTGGGGTAACTCCTGGGTCCAAGGTGCTTCTTTGCTTTGAGAAGACATGTCTCGCGCCTGTATCCATGCTGGCCATGATGAAGGCAGGGGGTGTCTCCATAGCTCTTGACATAGAACAGGACCATCAACATTTACGTGCAATAGCAGACCAAATATCAGCACCAATAATTATCTCATCATCCGAAAACGAACGGCTGGCACGGAAGCTTGGAAAGAGCAAAGTCATAATTGTAGATCATGAGTTACTCTCGAGCCTTAGGAATGCATCGAAGCCGTCCCACGATCTACCGGCTGTCAGCCCTTCAGACACTCTTTGTGAAGTTTACGGTGTGGATAGCACAATCGGGCTGCCGGAACAAGGCATCAAATTTACGCATCGAAGCCTCAGCAGTGCAGCCACATATCAGCAAGCAGCTCTTGGAATCACTCCTAGCTCCAGGATATGTGATCTCGAGTCATATTCCTCCAACGCGGCCTGGCACAACTTGCTTGTCTTGACTTGCGGCGGCAGTCTATGCATACCTCCAACGCCAGGGTACCAAGGCAATAGGAGTGACCTCATCTCTGCGTTACAATCCAACAACGCGCTTCTCAGCCATAGGTCGGCCGCAGTACTGGACAACTCCGAGCTGTTTCGTTTGGTGCAACTCAAATATATGGCAGCTTCAGTTGACCCATTGGGTTTTAAACCGTTGGGACATTACATAACCACATCAAATGAACCAAGGATTTTAGAAGATACTTCACCTGCTTCTGACGACTCGTGTGTTATGCCAATGTCAGAAACAGAAAAGAACGGAACCGGAAGCTTGGTAGGAAAACTCGACACTGGAGAAACAGTAATAGGTGAACTGCAAATCATCGATGAGGGCTGGCAAGTGTCCAGCAGGGATCTCATTGATGACCACACAATGAATGCGCGAGACGGGCCATTTGTCCTTGACTTGAACAAACAGCCCACAGTCCGCTGTGAGGAAATAGGGCTCAGTGACTCGTCCACATCCCCTGTCAGCTCTAACGGATCTGTAGCTACATACGAAGATGTCATGAGCCGGACAGAACCAACAGATCATGAGCCCAGCGGACATACTATCCTGCCATTTTCCTTATTGGATTCGTCAATCAGCAAAGGAGAGATAAGAGCATACGCTGCCAGACTATGTAGCGTCAAGGAGTCGCAAGTTCTCGATATTATGCCTTGCACGCCGTTACAAGAGGGTTTGCTAGCCTTGACAACAAAGAGGTCAGGGGATTATGTTGCCAAAAACATTTTCGAAATTGCGAACGGCATTGATACGGAGAGGCTTCGCCGTGCTTGGGACCAAGTCGTCTCGATGAACTCAATATTACGAACACGCATTGCGAGTTTCCCTCACCATGGAATCATGCAAGTGGTGCTTGATGACGGCGTACCATGGGCATTTGGTGCTGCTCTTGAAGATAGTGAGCACATTGGTTCTAGCAATGAGAATAATGAGATGGGGTTGGGTACTCCGCTTGTCAAGTTCGCTATATTCGAGACTGGTGCCGGCAACCCTCGTTATTTCCGGTGGGAAATCCACCACGCCCTCTATGACGGTTGGACCATTCCACTTTTACTGTCTCAAGCCGAACAGGCGTATTTCAACGAGCTCTGCCAGCCCTTACAGCCGATGACAGCCTTTATCAAATACATCCTCGATCGCGATATTGGCGCCGAAAAGTCATTCTGGCAAGACCAGTTCGCCAACATCAAAGGTTCTCACTTCCCATTGACAAAGGCTGGTTACCATCCCAAACCAGACTCCCAATTTGTGCAGACTGTTTCAGGTCTTAATTGGGGTCAAGGCGACTTTACGCCGGCTACAGTCATCCGGGCAGCCTGGTCAGTGACTGCAGCAAATGGCGCCGGTTCCAACGAGTCGCTATTTGGCGTAGTCGTCACAGGCCGCCAGGCTCCAGTCCCCAATATTGAGTTGATGGCAGGCCCGACTATCGCCACCCTGCCAATCCGCGTCAACGTTGACTGGGATGAAAAATGTAGGAAGCTCCTGGATACGATCCAGAGGCAGAGTGTGGAGATGATCCCATTTGAGCAGACCGGCCTACAAAGAATATCTCGGATAAGCGAGCAAACTGCGGCGGGCTGCCAATTCCAGACGCTACTAGTGATCCAGCCTAGCAGTGAAGGGGAGCAAACACCTAGCAAGCCATTCTTGACCGAGTCCGTCAGCTCCCAGGCCGGAAATGAATGGCAGGACTTTAACACATACCCTGTCGTAGTTGAATGTCAGCTAGAGCCAGACGGTGTCCAACTCCGTGTTGGTTTTGACTCGACTCTCATTAGGAAGCAAAAGATGGAACGGGTGATCGACGGCTTCATATTTGCGGTTAAAGAGCTATCCAATAGCAGCCTGCAGCAAGAGAGGCTCGCCATCCTGGCCCAGGATTACTCTGGCCTGGAGGATATCTGGGCCTGGAACGAGAGGGTGCCCGAGGCCACCGAATCCTGTATCCACAACCTAATCTCTCAGCGAGTCCAGGAAAATCCATACGCTCAAGCCATCTGCGCCTGGGATGGTGAGATGACCTACCAGGAGCTAGACAGCCTATCCACCGAGCTTGCCTATAAAATGGTCGACAAAGGCATCGCAGGGACCGTCGTGCCTCTGCTCTTTGAGAAGTCCAAGTTCATGCCGGTTGCCGTGCTCGCCGTGATGAAGGCTGGCGGAGGCTGTCTGCCAGTGGATATAAAGCAGCCGTATGAGCGTCTCTCAGCCATAACAGCGCAGGCAAACTCCTCCATCATCGTCTCGTCTGTCGCGAACGAAGCCGTCGCCGTCAAGCTCGCGGCCGCCAAAAAGGCGGAGGACGTCGAGGTCGTGGTTGTCGGACCGGATCAACTTTCTGCCGTTTCAGCCGCAACTCGGACTTTGCCCAACGTCAAACCATCAGACATTCTCTACGTCGTCTTCACTTCCGGCAGCACCGGCACGCCAAAGGGTGTCATTAACACTCACCGAGGCCTATGCAGTGCAATCAGTTACCAACAGAAGGCACTGGGCTTTTCCAGCACTTCGAGGGTATTTGATTTTGCCTCGTACGCCTTTGACGCAGCGTGGTGCAATCTACTACATGCCCTCACTGTTGGTGGAACCCTTTGCATTCCGTCCCAGGATGAGCGTGAGAACGATTTGGCCGGCTGTCTAGAGAAATACAATGTCACCACTGTTGATTTCACGCCCTCGGTTGCCCGATTCTTGGGGCCGGCTGTGCTTTCACGTCTATCCACGCTTATCTTAGGGGGTGAAGCTGTTCTTCCGGGCGATGTTCATCTGGCTGGTGATAATACGGATATCATCAATGTGTACGGCCCTGCTGAATGTACTCCTACCGCCACCTTTGCAGATATTACCAAGGCATCTAGCATCAACATTGGCCGCGGAGCCGGCGTGTGCACATGGGTCGTTGATCCCGATGACCCAGAGTCGCTAGCACCAGTTGGGACCGTCGGCGAGTTGTGGCTTGAAGGGCCCTTGGTTGGTGAAGGCTATCTCAATGACCCGGAGAAAACAGCCGCGGCGTTCGTGCAGGACCCGGCGTGGCTCTTGCGAGGTCTTCCCGCGCGACCTGGACTGCCAGGCCGTCCAGGTCGCTCAGGGCAGCTATACCGTACTGGCGATCTAGTACAGTACAAGGAAGATGGATCTCTCATCTTTGTCAGCCGTAAAGACACTCAAGTAAAGATCAGGGGCCAGCGAGTTGAGCTTGGAGATGTTGAACAACATGTCCTTGACAATCTCACCCTTAATTTTCAAGTTCATGATGTCAATGTGAGCAATGCCCAGGTAACAGCAGAGACCATCCACCCAGAGGGCTCCAATAGTGCAGTTCTCGTGGTATTCGTTACCCTTACTTGTGAGGGCGACGTTGAGGTCACGGAAGATACACATGCATCCGCTGTCAAGAAAGCTACTGATGGTCTGTCGGATCGGCTGGCAGAGAAGGTGCCAATTTATATGATACCAACGTCATATATTCCCATGTGGAGCTTACCAATGACACCCACAGGGAAAACGGATAGAAAGAAACTCCGTGCCACCGGCGAGTACCTATGGCTGAAGTACCGCAACACAGCTGACGATGAAGAATCAACGGAGACGCTGACTGATGTGGAAATCATCCTCCAACAGGTTTGGATGTCTGTTCTCAATCTATCTGCCTGCGAGACCTCCGTCAACAAGCCATTCACGCGTCTAGGCGGTGATTCCATCACTGCCATGCAAGTAGTATCTCAGTGCCGGCTTCATAATATATCCATCACTGTCAGCCAGATCCTTCAGGCCTCAACTATTCGAAGGCTGGCAGCCAATTGCCAAGTCGGGTCAAGTGACAGCACAGCCACAGAAGATTACGACGCCCTCGATATCGAACAAACCGAGCAACCTTTTGAACTTGGACCGATTCAGCAGATGTTCTTTGAGTCTTATCCAGATGGTCTCAACCATTACAACCAGACCTTTGTATTGGAATTAGGCAAGCCAGTTTTACCAGATACCTTTGAAGCTGCTGTACGTGCGCTTGTCAAACGTCATGCAGCCCTACGGACACGTTTTAGGAGAGACTCTGAAAGTGGACGTTGGATGCAAGCCATATTCAGCGAGGATGATGCACTGTCTCTCGTTTATGCGGAGCACTCAGTTTCTAGCCACCATGATGTCGCAAAAGCTGGACAACAGCGGCAATTGAGTTTAGACATAAAAACGGGTCCACTCTTTGCTTGTGATCTTTTTAATGTCCCTGGTTACCCTCAGGTTGTTATTCTCTCCGCTCATCACCTAGTGGTTGATCTAGTATCCTGGCGTATAATATGGGGTGACCTTGAGGATTTCATTGAGAATGGAATGCTTGTTTCTCAACCAACAGCGTCCTTCCAGGCTTGGTGTAAAAGACAAGCCAAAATCGGTCAGAATCTATCCCCCTTATCGGTACTCCCTTATTCTATGCCAGAGTCAGGATGGGATTTTTGGGGTCTACCGCTATCAGAGAATACGTTCAATGATCTCGTGGTTTTCACGGAGACCTTCGACGAGTCACTCACCATTCAGCTATTCGGGGACAGTAACTCATGCCTTCGGACAGAACCGGTGGACATCATTCTAGGTGCAGTCGCACACTCCTTCCTTCATACTTTTTCAGAGCGCGCAGTTCCTGTTATTTGGACTGAAGGCCATGGAAGGGACCAATTGGATGATTTCCACTTAGACGTTTCAGGTACAGTGGGATGGTTTACCACAATACAACCACTACCCATCGATATCACCCTAGCAAGTTCCGTTTTTGACGCAATAAAGATGGTTAAAGACAGGAGAAGTGGAGTTCCAGGTAAAGGCCTACCGTACTTTGCCTGTCGATACTACAGTGAGTCAGGTAAAGAAGCATTCAAAGATCACCAGGCTGTCGAGGTTATGTTCAACTTCACTGGGCGATATCAACAGCTCGAGGCTGAAGAAGGTCTGTTTAAGCGTCCTCAAAACATGGGTGAAGCGGATAGCCTGATCCAGGAAGTCCCTGAATTAGCACGCCGATTTACCCTAATTGAGGTCGATTCCCATGTGGAAGGGGACCGCCTTGTCGTCTCATTTAGCGTTCATAAGAAAATGAAACATCAAGACCGAATTGGCTTCTGGGCTAGGAACTTTGGTGATACATTGACATCCGTTACCGGGCAGTTGCTACATTCGAAACGTGAATTTACCTTGAACGACCTTCCCTGCCTTTCTCTTTCATACTTCGGTCTTGACGTGCTACTTAAAGAACAGCTCCCTAGCATGGAGATTACTCCCGGGGATATTGCAGATATCTACCCTTGCTCACCATTGCAAGAGGGTATTCTACTGAGCGTTCAAAAGGAAGCAGCCTCATATGATTCATTCTCTATCTGGCGGTGTATATCACATGACGGCACTTCTGTCTCTCCTTCCAGGCTTGAAGCAGCTTGGAAGACAGTTGTCAGCCGACACACCATCTTACAATCAGTTTTCAGCCTACACCCCGAGGGCAGCGGGTACATACAAATCGTCCTTCCTAAATCAACCGCCAGGGTGTCCCATATCATAACTAGCGACAACAATCCAGTTTCTGTCCTCAGTGCGTTAGAAAGACCCACATACCACGCCAGTGAGCCTGAGCATTCTTTCACTATTTGCTCATCTGAAAATGGGGAGGTTGCTTGTAGGCTAGATGCAAATCATACACTCATTGATGGATGGAGTGTGAACGTTCTAGTTCAAGATATCATTGCCTTATATATGGGCTCAAACCTAGCACCCGCCCCTCCATTCGGTAGCATCATTCGCTATATCAGCACCATCCCCAAGGCTCAGAGAATTACTTCCTGGTCCAAACTACTTAGTGGTGTTAAGCCCAGCGAGTTTCCCACCATCCCAAAACAACAAGTTCAAATGACTAAGGAAGCCGATCAAGACATCCCCATTGCGGCAGATTCTATCCCTGGTGTTTTAGATGTCTGCAAGAAACTGGTAATCACCCGATCAGTTTTCCTGCAGGTAGCATGGGCCATGCTTCTATCATATTTCACCAGCAAGCCTGATGTTTGTTTCGGGTACCTTTCTTCCTGTAGGGATTCTCCTGTCGACGGCGTGGATACAATAGTTGGCCCACTGGCCAATTTGCTAATTAGTCGTATTGACCTCCGGCCATCAACAAAAGAAGTGCTTAAAAAGGTATCAGAAACCTCAATTCGTCACCTAGAAATTCAACACACGTCGTTGGCAGATATACAGCATCACGTTGGTCTCTCCGGGAAGCGACTATTCAATACGGCATTGTCAATTCGTGGCGGTGACAAGCTAAAGGGCGGAGATGACGCTACTCTTTCGTTTGAGTCATGCACTGGTGAGGATCCAAACGAGGTATGTAACACATTACCACCATTAGAGAATACACTGAAACTAATTTTTTGCCTAGTATGATTTAAATCTAAGTGTGAATGTTGACGGAGACAGCATGGATGCTGTAGTGTCCTTCCGACCGTCATACATCAGTCGTCAAGTGGCTCAAGAAGCTGCCAACGTCCTCATAAAAGCCATAAATTACCTTGTGGCCCTCAATACTGAGGATACTAATGATACGTCACTCTGCGGTGATTTCTTCAAGAGCATTGTTGGGGTAGATGAAGAATCCACCCAAGACTTCTGGCGCGCCCACTTCTCCAATACTCAAGGTGCCCATTTCCCTGATACAAGAAGTGTGGCTTACAAGAGTAAGCCCAACCTTGAGAAAACAATATACCTACAAAATTTAGAATGGGCAGGCTGTAGCAAGTATACAGCAACGACGCTCATCAAGGCAGCGTGGTCGATTGTTTCGGCTAGGAATCTCCGTTCAGACGAAGCACTATTCGGAGAATCTGTATCTGGCGGTGCTCCTGTTTTGCCAGTTCGTATCCAATTGGACTGGGATACAACTATCGATCAGTTACTGGAAGTAATTCAAGGCCAAGCCGAAAAGATGGGTATCTTTTCACGAACTCCGCTTGAACGAATCCGATCAATAAATAACGACACTCGTGTCGGCTGCTGTTTCCGAACAGTCATACATATGATTGATCACCTTTGCAAGGACTCTACAGCCTACAATCCCAGCCCCATGAACGCAACTATCAAAGAGGCATGCGTTGATGCTGCTGCTATAACTGTCAAGTTTTTTATAGAGCCCGACAGTATGAAAATTTGCCTTCGATTCGATTCGGGCATCATAGGGGAAGTAGAAGCCATGCGTATAGGCCATCAGTTTGAACATGTCCTTCGTCAGATCCTCAAGCCCAGAATTCGTGGACACAAGCTCCGTGATGTGGTTGTCATAAGCTCCCAGGACATCAAAAATATATGGGAATGGAACCGCGCTGTTCCAGAGCCGGTTATAGGATGTGTGCATCAATTAATCGTTGAACAAGCCCTCGAAACCCCGCTTGCCCCTGCCATAAATGCATGGGATGGCGAGTTGACATACCAAGAATTGAATGACCTTTCGACATACCTGGCTCACACACTGATAGACAAGGGTGTTGGTCGAGGATCAATCGTGCCACTCCTTTTTGAGAAGTCAATGTGGACACCAGTTGCCGCTCTTGCTGTGATGAAGGCTGGTGGAGCCTTGGTTCTCACGGATCCCACATCACAACCTGAAGAGAGGCTTCGGACAATTACCACGCTGGTTAAGGCGAAAATATGCCTATCATCTGCTGCCAATGAAGCCTTAGCTCGTAGCCTGGGAATTGAGCATGTGCTCTTAGTAGGACCGGACCATCTCCCAGGCCCAATCCTTGCAACACCACAACAATCGGAGGACTCTACGCTTCCAAATGTTCACCCAACGGATCTTTTGTATATTATGTTCACCTCAGGGACAACTGGTACGCCGAAAGGGGTTATGCTAAGCCACCAAAACCTTTGCAGTGCGATCACCTACCAACGAGCGGCGCTGGGCTATACTCAAACGTCTCGGGTTCTTGACTTTTCTTCCTATGCTTTTGATGTGGCTTGGTCTAACCTACTTAACACACTAACAGTTGGTAAGTCCACTGAACAACTGCTTCGAACCCTTATCACTTAATCTTGTCAATGCTAACGTAGCACAAGGTGCATGTCTTTGTATTGCATCCACCTCCGAACGACAAAACGATCTTTCTGGATGTCTTGAAAAGTACAGGGTTACCCTTGCCGACCTAACACCCTCGATCGCGCGCCACCTTTCAGGGCTTGAAAAGTTGTCTACCCTTGTACTGGGAGGTGAGGTAGTCCTGCCAACTGATGTGGACCTGGCTGGCGATAAAACCACAGTTATAAATGCTTATGGCCCCGCGGAATGCACTACTTCCTCAACCATACTAGATCTTACAGAGAGCCCAAATGGTGGCCTTGGTCGGGGAGTTGGGCTATGCACATGGATTGTCGAGCCAGATGATCCTGGGACCCTGGCGCCACTTCACTCGCCTGGTGAGCTCTGGCTGGAAGGCCCTTTGGTTGGTGATGGGTACCTGGATGATCCTATAAAGTCTGCTGCCGCCTTTATAGAAGATCCAGCATGGCTGGTAAAAGGTGCCCCTGGGCATCATGGGCGACGCGGCCGAGTCTATCGCACTGGAGACCTTGTCCGCTATAAAGAGGACGGATCGATTGTCTATCTAGGGCGCAAAGATACACAGGTAAAAATTCGTGGCCAGCGCGTGGAGCTAGGCGAGGTTGAACACTGGGTTATGAACGCAATCCAAGCCCCAAGGGAGTCTTCTGTCAACGTACAGGTTGTGGCTGAAACTATCCAGCCGATGGGAGCTGGCACTTCCATCTTGGCTGCTTTTGTCTCCCTTGGTACCACAGACGAAACTCACGATGCTGCGGTCAAAAAGGCAGTACATGGGGTGAACGACCGCCTAGCTATTAGCCTTCCCCCTTATCTCATACCCACAACTTATATCCCGCTGCAAACGATTCCAAGGATGCCTACAGGCAAGATAGACCGCTCGCGGCTCCGCTCCATTGGAGCTTCTTTGTCCTCCGAGGACCTCGCACAGCTAAGCCGGTCAGACAGCGAGAGGCTTCCACCACAGACAGAAGCAGAGAGGCTGATCCAAGGGCTTTGGGCGGAGGTTCTCAAAGTGGACCCGGATACCATCAGCGCAGATGATAGCTTCTTCCGCATTGGTGGTGACTCTATAGGTGCTATGCGACTTGTTGGGATGGCACGCCAGAAGGATTTTAGTCTCACTGTTAGAGATATCTTCCGAAGCCCTGTACTGCGCGACCTAGCAGCGCTTCAAAGTTGAATTCCTGGCAAGCTACTGGAGCACGACTTAACTGCTGTACGGCCCAATGAGCCTTTTGCTATCATAATGCGTGTCAGAGAGGCAAAGAGAAAAAAGCCGATCGACGTGTCAGTCGTACACGAAGTTATTTGTTCTATGTTTATGCATTTTTTTTCATTTGTTTAAATATATAGCAGTAATAATTGTCATACCCACATCGCTTTGCAAACACCAAATCTGAACTCCATCATACCAATCTCCCAAACACGTAGGAGAAATGTTCAATGCCTTTAAATTATGTCATCTTATATAATCATCAACACATTACCACAGTACCAATATAATATCCATTGGACATTAGGCCTTTTGTCTATGCCTTTGTCCCTGTAGACGTAGTTACTATGTAGTGTCTGGTAGAAAGTCCCGACCTTAGCTTACATAATTCAGAGTGATATCACGTGATCTTTTGGTTCCCGAGGTCTTTTCAAACGTCCATCTCGTTTCTTGTTACAACAACGTCCATCTACTGCATTTACTGCTCGAAACTCTTCCCATCCGTATTCGACACATCGTATAGGCAGTTTAGTCCTGCCCATGAGCCTTCTTAGTGACTAGCTACACTGTCCAATACCGTTGACAAGGAGCTACCGCATCGTACCGGGTGCCAATCTTCGTTGCGCTGCAGTCTCCTTCTTTCCCAGTCTATCGGTCTTGTACAATGCGATCAAGCAGGCTTTTGACACCGGATCCTGACACAGAATGAATCCTGAGCATAAAGTAATATCTTTAAATGGGTGTTTGTTAGACAACAATCGATGACGAGCTACAGACCCAACTCCGGCGCTGGGCTTCGTGTCTTCTTTGCCCTCGGCTAAATCAAGAGGAGAAGACGGTGCCAGGCTTGGCCCTCTAGCCGGCAAGCTTGCCTGTACCACCGAGTCATTGAGAGATACGGATTTTCCGGTTGCCTCTACGAAGGCAGCCGTTAGGTACAGAAGATCGGGGAGAGCCACCGTATGAGAAGTGCGCTGATTTACTAACCCCCCCCCCCCCCCCCCCCCGACCTTTTCTCTATACACTGCAAGAGGGAACATACAGAGGCTAGGATGGTGAGAAGATTCGCTGCCTATCTTCGTGGCCCCGAAGGCAGGCCAGGTGAGGCCCGTCTCTTGCGGAAACTGGACTTCTTCATCCTCACCTTTTGCTGTCTGATGTATTTTGCAAACTATGTGAGTCTTCCGTTGACAGCACAAGTACAAAATAAGTACAAAATATAATACCTGTATGAGAAAACCTGACGGTGCAGACAGTTGGATCGAAACAACTTGGCTAATGCCTATGTCTCGGGGATGAAAGAAGAGCTGCACTTCCATGGGAACCAGTTCAATCTCATCAATACCATCTTCACTGTTGGGTACGTGTCCATCTACCACACGGCCAACGGCACAATGTAGCTGACAGCAACGGATAGATACGTGCTCGGCCAGGTCCCTTCTAACCTGGCCCTCTACCATCTTAAACCCCGATACTTCCTGCCAGGCATGATGGTCGTATGGGGAGGACTCACCATGGCCACTGCCGCTGTCCACAACCCTCAGGGCATCATGGCCATCCGCTTCTTCCTCGGCCTGGCCGAGTCGTCTACCTTTGTAGGAACCCACTACATATTGGGTTCGTGGTACACGGAGCGAGAGCTGGGTAAGCGATCCGGCATCTTCACTGCATCAGGTCTAGCAGGGACCATGTTTGGCGGCTTCATCCAGACAGGAATTAACTCCTCCTTGCATATGAAGGCCGGCATGTCCGGCTGGAGGTGGCTGTTTATCGTATGTTTCCTCGCCTTTCCAACTCCTCACAGCCTACATGGACGAAGTGTTTACGCGCCGTATAGATCGACGGGCTCATCACCATCCCGATTGCTGTTTATGGCTTCTTTCTGTTCCCCGATACGCCCAGGACGACCCATGCCCCTTATCTCACGGCAGCGGAAAAGGCTCTCGCCATAGACCGCCTCCCGACCCGCGACGTGGCGCGAACGAAGATCGACTTTGCCTTTGCAAAGCGTGTCTTCTCGACCTGGCATCTATACGGCTTTGTCGTGCTCTGGGTCATCGCAGGCGAGACCGAGTCCTTCTCCACCAACTCTTTGCTCGCCTTGTACATGAAATCGCACCCCACCATCAAGTTCAGCGTGGCCCAGAACAACAACTATCCCTCTGGTATTCCCGCCGTAGGCATCGTATCAACCCTCTTCTGGGCCACCCTGACCGACTTCCTCGGTGGGAAGCGTTATCTAGTCGGTTACTGGATCGCCATCACTGGGGTGGTCACCTCTGCCATGATCCTCGCGCCTGGTTCGTCGACGGCCACCGTCTTTGCGGCCTACTATTGGGCCGGCTCGGTGTACGCCTGCCAGGCCACCTTCTTCGCCTGGGCAAACGATGTGATGCGGTACAAGGATGACGCCTGGCGCAGCATCGTCATCGCAGGCATGAACATGGGCAGCAATATCATCAACGCTTGGTGGAGCATTGTCTTTTATCCCGCCAGTGACGCCCCTTATTTCCGGGTATGACCTGTTTCTCACCTGTTTACCATATTAGTTATAATCGTTACTAATCTATGGCAGTCTGGTATGTATGCTATGATCGCATGCTCGATTGCAATGGCGATATGGACCGGGTTTGTGGTGTTCATGGCCTGGCGAGAGGGGAAGCGGGCTGTGGACTGCGAGACACAGGCAGAGAAACAGGCATGCGACCAGAGTAAGGCGGGCTAGAGATATGGATACATATACTCTCGTCTTCGTCCTTACTGTTAAGTCTATCCCCAGCTCTGGACGTATAATCCTATTATCGATTTGCTCACCACTATCGTCATCGTCATAATTGTCATCATTCATATATTTCCATACACAACGCTCTCGGACCTCTATCTTTGACAATATTTTCATACCATGGTAAAGACAAGGCGGGCGAAGATGTATCCTTTAACCCCTGTATCTATACTTGATCCCCTGAAGAGACCAAAAACAAAGTATGGGCTTTCCAATTACTACTTTTGCCATACCTTCCCAGCAGTTATCCGTAAGATTAGTGTAAGCAGAGTATGGGATGATAGAAGGTGAGTGAGGTTGGAAGGTTGAAGATGTCATGGTACCCAGCACCGATATCCTTAAACTCAGAGATGCTCTAGTCAATGACAACATATCTCTGGGCTTCAGGCATAATAGTGGTACTCTGTACCTGCTGAGTGCCGGGTATCTTGACGCGTAGATGCTTTTTATCGAGAGTATTGGTGGTATGTTGCCAGTAGCGGATTGTGATGGTCAAATCCAGTGGTTGTTCACTGATCTTTGCCACTACAGATAAAATGGTAGAGGCCCAGGTGCGTAGGTTATCGGACGGGATATAAAACAGAGGGCGAGCTTAGATTATATCTAAATCTCAGGGGTGTCGTTACTTCGAGATCATAGAAACCTGACAAAGGGTCGGGTTCTTGTAAGATAAACGAGTATCTTTGCCATCAGGTCTGGCAGCACACGAAGAATCATGATAGCATGGCCAGCAACACTTGCGGCCTTGTTATATTTACATACCAGTACCTTGCCATCATACAAGAAAATGTTGCCCATTAATTGCCTGTGTTTGTCAGCATTAATGCGCAATGGTTCTGTTTCGCGCATGGGCATGCTGGCAGTGACCAGAACGCAAATTGCTAGATTTCTGATGAAGTCGTCGCAAAGAAATAGGGTGGTCGGCACAATATTATAGAAAAACACGGAAAAGGGGAGAGAAAAGGTGTGGGAAAAGAGATCATCCCAGTAATCATAAGTTCGATAGAATAGTTAAAGCGCCGAACGAGTCAGAATCGTTGTAATGATGCGGGACTATGGCTCAGCACTCCGATGGCAGTATCTCACGCAGACTGGCTCTAGCTCTCTTCCCAGTACCACTCCTCTTGACGTCGTCAGCCGAATGCTTCAAGGATTTAGTCTTCCCATTTCTCGTGGGAAGGATGAGCCTCGAGCGATGAAAATCGATTATCAAAACCTTCTGGAGCTCCGAATTCCATAGCATGTTGCTGTCCCTTAAATCACCATGGACCACGCCAAGATTGAGGAGCTGTCTTCTGGAGCGCTTAATGTGGCCAGCTAGCTCCTTGGTATACTCAACCTGATCTATTTCCTGTCCTCCCCAGCCCATGAGCAGCATATGCCTAATCGAGCCCGCGCCGTGCACATGGTATGTCATCTTCATATCAATAGGGCCGAGAAAAACTGGGACAGCAGACCCCTGGACCGTGTAGAGGACGCGATATACTTCCGTTTCACGCCGTACCTCATCCCAGCGGAGGTCGGTTGTTCCCTTTCCAACGACTGTGTAGCCATACTCGCGACAGGTGACTTTGAAGGGCTGTCCATATCCACCACGGAAGCCGAATGGTGTGCAGTTATGGTTTAAATCCTTATCCAACTGCTGGTTTATGAGGCGGACTAGATGGTCGGCACTGATTGGGTGACGGTCAGAACTATCATTGCCTTGTCTGTGCTGGTCGATATTTGGACAGTTACTGTCGAGGTTGGCTCCGCGCTGGAGGCCGAGCAAGCACTGCTGAGTGCAGAATTCTGCAGTATGCTGGTATCGCTGCTGGTGGCGATGGCCTCTCTGGCCCGCCCCTCCCGACCGATGCGACTCCTGCTGTTGGCTGGACGACGATGAAGACGCTGTGAGATCACTCAAATTTCGCTTTCGTCCAAGGGCGGCATGCTGGGGATCTCGGTCGGGATCGTGATCAGAGTCAGGGTCTGTGAACTGATTTGTAGCAGTGTCCTGAGGGGCGCAACGGGCTTGAGACCGAGTGATGGGTCGATGGTCGTTTTCCGTAAAAGAACTAGTCGGAGAGGGCACGTATTCCGAGCCAGGTGGGGTTTGGCGAAGCTCCTCCTCCGGTATCTCCGCTAGTATGGTGTTAAAATCAATGTTCCATGTATGTAGACCCTGGGATATCTCATTTCGTTGGTTTTGGTCTAGGGGCGCGGACCTGCAGCTTATCAGACAAATGCAGAGCACGCGAGCGATAGAGGTCCACGGGAGTGAATCGCCAGGTTTGACGTCCTGGTTAGGGACACAGAAGTGGTAGTAGAGCGTCTCTGGGGTTCTGTAGTCTATGTAGAGCAGAATATAGGCTAGCCCGTTGGTGATGTACGAGTATTCCAGGCCCTCGGTGATCATAACATGGTATTCCTGGACTAGAACAGATGCTGATATCCGCTCAGCGTTATACACCAACTTTTCATCTGTATCTGTTGGGATAGTAGGTCGCTGGACGACCTCCTCCCAGAGGTTCATCGGCCGCAGACCTGCGCAGAGGTACTCAACCTGCAACTTATGAGGCGGCTTGTACTCAACAGTAGTAAGCAGGGTTGCATTGCCGTCTCTAATCTGGTGGATGCAGAACTGGTCTGGGATGGGGCGGCGTCGGCCTGCCCTGTTGGCTCTCTCCTCTTCATCGATGTCACTGGGGTGGTTTTCAAACATGACCCCTTCCCCCAGATCAAAGGCGGCCCGGGCGGCCGGTCTCCGACACAGCTCAGTAATGATATCCTCAACATGCAACTCTACAGTGAGCCGCTCAGAGAACTCCAGGTCCTTCTCGCTGGCAAGCGGCCGCGATCTCCGCCCGGTGTATTCGAGCATGGCCAGGGAAGAAAAGAGCCTGTCTGGCTGGAGGTGGTGGTAGACAGCCCGGTACAGGTTGGCCAACGTCTCGTCGCAGTCTGTCCAGCGCCGAAGGAAGGTTGGACAGAACTTGTTGGTTGGCGCAGGAATGCCCCCCTTGGTGGCGCGCTGCGGGTCTTGGACGCATATCGGCAGAGAGAGCAGGCGATGGCACTCCCGGAGGAACTCATCAAGGGACGTTTTCTGGTGGTGCTCCTGGTCTTGTCGTAGTTGTTCTTCTGCCTGGGCTTGCCGTTCTTCTGCCTGGGCTTGCCGTTCTTCTGCCTGGAGCCGTTGTTCTCTTTCTCGGTTTGCTCGCTCTTCCGCCTGTAGTAAGAGAGCCTTGTAGTCCACAGAATCGTCAGAAGCCATCGCGAAGCAATGATCAGAGAAGTAGTCGTTTGTCAATAGAGCGAAGAAGAGGGGATGAGAGTCGTTGTCCCAGCTATGAAAACGCCAGAACCCCCGCTAGTCGCCAGGCTACCATCTTACCGGCACACCATACAGGGTTCCAGGGTAAAAAAAGCAAACATGGCTTCATTGAAGCAGCGAGAAGTGATGGAGAGAGAGAAAAACCGTCAAGATGTTGATGGTTGAAGTTGAAGTTGAAGTTGCTGCCTGCGATAGTATAATCAGCTTCTATTGGCTTAATATTCATATAATCTAGTGCAGTCAGCCAATAATAACCTTGATTATAGCTACCTATTCTTTTTTCTAATTGGCTAATTTTGCATTGTAAAGCTTCTGAGGTAATCATCACGTGATATATCGGCGCGGAATAATTTTATACCATAATTACACGTGAATAGTATATATTAGGTAATATGAAGCCAGAAGAGGAAGGAAGATGAACGAGAATAAAAAAGAAGAACAACGACTTACTGACTTACAACGAGAGATAAGAGAGAGAGAGAGAGAGATGCCTATGGCAGAGACGCGCCCAGACTTGGCCGATGTCTTTGACTCGTCTGACTCGCCGACGGAGGAGGTATCGGTATTATCAGACCTGCCCTCACTGCGCCGGCAGCATGCAACGGCCGGGTACCGCGACGGTGTGGCGGCGGCCAAGGGCGAGCACGTCCAGCGAGGGTTCGACAGAGGCTTCCCCATCGGTGCTGAGCTGGGCATCCGGGTTGGCGTGGTCCTGGGCGTGCTGGAGGGTCTGGTGAAGGCTCTGTCTGGCGGTGCTGCTACTGCTGCCGTTGCCGATGGGGAGCAGTCTGCTAGCCTGGACAGCGTGAAAACCCTTTACGAAGCAGCAAAGAAGGAACTGGCTATCGAAAGGGTCTTTAGCCTGGAGACAAAGGATCGAGATGCTGAAAAGAAGGCGGCAGAAGATGTCGATGAGGATGATCCCTGTGTGCGGCTCGGACAAGTTGGCGACACGGCGGTTACACGGTGGGAGGATAGGGTCCGGATATTGCTCGCAGAACTGCACTAAGGCTTACCCTACCGTCGCATCTGTCGAACCGCCAGTCTATCTTGTCGACGTGGATATCTATCCAAAAGAGGAGTATAACAGGATGCAGTACTGTACTACTCACCCTCTCCACCATCTATCCCCGGCCATCCAGCAGGAGCATCAAGACCAAAGCTGCAGTCCAAGTATGAAGTCCTACCCAAGGTCCTACTACGCTCGTCCAACCAGTGATATTGTCGCACTGCATGTTCACTGCCAGAAGGAACAGAAAGGCCATATCTGTGGCGTCCATCTAAGACAATAAACATAGGCAAAAGACAGCACTTAAGAAACAACACCATGTAGAAGTGTGTCTATTAACTAAATACCAGCCATGTACTCTGTATACTTGCATGAACATCGCCAAATTAGCGTCTTGGTAGTGCTTTGGGATGACATTCAAGATCTTTTGCTCTTTCGATCTTGCAGGGATGAATATTTTCTATCTTGATATGCAAGTTTGATCCCCTCACTCACACACGCGGGCTGCAGACACCATCTATGTACTGCTTCACGTTAAGGATTGCTTCTTGCGAGCGGAGCAGTTAATACCAGACACATAGGGATGGGCCTATGGCAAATGTCGAGAATGGCTGATCCGCTCGGCGTCACTGCCCAGCAGTCGATGGGAAGAGTTTGCGCAGAAGCCAAAGATTGGATCCTCGACTGAACCAAGCTGAAGTTCAAGAAGGGCGATATCAATGAGTTCACACGATCGCTGGGTGCAAGTCGACCATCTCAGTCGGTCTCGGCATCATCACCTTGTCGATTACACCTACATCTACATCTACACGGTGCTGACGGCGTGTACAGGCGTACATCGACTAAAGTGTCCTCTCAGTTCCTTCAAGAGCTCGACCAGAAGATCAAGGACAGAGAGTTCCTACCGAAGACCCCTCTACAACGGATAGACGGCAGATGGGCTCAGATGCTGCCCGAGAAGGAGTAACCTGGACCTCAAGGGCGAGAGAGGTGTGACCAGACAGCGTCTTCGTGTCTGCGAAGACGCAAGGCCATTACATAGAGTCCTCACGCGTCGACAGTCATACCTGCTACGGGATCCGCCCCAGGATGCCGTCGAAGACGGTGACGACGACGCCTTTGAAGCGCAGGTGCTGACCCGCCAGGCTAGATACAGACAAGGTCTATGTCCTATTAGCTCCAGAATGCCTTTACCAATTTCGCGGAGATCATTGGCGTCCTCCAGCTCGAGGCCACCGTACGAGACCAGGGCGTCTTCCAACGAGGCACGAAAGCGAGGCGAGGGGTGGCGCAACCGACTCAGGGGGGATACGAAAGAGTAGAACTTGGTTCCATATACGGAGGACGAAGTTCATTTTATGCATTCCTCTGGTGTAGACGGACGGAGCTCTGGTCAGGCAGTGTATATATATACCCAAGAAGATGGTCTGTTGTTTAATGTGCGTCCTTACCATCCGACTATATATATTTATGGCTATACCATGCTTTTACCCCGTGCAGGTCTCTATCCTCTGGGCCGTACCATGTAGTTCTATGTACTCCGTAAGGTATGATGTATGCTGGCTGGTCCACAGTGGCGCATCTCTTGTGCCAGCGCATCGAGCAAGGAAGACGAAGTTCCAGTTAAATGCGAGCTACTGTCGGTCATTACATCGTATATTAATCAGTTACCCTCTGTTAATATCAGTTACAGCCAGTATCCTGTTATCCTGTTACTGTTATCCTGTTCTACTGTTACTGTTCTTATACCGTCGATGCCGGTAGAAGTTGAAGCTGAAGAAGACAAGATGAGAAGAAGAAATAAATAACCTGCAAGAGCATCAATATTTAATCTCTTTTTGCTCCGTACATCTTTTGATCTCGACTTGAACCAGCCATCTTTTTTTTTTTTTTTTTTTTTTTTTTTTTTTTTCAATTCTGTTCTTCTGCTCTTCAACGCTGCGATTTGACCAGCCACCAGCAAGGGAGAAGCGCCCGAGACGGCCTCACCTTTTTTTTTTCTCTGCCAGAAGTCAAGGGAGAAGAAGAAGAAGAAGACTTGGGCATCGTCTTTTCTTCTTCTCGTCTTCTCTTCTTCTTATTCTGCTTTTTCAGGCTATTCTTGGTTTTTCGTGCTGGGCGTCTGACTTGTTCGCCTTGCCAGCCACATCACCACCAGCTGCACCACCAGCAACACCCACAGCTACAGCTACAGCTACGTCTGCTCCTACACCTGCAACCACGGCGTAGAGAAGACCAATTGACTGAGACGCCGATAGTCATCGTGTCTTCACGTTGATTTCCTCTCTGCAGTCCGTCTTTCCCGCCGTGTCGCCCTCAGCTTCCACCCGCCCTGACGAGACCAACGACCTTCACGACCAGGCTACGATACCGCCAGCTCCCACCCGCCAGCCCAAGCAGCGTCTGCGTCGCCACCAGAGACGTGCTGCCCTGCTCGAGTCCGCCGACCAGAGACAGGGGCAAGCACAGCGTCAGCAGAGACAGCAGCGGAGGCAGCCATTTGCCTCTATAGACCACAGGCTCGCCCCAAAGGATACCCAGGACACCAAGGACACCCAGAAGGACGGACAGAGAGTCACCGAGGACTCACAGAAGAACAGAGAGAGAGACACTGGGGACCCACGGCGGGAGAGTTGGCAGGGCACTGCGTCGTACTGGCCCGCGCATAACGTCAGGGTCTCCGCCAGCACCGCCTCTGCCATCCTCTGGGTGCTCGAAGAAGCCATCCGGACTCCTTTCCCCTTCACCGCTGACCTGGCCGAGCTCAACGCGTCCATGTCGGAGCTCTTCGAGGGGGACGTCGCCAACGGCCATAGCCAGCACCACCCTCACCATCATCACAATGGCGTTGTCAGGACGGGCCAGCCGCAGCAGCAGTCCCTAGCTGTTCCTTCGTCTTCTTCTGCTGCTGCTGCTTCTCACCCGGCCAGTGGTGTCCGCACTCCAACCGACATCATGAGACGGCGGCGGGAGAGGGAACGGGCACAGCTCAAGGCCGAGCAGGAGGCCAAGATGAGAGAAGAGCAGCTGCAGAAACAGGCCCAGGCACAGGCACTGGAGCAGGCACAAGCAGAACGTACTACCCAAGTTGAACAGACATCCAGAAGACCAGACGTCACAGTATCGTCTCACGAACCTGGCCCACGACAGGGCGGCAGACAGGAGACTGTCCGTCTCGTCCCAGAAGACCAGGCGAAGCCAACCAGACAACGGTCAAATATCTCACAGGCAGCCAAGATGGCTGGAAATTCACAGCAGCAGCAGCAGCAGCAACAGCAGCAACAGCAACAAACAGACAAACCACAGGCCAGTCAGTCCGGAACTGGAGTCCACCAGCAGTCTCGAGGCAAAGCGGCATTCCCACACGCCTTTGAACGCTGGGAGATGCTGTCGTCCCACTGGGAAGGCCTGACGAGCTACTGGATCCGCCGCCTGGAGCAGAACAACGAAGAGCTCAGCAAGGATCCGCTCAGCCAGCAGATGTCACGGCAAGTGACCGACCTCTCTGCTGCCGGTGCCAATCTCTTTCACGCCGTTGTCGAGCTGCAGCGTCTCCGAGCCTCGTCCGAACGCAAGTTCCAGCGCTGGTTCTTCGACACCCGCGCCGAACAGGAACGGGCCCAGGAGGTGCGCGCAGAGCTCGAACGCATGCTCAACGCCGAACGCCAGGCTCGCGCCGATGCGGTGGCCGCCCTGAAGCAGTCCGAGAGCGACAAGGCCAAGGCCCAGGAGCTGGCCAGGGAGGTCCGGCGGGAGCTGCAGATATCTCGAGATGAGGCACGCCGGGCCTGGGAAGAGCTCGGCCGCAGAGAGCAGGAGGAGCGTGACCGTACCGTCTCTCTCAGGAATGGAGAGCCCACCATCGTCGGAGGCGTCCAGGTCGTCCCCATGCTGCAATCCGTCCCCAGCAGACACACCAGCACCGCCAACCGGCCCCCGACCAGAGAAGGTCCCTATCCGGGAGGCCCTAGCGGAACGTCCATGGGCGGCCAGTCGCAGCAGCAGCAGCGCCCTTTGCTGGAGACGACGGAGTCGACTGCTGGATATGACAGCCACGATACCGACCCCTTCATCGAATCCCACAATCCCCCTTTTGCTCCCGAAGCGCCACACCCTCCCCAGCAGGCTACCTCCCAGGCGCCCCGACAGTCTCCCGGTCGAGCACAGGCAGAGCCAGGAGGCCGCAGCCACCACTTCTACCAGCACGACAGCCAGACCATTCATGGAACTCCATCCGCCCATGCAGGTGCCGACGTGGACTCAGAAGATGACCACACACCTACTAGCACCGGTGCCACTGCGGCCGGTGGTACTACCGGCACCACTCTCGCAGGCTCCGACGACCGCCAGCTTTCCTACCCTCGCGCCATATCTGATGACAGCGACGACTACAACACCGAACCCTTTGACAACTACGTGAGCTATGGTTCCGGACCCCATACCTCTCCCGGTACAAGCGCTGCAGATGACACCCATATTGGATACCCTGCTCCCGCCGACTACAGTGGATCCGGATGGGGGGTCGGCGGTACTGGATGGGATTCGGTCACGCCCCGGCATCGACATCCAACCCGGCTCAGCGACGTGTTGGAAGAAGACGAGCGAAGCCGTACCAGTCCCAGCCGCGCCAGCCAGGCCAGCCGAACCATGCAGTAGCCACTCTTAACGCCCTTTTCATGTCCATCTCCTATGTTCAATTTCATATGTTGGTTTCCTATATCCCTTCCATATGTCCGTTTCATATGTCAGTCTAATGCCCTTAAAAAAAGACCTCCTAATACGTCCTAATACGCTCCAGAATGACCATCCGTTGCTACCTAATATCCTAGGAGTCCGGCGTTTTCCTCTCTTATTCTTCCTTGTCCTTTTCAATGTCTACTTGACCTCCTCTTCGCTAGAAACCCCTGTTTTCCTCCCGGTATACCAACCACCACTGCCCTCTCTTCCTCCTCCTTCTCTCTGCCGCTCTCTCTCTCTCTCTGCATACTTTTGCTGTGCGTCCACGTCTCCTCAACTGCACCAGATATTCATACTCAGCTATCTACTTATTTACTGGAGATATTGGCGCTCCAGACTGCCAGATGATGGAACCTCTTCTCGTTCAGCATAGCATACCATAGATAGGCATGAATTGCATTACTTGGGGATCTTCAGCCAACCTTTCCGTAACCATCTACTCTATTCTCTTTATATTCATCTTCTCGTCTTCTCATCTTCTTATATGTTCGTGTCTTCTCGAAGGCTGTTGGAGAACACGTGACTGCAGCCTCAGGGCTGCAAGACACAACGGAGCAGCAAAACAATACTTATTACTATTCTTCTCCTTCTTCATTATACTCCTATGCAGTCAAAGACTATGAGGAGTTCACTACCTAGATTAGTCTAATTTAGCTGTCTATAGCCGAATTTCAATATTAGGGGCTAAGTCCTACTATCCATCATAGATAAACAATTTAGACATATTAGCTAACCTCTTTTATAGAGAGTTAGTTTATTTATAATAGGAAATATAATAGAGATCGATGTTTAGAGAAAGGAAAGAAGTAGAGAGAAGGTGTAATGGCCGTATGCCGGCAGCGATGATACAGCATATACCACTCGACCAAAAGATCATACACAGTGATGACGTTCGTCATCTCTGGTCGCTGCACTGCTTATATGCTTGATGTTGGAATGTCACGTGATGTGGGCTTGGTGGGCGCACATGCTGCGTGGCATGAGAGGCGCCTAGTAAAATAATACTTTAATAACTAAATAAATATAGGAGAAGTAATAAATAGATAGAAGATTTAGAGGCTATACTACGGCTATTTATCTATAGAGAATAGAGGGCCGTCGGCCGACTAGTTCCAACATGTCTTCATCTTCATGCTGATTACGTAAGACTTCGGCAGAACATCGGCCCGTATAATCTCACGTGATATGTCAGCTTTCAACTTGAAAAGAAACAAACAAGAAGGATAAAGGAAGAAGAGAAGAAGAGAAGAAGAGAAGAAGAGAAGAAGAGAAGAAGAGAAGAAGAAGAGAAGATGGCGTCTATGTCTATGTCGTCGACTCTCTTACGGTCCCTACGAGGGGTTCAGTGCAAGCCCTGCCAAATCAAACACCTCCCACTGTCACAGACGAGACAGTCTCTACTACGGCCGTCACCGTTGAGCAGATACGCCCATCCGGACAGACGCAATGCCTTCTCTACCTCTGAGGTGCGGCCAGCTAAGACAATTGAACAGCTAAAGGCCCGCTCGTCCACCGGCCCGTTCTCGTGGAAGTCGGCGTCGCTCTTCGTGCTCACGGGAGCTGGCATGATTGTATATTTCCAGTACGAAAAGGCGCGGCTGGAGCGAGAGAGGATAGTAGAGATGAGCAAGGGCGTTGGGAAACCCCGTGTGGGCGGCCCGTTCGTGCTAAAGGACCTCAACGGAGAGACCTTCACTGAGGAGAATCTCAAGGGGAGATACAGCTTCGTAGGTCATGCATCTCAAAAAAGGCACAATTAAGGTCATATATAGACTGACGGAGAGAGATAGGTCTATTTTGGGTTCACACACTGCCCCGACATCTGCCCTGACGAGCTGGACAAGATGGCAGAGATCATCGACGAGGTGAAGGCCAGGTCGAACGGACAGGAGGTGATGCGGCCGGTGTTTATCACCTGTGATCCGGCACGGGACAGCCCAGAGGTGCTGCGGGCGTACCTAAAGGAGTTCCATAAGGACATCATCGGCCTGACGGGCACGTACGAGCAGGTCAAAGACGTCTGTCGACAGTACCGGGTCTACTTTAGCACTCCGCAGAACATCAAGCCCGGCGAGGACTACCTGGTCGACCACAGCATATACTTTTACTTGATGGGTGAGTATCAGCTCTGGAAACTTATTATTGGCAGAGAAAGACTAACGTACACTGCCTTGCAGACCCTGAAGGTGACTTTGTCGAGTGCATTGGGCGGCAGGACACCCCTCAAACAGCCTCGAAGGTGATTCTGGACCATATTGGAGACTGGAAGAGGGCCGGCAAGCCGCTTGACGTATAAGTAGCAGACAAAAGAAACAGACATCTCCTGTATAATAGAATGTAATAACATATACAATAAACATTATCCAGACTATTCAGCCGGGTTGCCATCAGCGTCCCGGTCTCGGTTGGCCCTCCATTCGGCAGGCAAGCCGTCCGCAAAGTCTTCTCTCTTCCATATCTCGACCTTCTCCTTGCACTTCTCGAGAATCTCCTCCGCCGCACGCCACGCCGGCCCTCGATGTGCCGCACTCACTGCAACGGCGATGCTCTCCTCCCCCACGGCCACCTCGCCCAGTCTGTGGGCGATACTCACTCCCACCAAGCCGTGTTTCCCCGCAGCCTCTTCGGCGACGGCCATCATCGTGGCCAGGGCCATGGGCGCATAGCTCGAGTACGCTAACCGCGTAACCGGCCTGTCCGCAAAGGAGGACCGCGTCGTGCCCAGGAAGAGGACGTTGGCGCCGGCATGAGGCGACCGGACGTGGGCTGTATACTCTGAGGGCGCCAGAGGGCTGTAGGTCAGCTCGACCCGGATGTTGGACTTGGGATGTGCCAGGCGCTGCGGGAAGTTGGCTGGGTCGAGATGTGCTGGTGTCCCTTCCATTTGCTATTGATTTGTATCTTCTGTCTGTAGGTAATGTATATGTTATTATTATTATTATCCGTCGTTCTCGGCGGTCATCGGTGCGATAACATTGGTAACTATAGTGGAAGATGGTACTTGGTAACGCATAACTTCAACATCCTAGACGGCATCACCAATGCTAGGATAGAAGCCAGTCCAGATATTCTACCCAACACCGCTCAGTGAGCCAAGTCCAGGGGATGTATATAAAGATGCTATCTCACTGCCGTCTTTTGCATGCATCGAATCGAAGGCTGTCTACTATTCTTCATACTCGAAAGCTCTCCCAGACACTCTACCAAAGCAGACGCCGTCACATATAGATGGATCGAAGATGTGGAGGAGCTGGAAAGATATCAACCTGGTGGCTATCATCCTGTGAGTATCGGGGATGTGCTTGCGGGTCGATATCAAATTGAGCATAAACTAGGCCATGGAGGTTTCTCTACCATCTGGCTTGCAAGAGACATCAGATACAAGAAGGGCTACGTTGCTCTCAAAATCAACACTGCGGACTCGTCGTCTCAGGAGCCTGAAGTCTTGCTCGCCCTAGCACAGTCAGACCATCCATGCCGTGCCATGATACCCCTGATTCGGGACCAGTTCGAGCTCGAAGGACCAAATGGATCTCACAGGTGTTTCGTCACATCACCAGCTCGCTGCAGTCTGGACGACGCTCAAGACTCTGACTGCTTTCCCCTAGAGACCGCTCGTGTTTTGGTTGCTCAGTCCCTTATGGTCGTTGCTTATATCCATTCCCGGGGGTTTGTTCATGGAGGTAGTGCCCGTATATATCGACTCTACAGTGCCACAGCTAACAGAATATAGATATCCATCCCGGGAATATTCTACTTCGCCTACCATCGACCTTTGATGAACTCTCCATTGATCAGCTCAATGCAAAATTTGGTCAGCCACGCAAGGAAAAGGTTGTTCGCACCGATGGGATGCCTCTCCCTTCTAATGTGCCCCCGTTCGGAGTCGTGCCCGTTTGGATAGGGAAGCATGCGAATATGGTTACACCCAGTGAGGCTCGTCTCCTTCTCAACGACTTTGGGGAAGCCTTTTTAGAATCTCAACGGCGACCTGGAAAAGAGCGTCGTTCTCCCCTTAGTTTTCGACCCCCGGAGACGTGGTTCGAGCCGGAGAGACCTCTATCATACTCCTCTGATATCTGGAGCCTTGCATGCTCTATATGGCCCATGCTCGGACTACAGTCTCTTTTCAGCAGCTTTCTCGCAACTCGAGATGATATCCTCTCCCAGCATGTCGATACTCTTGGGCTGCCCTCATTCCCGTCTAGCTGGTGGAACGAGTGGGAAGCTCGCCATGGCTATTTTGAACCCGGGTCAGGACAATCAAACTTAACTTCTCGAGACATTCGACCATCACTTGAACGCGCATTTGAGGAGAAGATCCAAGCCTGGCGACGAAGGGTACGGATGGGTGAGTTTGACCAAGACGAGGCGACAGCCATCCTTGCCATGCTCCGTGGGATGCTTGTCTTCGCTCCGGACGAGCGAGCAACAGCCAAGTCACTCTTAGCGTCTCAATGGATGTTGAACTGGGGGTATCCAGCGTTGGACAGAGCCAGGCTCGTCTAAATGATATACTATGTACCGTCTACCAAGCCGGCTCATACAACATATAATATACCTGATATAGATTTTGACTTACCCAGATATTAAGGCTAGCGGACCTCGCCTATCATGAGGTCTCTTTACATAGTTGAATACACTCTCAGTACGAGCTTTATCAACGAGGCAGGCAGCGGCAGTGAGATCGGGAAGTAGAAGTGTGTCTGGCGATGCGCTGAGAGGAAGAAGAGGCCAATTGGGGGACGGCGGGACGAGAGGCCTGCGGTTCCGCCAGCCGCCTCTTGGCCTTATGCCCATGGATGGCGCTCTTAGGCTCACCGAGTTCTTCAGCTTTCTTTTTCCAGCTTTTATAAGGCGGGGTTTTCCTCTGAAGCTGTGGTGCTGTTGATATGAAGTTGTTGATATATTATCACGTTGTTTATTTGATGTTGTTACTGTTGAGATACAAGGTCTACGGCGATAGAGATATCGCCGTAGATGAGATACCAGATACCAGACTGAAGAGTGATAATGTTGATATTAATGCTCGCTGTCTATAATCCTGTTGAAGAACCACAAGTCGGTACCGCGTTGCGCATGATTAAGATAAGAAGATGAAACAGAAGATGACCTCAAGACCGGAAGATCAGACAAAAGAACGAAAAGAAGCGAAGAAGTATGGCAAGGTGTATCCCGAAGTATGGTATATGTGCGAGTCGGAGCCGGTGAACTATGTGCAGGAGATGAAACTGGGAGGGTTGTTTTTTGTGGCGAGAAAGGAGATGAAAAAAGAGAGATGGATGAGAAGGTAAGAGAGGCCTGGCCTCTTCTTGTCCGACAGCATCGAGCGTGAAGGTCCGAAAAGAGGTCATGTATCAGGCGTTTATCGTCGAAGGGGAGAGTCTATTTGAAAAGTTCTTTGGTGCATGATTTATATACCGTCAAGGCAAATACCATCACCCACATGGCAGCGACAACAATCGAGAAGAACTATTCCTGGGTTAGTATTGTATTCTTTCTTTTCTTCATATGGACGGAAATGAGACTCACAGTTCCAAGCACGTCAAAGACGACAGAGTTGAACTCCTTGCCCATCTGTGTGGTGGCTGTGGTGAAGACACCGAGCGGGAAAGTGAACGCCCACCAGCCGATGTTGAAGTAGAACTTGCCGCGGGTGAAACTGGCCAAGGCAAACCACAGCCAGATCAGGCCGAAACCCCACATGATCATGGCGATGAAGGCGCCCATGACATAGAAGATCTCACCGGCAATGGGAGCGAGGAAGTCAAGCTACAGAACAGAGAGTCAGAACAGGTTTTGAGACGTTACAAGGAATTCACTGAGCGAGCATGCTTACTCTTGGGAAGACACGCCTGGCAACGACGCCGAGCTGCATCAAACCGAAGCCACCCTGGCCGAGAGGGCCGATGGGTAGCAGGGCACTGACGATGGCGGCTCTGGGCACCAGCTTGTGCAGAGCGAGACGCTGGAAGTAGATGACGAGGATGACCATGGCAAGCGGAACGGCGGATCCCCACATCACGTAGCAGACGAGGATGGTGATGAGAGCGTGGGTGTCATTCTTGAGCGCATCGGCGACAACTCCTCCAGAGGCGGCCGCGACAACGGGAGCCACGATGGGGAGCAACCAGGCGGCCGTCATGGTCTCGAGCGAAGAGGTATGTTTAGTCATTCTTCTTCCGTTAGCTTCATGTACCTATAATATATTGTATAATAATGAGGGTGACCTACAGCATAAAGGGGACAAAGTAGCAGATGGCGATTGATACGGTGGCATCAACCCACCACAGGCCCCAGGCGAATCTGGCAGCCCAGTCGCCCCATACAGGTACACAAATGAAGATGATGCAGTTAATGATCGTGGCGAAACCCATGGGGAAGGTTCCAAGAAGCATAGAATGGGCGGGATGAGCGAGCATGGCCTTGAACTTTTCCGGCCAGAGAGCATATCGGGTGATCGAGATGGTGAGAAAGAAAAAGAAGATGATTACGTTGAGGACGAAGAGGACGACGGCGATGTAGTGAAGCCCGGGAAACTGGTATGGCAGGTTCTGGAGCAGAATGGCTGTGATACCTGTGCCCATGTTTACGGAGAACCATCTATCTCTCGTCAGCTTGACATTCTCTGCACGCAACAGACAGATCAACTGCAGCAGCAACAGCAGAATAACTCACCCTGGATGGAAGTTGGAGATGGCGATCCAGTCATCTCTCCTGCGAGCCTTCTCGCCGGCCTCCTCGATGTTCTGAAAGCCGGATCCGGACGGCATGGCTGTGACCTGAAGCTCTTCGTTATCCGGGGCGACTGTTCTCTCCGACTCTCTGCTTCTGCTACGCCCTCGATCTTGCCTGCCAGAGGAAGGATCTTGTGAAGCGAGTGATAAATGAGCGTGTAGGTCTTTGGTGTGGTTGAACGAGAGTCGGTGGTCGTCAAGGGGGGAGCGCGGCTTGATAACATCGGAGGAGGAGGAGGAGGAAGAGACCGCTGTTATTATGGGACTGGTGACTGGGGTCGTTTCGATGGCCATCTTTGCCGAAGGCAGTGGCGGCCGAGTGAAAACTCTCCAGGGACAAGGAGTCAAGTCTCTCTCTGTCTGACTGTCTCTCTGTCTCTCTCTCTAATTCACTGTCAGGCCGGTAGTCCGTCGCAAGAGAAAGGGCAGTATAAGGTATGGGTGATCGGCCGTTTCAGGTGGGTAGGGTGATGAAATGAGACGACCTGGGATCCTTGGGTTGGCGTGAGGGCTAGTTGAAACGTTAGCTGTCGACGTTGACAGTGATATATCGTTGTGTATGAGTATGTGTGTGTGTGTGTATATGTCGAAAGAGAGAGAGAAAGAGAAGAAGAAGTTGGTGAGGGATGGCAGAGTATATGAAGGTCCTTGTCTCGGACGACGATGCTCTTCTCTTCCCCCTTCGGCGAACCAGGCGCAGCGATTCACATCCCAACATAAGGCCAAAAGCAGGATCGGACCGTTCTCTGGTTCTGGTTCGCCGTGGAGGATCCTTTCTTTGCTTTCTTTTCCCTCTTTGCCCGTTTTTTTCTTTTTTCTTCATGCCTATTTTTTTTTTGTAACTAAAATTACGGGCCCCTGGGGATAGCCAAGGCGCAGCCCGGCGAACTCTGATCGCCATCTCGTTTGGCTTGGTTTGATGTCTTCTTGGGTTGACAGATTGGCAGGAGGGCTCATACAGAGCCAGACGACGACGGGCTCTCCCTCTCGTCTGTTGCTCGTCGTCCCATCGTCCATCAATCTCTTGTCGCCGTACTCAGATGTATTGAGCTGCTGCTTGCTGCCGTACCACAAACAAGGCGCTTCTTCCTTTTTTTTTTTCCACTTTTTTCCTGACCAAAGAAAAACTGCGTCATGGTCGGCGGCCACTGCCGGTGAAGTCGGCCGAGACGCTTTTTTGCTCATGTTCGTCTGGCTTCTGCTTCTTCTGCTTCTTCCTTGCTCGTTCCTCCGCTCTTCTGCTGTCGACGAACTCATCTTAAACCGTCCCTGCCCTCTCCCTGCAAGCCAGTCCAGAACCCAACGCCCTTCTTGGATCCTCGTCCTGTTACATCATCATCCACCGGGCCCTAAAAATCTGTGTCATATTTTCTCTGCCTCTCTGCTTCATCATCTCCGGCTCTTCTCCGGCCAGAACATCTTTTCCCCTCTCTTCTTTCTCTTCTCTCTCTTCCTCGTCTTTACCGTCTTCGTCTTCGTCGTCTTCTTCTGATATCTTTTTCTGCCGGAGATATGTTCCTCGCCGCCTTTCCACGTGGGTGACTAATACGAGAGTCACGTGTTTTGTTCTATTTTTACTCCTTCTGGAAGCCACGTGAAGTGAGCCTAGCTTTAATGGGACTAGCGCTAGTGGGCCTAACACAAACTTCTGCTTTGGGAAGGCCAAGCGAGCCGAGGCTTGATGACTAAACGTTAGTTCTGATAAGATAAAAAGGAAAAACCCCATAAGATATATAAGATCAACAATATTCATGGTTCATAAGACAGAAGAGGATATAGATCGGGATGGTAGAGAGAGAGACAAAGATGTTGACTGACAACATGGCCAAGAGATAGGGTAGAGGAGGAGTCGACGACTCACCTCATGGCTCGTATCCGTGTCTGTCTCCTGAAACAGGCACCACCTCCGGGGCTATGCATGGATCATGGATGGCCACGATACGATCTCCTTTCTGGGACCTGATGAAGTGAAAAAAAAACAGAGGCATCTGAGAAATCTCTTCTTGCCAGAAGACTGCTAAGAATTATTAGTGTCAACTCTTCGCTGTCGATCGCTGCGAGCCGAGCCTTCATCCTGTCATCACCCTTACCCATGCCTGCAGCTGGCCATGCTGAACCTGCAGACCGAGGGATGAACGCATGGCAGGTGTTGTTTTATTTTTTTCCCTTTCTCACCAAGCCAAACATGCGTCCGGCATGCCTTGGAGCGTTCAGAGGGTTGCCGAGCGGCTCGGTCAGGGCCCTCTCGTGCCGAATATCTCTCGTCCCGCCCGTGGAAGTATATACTTCCGACTCCATGTGCATATATGTATATGCATATAACACACAGCTGATGACTATGACAACTCTGGTTGAACATCGCTCTCGACCTTCATGTCAAGGCAATCTCGCCGAAACGATTTGTAAAACCCCCAAGCCACTCTCGGCCCGTACTGCGTTCAGCCTCGTGATATCCGAAACCAACGCTGCACGACCCATCTTAACACAACCAAAAAAAAAAAGTAAAAAGCACTGTCGAAACATCGGATGCTTGGCTTTTGATGCGTCCACCAGCTCGGTTGATAAGAATATAAATGTGCATACAATTGGCGAGTTGCAGCCAGACCGCCTGGGCGATCTGATAGGCAAGTGATGCTGCACGGACGGCGGTGGGAGAAGTATATCTACACTTTCCAGCCTATCGAGTCAAGTCGCTGAATCGGCTATGTACTCTACACAGAGGGGCGTAATTATGGAGTATTGACATCGAAGTATGGACGATGTATATATGTATGCGTTGGTGCACGCTAGTCCAACGTGGCTTTCGTTTAAGTTGCAGCACTGCAGCAGGAGGAACAGCTGAACAGCGTGAATGGCCTGCTGCAAGCCTCGATCTGCATAAACTGATTCGACAGCTGTCCCGTATACGAGACATGAGCTGAGATATGAATAGATCTGTGAGATATGAATAGAAACATTCTCTGCGATGTAGTATCAGCACGGTCACCAGTGTAGCATCCAGTATGGTATCATGTCTCTCGCAGCTCTTGATTCTTCTTGATGGCAATGTTGATGCTGAAATCAAGGCCGAGTTATCTGTAAGTCTGCTGGAGGGTTCTTCTTGATTGCTGTTGATGTTGAAGTTGTCGAGGTGTTGGGCGTTCGCTATGGCGTACGGAAATAATGTACATTTGGGCTTGGCGTTCAGACTTTTTCGTCATCCCAAAAAGGGCAAAACATCGGAAAACGTCAACGTCAACGACCAACCAAGCTAAAAAGATCGCGAGGCACACCAGACCCAGCAGAGACAGAAGATACAGCAGATAATACCCTTCCTCACAGCCACTTTACTGCCTGTCTACCGGTCAATGGCCACCATGGCCCGCGAGACGCCGCAGCCACAGGCAGAACAGCCCCAATCAGCCTCGACGTCAACGGCTTCACCATCAACACAATCCGCATTCTCCCTTCCCACGTCTACAAAACTACTCATAGGCGGCTCAGCCTTCTTTGTCCTGTCGGCCTTCATCACTCGACGCTCTCTCAACCGCCGCAGACTGGCCTCTATGCCGCAATTCTACACTACAGCCTCACATCACAAACCCAAAGTCAGCGCTCCCCTCGAGGCCCTGGAGGCCCTCAACCTCGCAACTCTTAATGTATTGGCCCTGGCCATACTCGGTGTTGGTGCGGGGATGAAAGCCGTTGGATTCGAGACCCTCGACGAGCTACGGCGGATAGTCCGCGGTGGGCTGGGGGCTGACGGCACGGGGAGGACGGAGCAGCAGGTCGAGGAGGACATGGAGGAGTGGGTTGTCTCCGTGCTGAATCGGAAGGCCAGCAAGGAGAGTGCAAAGGAGGCAGAGAAACAAAAGGCACAGGAAGAGGTCCGACAAACCTGGTTGAATGAGCGGGGGAAAGAGAGATGATCAGGGTTGGTCTCTTGATGCCCATGTACGACTAGAAACTTGTATACTACTACTCCATATTATACGAATCCCACCCCTGGACGCATTATATATATAATGGCATTTCCTTTATTATATTAACCATCGAACCATTCACGCTCTTGTATTAACCCTCGAGACATAGCCGTTACTAGACAAAAGACGGCTACAGCCGTCGATGCTAAAACTACCTTATAGTACAACATATGATCATCCTATGTACCATCATACATGGCTAGCCCTGCTCGTTCTTCATCCTTTCGTACCTCTCCCGGGCATGTTCTCTCGTCTTCTCCAGAAACTCGTCATATCTCCCACGGGTGCTCCGTCCAGCTTCCCGTACCGCATCTCCAATCTTTGAACCCTGCGCGCCCAACCCCACGCCCTGCACGTACAAGTCTGTAGGCACTGGTTGTTTCATGCCGGTCCCTTCCGCTCCGAGACCAGAGCCAGCCGACCAGCCCATCTTCCCCAGCAGTGCAGCACCCTTGGACAACGCTGCTGGAGCAGCAGCAGCACTAGCCTGCTCGCCCTCACTCTGGCGGCCAGCTTCAGCCTCTCTCTTCTTGATCTTGGATGAACCAAACACCCGCCGTCGCTCCTTGGCACGGTCGCGATATTCGGTCTGGTCCGTTGGCATTCGCTTCTTTGCCAGCTTGGCCAGTGCCTTGGCCTTCAGTGTCTCGTCTTGCAGGTTCTCACGATGCAGCTGGCTCAGCCGTTCGTGCTGGTGGACGTGGGCCTCCGATTTGAACTCTCTCATGCATAGATAACAACACAGCCGGTTAAGGTCGGCGTAGGACTGCTGTCCTTGCAAATGTGGCTGCTTCTGCTGATGCTGATGCTGCTGAAGTGGTTGGAGCTGTAGTGATGATGGCTGTGACTGTGATTGTGATCGGGCAGCGACCGAACAGGGTTCCTTGGAGTGATCTCCATCGCCCGTCTCGGCGCTGCGTCTATCCAGGCCATGCAACTCCGCATGGCGGTTGCTCCAGAATTGAAGATGTGAGGCCATGGCGATCTTCTTTGTTGCAGAGCCAGCAGCACCCCCTGCGCCCGCATCCCCTTTCTTCCTCTTCTTCTCTTTCTCTCCGTCCCTGCCATGGGTCGCTGCCCTGGCAGGCTTCTGTGTGGAGTTCCCCTGCACTTTGCTCCGCTCGTGGCGCCGTCGTGCAGTTGAGTTCCGCTGGCATAAGCATCCTCCGTCCCAGTAAGCTAG